AACCAGATATGAATATTTTTGATTGAGAGCAGATTATCCCCTTCGCTCCTGTATCCTACCCGTATATCTTCTAGACATGTGATGATTACAAAACACCTCAGGAAAAGCCAGCCTCGTGGATCCGTACGTCCGAGATAATATATCCTCTAATACCGGAGAGATGGAAGGAACTGTCCACTGTGCATGTGAAGCAGACAGATGCGGAGAGACTCCGTGCATCATCAGTGCTAGTGAAATGCGATGTGTAGAGGATGCCGTGGGGGTTCATGATAAGCACATCCATGGAGCCCAGTGTACCATTCTTGTAGTTATCTTGCATGTGGAATCAACGATTATAGTAGTTAAGAGTCTAGTAAATTTCAGCTATGCCCAGATTTCTTTCATTAATTCATTAATTCATTCATTCTAATATTCGTATACGGGTGTGTATAGAATCCCGCAATTCTCTATCCTGGATCATGAAGTCTGTACAATCAACCCTCCAGTCCACAAGGCATCCAGAAAATCATGCTTTATGAAGGATTGATCCCCAACACTGTCCTCTCATCAGCCAGCCCCAAACCCAGCTTAATCCCATTCGACAACCCCAATCGCCACAGCGTCTCTCGAGCAAGACTCTTCTGCTGGCACGTCACCTGTTCACACTGCGTAATGCTCCAAATCGGCCACAAGAGCGCAAATTCCTGAATAGCCTTCAACCCCGTCCCCTGCCGTCCACGACTCCTTGTCGCACGACCCATATAATCCACATCTCCCAGCGCAAAGGGGATCGTGTCGCAAATGTCTAATACCATTTCTCTAATCACATCCTCGGGGGTGCCGAGATGAACATCTTGATCAGGCAATCGGGAGGATGGGGAGGTCTTATAAAAAGGATCCAGCCGTTTATGAACCTCGAGTAGACACCGCTGTAAGACGATTCGCGCGCCACGATAGTAATTCCAGACCCCTGCGGCTGTGGTGTCCGGGTATACGAGCAATGAGTTTCCCGCAGGGGAGGGGATGCGCTGCGGTAGCCATTCATTCCTATACCACTGGTTGAACTCGAGGTCTAACCGCTCGCCTGTCTCCAGTAGAGAGGTCAGAGTTTCTCGCGGCAAAGAAGGCGCCAAGAGCGTCTGTGTGGCCGTGGCGCAGTATTTTCCGATCCGCGATACCCCGGCCATCATGTTGTAGATTGGATGCGGGATGGTGAAGAGGATAAGGAGCCAGTCGAGGTCGATTTTCTGGGGATCGTTGAAGCCGAGGAATTGGATTGTCTGGTTGATGTAAACTGGCACTCTCTATCTTGAATGGTATATAAAAGAGAGAGGGGAGAGACATACCATCTGGGTAAAGGCGAAATGGAACAACGATCTCGTAGCCGGATCATGTAATTGTTTCAAGCCGCGCAGTTTCAACAAATACTGGATCCCCGTGATATGCGTGCTCAGCAGTCGATCCCGCTTGTTATTGATATCCTCAAAGATAATCAACATGACGATGGCGCCGAACGTCTCGGTCTTGATCGCGTCGTCGACGCTCCCCAGCGCACGATTCAATTCTCGCAGAGCCTGCCCATATCTCCGTCTCGCCTGGAGGGCTAAACCCGGCAGTCGGGCTTTATTCGCGAAAGCCCCGAACGCAGCAGCGTCGAGGGCCGCTTGAAGACATGATAACGGGGCATTCCCTGCGCCATCCCCTTGGTTCTCACTCTGACCGAAAGCTTGTTCCCGACACAGCGAATACAACAACGGCACCGAGTCCAACGGTCCAGGACTCCCATCCACCTCGGGCGGCATGGTATACTGCTCCATAAAGAAACAATGACTCTGCACCTCCCACGGCGTATCCAGATACCTCGGCACGGGTTGCCGCATATACTTCTTCTGCCATCGAACCAGCGGACTGCGCGCAGGGCTCGTGATCGGGGATCGGGAACCTGCATATCCGTCTGCATCTGCATGTGCATTTGCATCCCGGTCGTCCGGAGACAAGGATGTCGACGCCGCCGCAGCATCAGCATCAGCATCGCCAGCCCCTGGCTCATGTTTCAACGGCGACTTCCTGCGCGATTTCCGCACTAACGCCTCAACGCAACGATTCTCATTCCGGAAGATAATCGGGAACGAAGAGCGCGTGTAGCCGGGACATGGTTTGCCGTAAGATTCGCAATTGCGACAGGATGGTTTGCACTCGTCGCACTGGCGTCAATTTAGCCGGGAATAGAGACAATGGGAGAGACAGGGGGCGAGAAGCGATTAGCTACGACGCACTTTGATTTTACGCCTCCGGCAGAGAGTGCACCCGTGGCTGCGCTGGCGGCCATAGACCATGACTCGGACGACGAGGGGAATCTAGAAAAAAGGGGTGTTCATGACACACACGTGGGTCTGCCATTGTAGTAGAATCGGAAGAGTTGGACTCAGTTCAGCTGAAGTGTTGATCGCATGGAAATCACAAGGCTCGGGATGTCTCCGACCGGTGATGTCACAGGGGTTGCCCGATCACGGGCTTCTCTGTTTGGATTTCTCTCAATCGGGTGTCCTTGACTTCTAAATCTCTGTACCTCTATATCTATACAAAGTAATCCTCTAGACTTTATCCATCCTTAAACATTCACCCTCCCCCAAATATCCCCCCCAGCAACAAGCGTACTAATCACCATTCCCGCCCCGACCGTCGCATCTCCCACCTGCACCCACCCCAGAAACACCCCAGGAATCAGCAGATCGCAACCATCCACGACAATCCGTTTAAGGAGAGTTCTGCGCAACGCCTTGTTCCCTGTTCCTGTCTTTCCTGCACCTTTCTTGCCGCCTTTCTTACCACCTTTTGTGGGGGAGGAGGTGGTAGTTCCCGCGACGAAAAGCAAACTCCACACGGCGCCTACGATTGACAGCGACAGCGCGTAGAACCATAGTTTGTAGGCTTCTTCCAGTACAGAGCGATTCCATGTCCATGTTGAGGAGTGGATGTTCATTGCGTGGAGCTAAAGTGGTATATGTTAGCACGAGCAATGACATGAGCATCCATGACATCCCATGAATCAATTGATTCATGAATAGACCTTGTCGGTCTAAGATGCAAAGTGCACCTAATCCGGAGCAGAAAATAAAAGAAAGAAAGGATAGAGGGGGCCATACGATCGTCAAATCTTCCAACAAAAAATATCCCCCCAGACAAGTCCACCGCGCCAGCTCAATCAGCAACGTCAGAATGCCTTCGTTCGAGCCATTCCCTCCCAGCAGACTCGTCACGCGATCAAAGCAGTCGATGAAGTTGAAGAAGCGAAAGAAGCGACGGGCTTAAATTCGTCATAATTAATTAGCACATTCTGCAAAAATCTCACCCAATTGAAACGAGACAATAGTGGACCAGTGATGTTGAATACGTACTCAACGCCAACTGTCCCTTCGCAGCACCCCATCGCCTTGCGACCGTCCGGTCAATGGTCACCTCTGCAGCGATCTGCGCGACAGCTTGAATCAGACGGAGAGTTTTCTCGAGGCCGGCGGAGGTGCGCGTGAAATTGGCGAATTGGGTGAGTTTGGAGGGTTTGTATATTAGAGACATTGCTTCTCTATTTCTCTATATAAATATATGCAGATAAATGTTATAAATATATGAATATTATAAAAATAAGAGTATGGCGTGTCTTCGTGAGGGGATTGACGAGGGGAAGGACGGAGAAGAATTGACGGGGACAGATTGATAATCCGGGGCGGTAGGACCGCGTCGGGGGATTTCCGTGCCAACGCCAGTCTAATTTCCTTTTAATTTGATGGCGATTTGGTTTTGGTCTTAGTTGATTTTAATCGAGATTACGGTAGACTCACGGCGCTCGAGCCCCTTGCATCGGAGTTAAACGATATCATCTAAATTGACTCGGTATGCTGGCTAGGACTGGACCGGGGATCTACCTAAATCTAGTTAAAACTGTGCTTTGTTGTACTCTATGAAATGTCAGTCTAGAATCCTAGTTGTAATAACTAATGTTGGCCAGTGAATATGTAAACTTCTTCCTGAACCGACCATCTTCGTGGGCATAACCCCGGAGGTAAACTCCGACTAATTATGGCGTCCATCTGCCAGTATTCTCTCTCTCCCAATAAAGAAAAGTGCCTATCTTATTCAATTCATGACTTCCTGGGAAATAATCGACTCTTTGGCGACATTCCAATCGATAATGTACCTAAGTTATTCAACGGTTTCCCTTAAATGCCGAGTGGTTTATATCTAGTTATAGATGCATACAACGAAACAACTGTCTTGCCGAGCGCTCGGAGAGTTCAGCTCGATGCATAGGAAAGAGCTGCTGCTCAGCCACTACAGACATGCGGTGATTGTCCTATATCGCTGAGCATGTATAACTAGGTAGGGGGTCTTAGGAAACATCGAAATCCAGGTATTCAAAGTGCATAATGCAAACCTGCATTAAGCAACAACCATCGAAATCCGTTCAATACCTGCCTGATATGTTATATCGGAAATCAGGAATAGTTATTCAAAACCAGAAGTTGATCACTCCGAGCATCATAAGATTCATATGAGCGAGATACTACTATCTGAGACCAATCTCGAATGCATTTATAATCGAAGCTGAAACAGGTTTGCCATCTGGAAATTCACATTCATTCCATACTTTGTGTCGATGACAAATGCACCGAATCCCTGAATTCGATACTATCGCCGTCGGGCATTTCTTAGCGTCGGCCGCCCGTCGGGAGTTGCGGCCGACAGCCCATCACACCATAAGAGTCAATTCCTTGAGCGATGAACAAAATGTAAGACAGGTATCTATCACATATGTCTATACGGAGAATACATGTGTTATAAATCTGACTACCAACCCGATAATATTGACTTCCTCCTTGCCCATGAACATTCTTTACCGGTTTGACGAGATGTAAATATGCTGGTCTAGCTACAGGAACCAATGCCTGGAGTCATCATTCAAACAACAACTCTCTTAGGAACCCAGTCTCCTTCCAATAACCAAACAATCTTGCTTTGCTAAAATGTCCTCCGCAATTGACTCATCCTCCATCTTCCGCGTTGATGGTATCGTAGCCGTCATCACCGGCGGAGGCAGCGGTTCGTATACCCAACTCATCCCAACGATACACAAGCACACACAAGGCGAGAAATAAAAACAGATAGTAACCCACTCCAATTCAGGAATCGGACTCACAATGTCCCGTGCCCTCGCCGCCAACGGTGCAAAGAAAGTATACATCCTCGGCCGCCGCAAAGAAGTCCTCGAGACAGCCGCGGCCTCCTACCCGAACATAATCACCCCGATACGAGCAGACGTGACCTCAAAAACCGATCTCCAAGACGCAGTAGACAAAATAAACCTCGAAACCGGCTACGTGAACCTCGTGATCGCAAACTCCGGCACAATCGGCCCCGTCGTACGATTCAACCCGGCCCCGTCAACAACGGTGTCCGAGTTACGTGATACGTTGTTCACGGGGTTCGATCCGCAGGACATGACAGATACGTTGCATGTGAACGTCACGGCGGCGTTCTTTACCATGACAGCGTTCTTGGAACTCTTGGATGCAGGTAATAAGAAGGCCCAGGAGGGCGGCTTTGGAGGACCGGTGTTTGGATCGGCCCATGCTCCTGTCCCGACAGTTCAGAGCCAGGTCATATTCACGACAAGCGTTTCGGCGTTTAGTCGGCATTGGTCGTCGTCGCCCCCGTATTTGACAAGTAAGGTGGCGGTGATGCAGATTGCCAAACATGCTAGTACGCAGCTGGCGAGGTTTGGGATTCGCGTGAATGCTATTGCGCCGGGGGGTGAGTCTCATTCTCTTTGTTTTCCATTCTACATGGTTATCTTTCTTGACTTGAGGAGTGAGAGAGCTGACGTATTGAAGTCTACCCATCCGAGCTAGCATCCTCGCTGATCGGGAACCGCAAACCCGAAGAAGAGGCATTCGAGGATCCGCGATTCATACCTGCGCGCCGGTTCGGCGGGGACGAGGAGATGGCTGGGGCGATTTTGTACCTGGCGAGTCGCGCTGGGAGTTATTCGAATGGGTCGATTCTGTTGACGGACGGGGGAAGATTGTCCGTTATGACGGGGACTTATTAGATGCTGGGGATTTGTGCTTTGGTTGAGAGGGAGGGGGTGGTTAGAGATGTGTCAATTTGGTCAAGGGTTCGGCAGTGCAGTGCTTGTTGTATAGGGCTATCTGGCGATATGCTTGCAGTGGATATAGCACATACGTCCGATAGAGAGGGAGAACCCTACTTAAAAGCTCACCTCATCGGACGGCAAAAGAATCAATCACCCAGACTGCGTCGACCCAAGAAACAACGTAGAGTGTCTGGTATGGGTCAACATCAACCACAAAGTAAAAGTAGCACTGCGTGGAATCAAAATGAAAAAAAGCTAAAACAATGTTCAGTAGAATCTAAGTAATCCCCCATCACCAACCAATCATTGGGCTCACTACGAACCACCAGTTCCTATACATACAAAGCCAACTCAACTGGCTCTTACCGTCCCTTTCCACCCGAAATATCCTGTCCCAACCGATAACCACCCACCTTCTCCCACTCGACCTTCTGTCTCGTGATGGGCAGCTGTCGTCGCAGTCCCTTGAACGCGCCCTCGGCCATCTGCACAAACGCCCGGTTCAATTCCTCCTGGTAGTCGCGCTCGGCGGCGGCGATGCGCGAGATGATGCTCTCGGCGGAAAGCGACGACACGGACAGGTTAATCGGCTTGGTGGTGTTCAGCGCGACGTTGCCGTCCTCGTAGTAGTGCACGTCGACATGGATCTTGCCGCTCACGGTGGTGGATTCGGCGACGGGGACGGTGTAGATGGCGCGGAAGCGACCGTTCCTTTTGGTTTGATTGTTAGTACTGTTTGACTTTTGAAGAGATTCAACTGGGGCGGGCTACCAGAAGTTGTTCGGCGAGTAGCGATTCGCAACCAGCACGATCGCCACGGCGCTGTCGTTTTCAATCGGATACACACCGTACGAGCTGCGCGGGTAGTGCTCAACGGCGTGTGCGGCCAGCGACTTGAGAAGGGATTTACTGGATCTGTTAGCTTTCACCCTTCAAAACCAACTTGATAGTAAATAAGAGAGGGGAGAAACTCACATGAAATCCGCATTCTGAGACTCCAAAACATACGATTGCGCCGCGGACGCTTCCTGTAATTCAATCGTTCGAATCAGCACTTTCCCCCACTATCTATCTCACTCCAACTTCCAAGTTCCCTCTCCCATAATCTACTCACCTGTGTAACATGATCCACCTCAAACGACGTCGAGCTCCCAATGTCGAAGTACCGATTCTCTTCTAGCTTGTTGAACTCACTAACAAGGACCTATGCATATCACGGCGTCAGCACATCCATCTATCCCCATTACCACCCCTCAGCCAAATAGCGTAGCCATGTAATGTAATGAGCTAACCAGCCACACAACAAAACAAAGCATCGCATATATATCCACATAGGTAGGACATCGGGAATCGCACCTCCTGACTCGCACCCGGCAACTTCACCGTCGCGAGCTGCTTCTCATTGTATCGTTCAAAGGCCGGCGCAAGGGAAGAGATAAGGGCATCGCCGTCGGAAGTGAGCGTCTTGACATCTATTTCCCCAAATCAATTAGAAATTTCGTTCGTTCCGGTGAAACCAACGCAATGATCAAGGCCGAAGGCGAGAAGCAAGGGGATGCGGGCGGGCGGGCGATATCGCGAACGCGGGGTTTCGACCCATGAGGCAGAAACAAGGCAATAGAAGGGTCGACCATACCGGCAACGACATCGGCGAGCTAAATGTATATCAAGAAGACAGTCAGTGGGGTTTCAAATAGAATACGGTAATGTGGTGCATGCGGTCTGGTGCAGCGTACCTCGCCGGGCGGGGCACCCTCGATGAACGAAGATGCGATGTCAGCGGTGGAAGCCATCGGGAGGGAGGCGGAACGGAGGAAACAGGGAGCACGGAGTAAATGTAAGGAGTCGAGAAGATAAGATTGGAAGAAATGAGGACTGGCTGGCAAGGAGAGAAGACAAGCTCCTGAGACAAGCTGGTCGGCTTCCCCAGTCAACAGTCGGAGCTTTAGCGCCGTAAGCGCCGATGCACGTGCATCGCCATCCATCAACAGGCATTGCGACTATATAAACTAATAACTAATCACCATGAGTACAAGATGAATGATGATGATAAATACTAAATCTATTACTATTAAGGAGCGGTAAATCCACCTAAATATAAACCAACGATCTGTTCAACCCGAATCAACAACGCCATATAGTAAGAATATCCAGTCCAACCCCACGCTAAAGAATACTATTCACAATCTACCAGCCTCGCAGGCTGCACGAGTCCGGCTCGCATGGCACTCTTCACTCGATACTCATGTTCATGAGTCCATCATTGGTCTCCGTCATCCCCTGCAATCCCACCCGCTTCAGCGTCCCCGTCTGGTTCGTATGCTTGGAGCTTGGGCGGCCAGGGGTCTCAGGTGGACAGTCGGGGAAGAGGGACCCAAGATTCGACTTGGGCGGCGGACCCCAGATATTGGACCCAGTTTCCTTTACCACGGGTGAATTGGGCATAATTGGGCTACTCTGGACACTCATGCTGGGAGACACAGCCCTTCGTTTGAACAGGTTGGTATCGAAATCATCCTCGCGTTGCCGTTTTCTTTTGAACTCGGTGATGGTGCCGGAATGAGGTACAAAAGGCGTCGAGGACCGTGAGCTGGGTCGCTCGCCCGGCTTTGCGAACTCGGCACCCGAAGACCGCACTGCCGTCGACGGTGTGATATCCATGGCCTGATCGTCCTCCGAGATGGACGTGCCGGGCCGGCGTAGCGGCGGTGGGGGCGTTCGGTATCGTTCGTCGAACGAGTTCCAAAACTCTTGGCCGGCGGAATTCCGGTGCGCCTCCTCACTGAAGCTGGGCTCGTCTGGAGCAGAAGTACCCATCTTGACCGGCGTGTCCCCAGCGCTTCGGAACGGTTCGGCTGGCTGGAAGGGGTTGCCGGACGCGAAAGCATCCAAGCTGGGCGATTTTTGAGGAATCTCGGGCTCACTCTCACGAACTTGACGGATCACCTCCGACTCACGCTTCGCCTCGCTATCGATAGGAGCGGTCTCTTCCATAAGAGCGGCTCGGATGCGAGCAAACGTCTTGGTTTTGGGCTGGCGGGGAACGTTAGCAACAGTGAATATCACCGGTCATAGAGAAGAACCTTTCACATACCAGAAGACTACCCCGACGCGTCACAGCACGCCGAATCACACCAAACGGTCCACCCTCTGTACTAGGCGTACTCGGACTATGGCCTCGGGTGCGACTCTCGTCATCGCTCAGGTCGGACAACCGCAGGTCCCGAGTTCCCAGACTCAAGCTCTCGCGGCGAGCACCGACCCCAGCCTTTGCGGCAAAATATCCCCCGCTCTGATTCTCGATGCTTTTCATCACGGGCGGCGAATGCGGACTAGGACTCGGTTTGGAACTGTTCCCACTAGCACTGCTAGAACTATGTCTGCTGCGACCCTTGCGGAAGCGAGCCCGCTGAAAACTCATCAGACTGGCAGCTGCCTGTGAATATCCGCCCATCCAGTCATTACCGGGACTGGGAACATTGCCACCGGCAAAGGGACTCGGGCCTCCGGCGAACTTGTTGGCCTGCGGGGTACTGGTGATCATGAGATCATCTTTTTCCATCGACTCATCGTCCTCCTCGCTGCTGCTGGTATCCGATTCCATCATATTTACACTCGACACCGAGCTCGAGATAGTTGTCTTTTCCGCTGGTCCGGATGTCGAGAACGGGGCGGACGTCGATCCGATCGAGCCGCGGCGGGGGGGAATGTTCATCCCCCGACCGCCTATCGTGGGTGAGGAATCAGGCGAAGACTCGGCCAGAGTCGAATGGTGAAGATTTGTACAGGCCCTGGAGAAGTCCAGGCCCCTAGACCGCCGAGGGAGCACCGATCCGGGCGAGCCGTAGATCTGGGAGGAATCAAGCTTCGGCGAGAGCGGGGTGCGATTCGACAAGGGAGAAGGGGCGGTAGGTTTTGTCTGGCTCGTCGTCGGATTCAAGGGAACCCCCGCATACATGGACAGCCGCTGCGGCGTTTCCGGAGTCGACGAGAGGGAAGCGTCATCTTTGCTGGACGGTCGGTTATCATCCGAGGCGTTGGATCGGGGCGAGGAAACGGGTTTGGCCGCGTCGGACAGAGAACGTGACTTCGGCGACGGACGCAGTGGGTGCCCGAATGAGGTGTTCTTATCGCCTGCAGTCTCCGTCTCGGCGCCAGAGTCACTCTGTTCGTGCCGCTGGGAGAGCTGCTCACTCAGCTTGCTCGCAAAGGGAAGGGCGGGCAGGCTGTGCGATAGGGTTGAGGAGGTAGTCGAGGAGGTCATAATGTTGCTAGCTGAGACGAGTGTTTCCTCTACACGTGTCAATCTGTGCAGTCGGGACAAAATCAAAGCATAATGAAGCCTTATGCCAACGCAACGGTGGAGGCGGTTATGCTGGAGGTGGAGGGGTGGTATCCGCGAGCAGGGAAGGTTCTCGAGGACAAAAATCGATCGACCGGGGAAATCTTGGCGTAAGAATGGATCAGGACCGAGATCTGAGATGCCAATAGTGGTGCTGTTGTGGTTGATTCGAGCTCAGGAGAGAGCGAGAGCGAAAGAGCGAGAAAGAGCAGGCGAATAACAATGGATGAGCGTCGATCAGCTCTGACGTCCCTCGATGCTGCTCCCGGCGAATCACGCGTTTGCCGCCCCGCCCGTGCTGCTTAGCTAATACATGCCTCAGGCTGAACCTTCATACAGAGTAACCACAATAGATATATTATAATAAAGAAAATACAAAGGCCGGAATATAGAGATTGATGTATACAGTAGAGTCTGTCATTGTTTGTAATCGAATTACAGTTGCGGGGAGAAAAGATCACCAGCCAATAATACCTTTGAAGCTGCACACAGTATATACCTCTTTATACTAACCAGCAACCCAGGAAATAGAGACACGGGAAAGTTAAGAAAACATCATGATCATCACATCAAGCCAAGCTCATCGCACTGCTAACCGGCGCAATATACCACTCCCAATCATTACAATCCGACGTATCCACAGGAGACCGGTTTAGCATATCGCCATCCCGAGCCTGCCACACCTTGACAATGACGGCCCTCGTGCGAGCAATATTCGACACGCTCGATTCCGCCATTGCCGCTAATGCACGCAGCACTAATGGACGACCATAGACCGCGGTCCCGTCGGCCGAATCAGACCACACTTCATCGTGTAGTGGGTTGAGTTCCACGGCCGCAACGAAAAGGGGCCATGTCATGCTCACGAGGGATCCCGAGTCTAGGAGGTCTGAAACAAGACGGAGGATGTTCCGGACATAGATCGTGACGAATGGGGCGGTGGGAGATGCGCCGTACAGGGCACAATGTAGATAGAGCACGGCAGCGAGTCGTTTTAGTTCGGCGGCGGAGTGGAGGATCGTGTCCTCGGGGTTGTCAAGTTCTTGAACGAGGGTCTCGAGTTGGCGACCTAAAGACGCTGCGCGATGTGAGAAGGCTGAGCGAGCAGAATACGAGGCAAGTTGTCGTCTTGTCCGACTGAGCTCAGTAATCGACGAGAGGATGGAGACGAGTTCCGGACTGCAGCCCATCCAGAGATCGATGGTGCGCTCATGTTCATGCCAATAGTCGCTGCCGAAGAGCACTTCCTCGCCACAGGCGGTACGTCCCATTACATCTTGGAAAGCGAAGAATAGCTCGGCAAATCCAAAAACCGGGTCTTGGGCGCCATTGGTCTTCGAAAGGGCCGTCTGTTGTTGTCTCCGCAGGCGAATCAACTCTTTCGCGCCTTTGAGGTGAACGGTCCAGCGTTGATCGCAGTCATCTACAATCTCGTAGAGACATAACATCATCATGATCGCTAGGACTTCGGGGTCTGCGGAGCATCTCAAAGATCCTTCCCTAGCTAGTTGGGCGCTGAGACCTCTTAGAGCCTCAGACTTCAGCCGTAGCCCAACGACACTGTAGGTCGAATCGAACCGAGACCAATGGCATGCACCCAAGGCTTGAATGGCCTTGAATAGAACAGGAGAAGCAGAGAGACAAAAAGGAAGAAGGACCGAAGCGAATGGTGAGGACAGGTTCGAGCTAGCCGTGGTTCGAGGACAGACCTGCTGCAGGTAGTAGTCGAACAGATGTCCTTGGCTCCGCCCAGCCAGCTGAGGGAACATGGACAGCGAAGCCATGGGGTCTAGTAGTCTCTGCAATCCGGACGTCGAGCCAACGAGACTGATAGCTCTTCTTCCGTGCATCTCACGAGCAGAGTGGAAATCAACCCCATCCCTCCCGCGAAGCACGACAGCATTCAGCTCGTCACACGCAACATTGACCTCATCCGGCCGTTCAAACGTCGAAACACCACTATTCACAAACCCCCAATACTCGACCATCGGCAAGGGACACCACTCGCGATCATCAAGAAACAGCGAATCCGGCGACTTAGTCCTCCCACCCGCAGGGCTGGACTTACTCCAAACGCCAGCTCTCCCAAACGCCAAACCGCGGCTCGCGAACTCCGACTCCCATTTCAACACCAACTGCGTGGAACAGGGTAATCCTTTTTCACGGCATCGGGAACACACGGGCTTCTGCGTGTCGCAGCGGACACGACTCGTGCGACATTCCTTACAGCCGCTACGGCTTCGGGTCTTGACCGGACCCACGCGGTCTGCAGCCTTTTTGCGCGGCATCCGATAGGTTAATATCTTTACATGGCCAGGCAGGGAGATGGTATCAGGATGCTAGCATCCTTGAGATGTTGTAGCACCACACTTAGAAGCCTCAGCCAGATGAAGGCGAGAAAAGATAAGTGGCAAATGTGGCCTGAAAAGTCTAGACGCAGTGGAGATTGAACGCTGACTGACAAAAGTCCTCGGATAAGAACACCGACGAAGCGAGAGGATGGAATGAAATAAGTATACAAAATCGGCTAATTCCAGCAGACAGAAGAAACGGTCCAGACCTGAGACGAGGCACAGAAGATGGAAGGATTGGAGGCGCCGTTGAGTAGCCGAAAAAGGCGGAGTGGCTGCCTCAGGCCTGAACGCTCTCCGCCAATCAGAGCCCATTAATTCCGCGGGGAAGTAGGCTGCCTCAGGTGTCAAGTTCCACCTGAGGTGTCAAGGCCTCCACTCTCCACTGTCACGACCAGCTTTTCTCGCCAAAGGTCTGATTCTTGCCCAACACCAACCACGGCGTCCCCTTGCTGTCGACCGTCCCGCTGTTCACATTGTTTCCCCACCAGCTCAAAGACACCTGAGGAAACACCAGGGCAAAGAAAATCACAATGGCAGACACTGCCACGCCGGAATCCAGAGCTGCCGAGAGCACGTAGTTGTATTTGGCCCACCAGTTGGGCTTGCGGCCTTTGATGAGCTGGCGATTGTCAGTTCTGCTATTTGTAATTCATCGTCGCCAACTTACCTTGTTGAAGATAAAGCTGACCACAAACGCAGTAGTATAGTTGATTCCGGTCTGTAAATGCGTCAGTCAAACGATCCGAGCAGATTATTAGATAGATATGTATACCGCAGGGGGTAAGTTGCCGGTCCCGGCAAAGAAGATGGGCCAATGCACAGCATCGAGGAAGCGATTCTTAGGAAACTTCTTGCGAAGGAAAAATGTAATGATTGGCAGCGATGCCCCAATCCAGAACATGTGCAGAAGACCAGAATATCGCTTTCCAATGTTATACAGTCGAGCAGGGCCAATGGCTGGATGAGAGTTAGCATGAAATGGATGCTGTTGAAGTTGAGGAGGGGGGGAACCCAGCTCACCTCCCCAGAACACAGCACTGTTGTAGTTCACTCGACCTTGAGGACAGGTAAAGTTGTTCGATTGGTCGCTTGCACATACGTCCTCGACGTTCCCGAGCATCCAGAGTAAAACACCGTCTAAAGGGTCAATATTATACCTAATCAAGGATAGATTGGAAGCTTACTTTGCGTCAAGGTACCAAGTATACAGGCAACTATTTGTGCAACAAATAATGTGCGACGTGGGATCTTCATGTACAGTCCAAGCTAGTGCCGCAGATAAAATCAGTCAGAGGCTTGGAATTGGATGTCAAGAACGCTACCTTCATATCTGCACCGTAGAACATGGCCTGACTGAGACCCGTATAAGCATAAAACTAACACAGTCAGTGGTTAGCAACATCCGTCACTCGAGCAGCGATATGGATATACCTTGAAAATCAAAAGAACAAGCGGTCTTCCTCTGATGAGATATCCCGAAACAATCTCCCCAAGCACGGTCAAAACATTGCTATTCAAGTTCGCAACGGCATATACCGTGCCAACAGGAATTACATAAAGAGCAGCCAAGGCCAGGGTGATGAAAACGCCCCAGAACGGAAGTTCAGTATGCCAAACATACTGCGTCAATATCGCCACAGCGACGATGATGATCTGAGGAAGTCAGCGATTTGCCGCAAATCATGAGATAAAAAAGGTTCTTCTGACCGTCAAAATGCCATACCACCACCACGGCACGTCTGGGTAGTGAGAAATCAACCTAGCATGGATATCCTTCTTGTTCTGGCCCCTCATCGTGTTCCAGATATCCTTGCTATGATTCAATACAACATGCGTCAACAGGCAGCTCAGCACAGCAAACCCCAAGCCATAACTAAGCGCAAAGGTAATGGGCAAGAAAATCGGGCTGTATTCTCGATACTTCGCCTCATCAATCGCACCCGTGTCGTCTAAGATACGGCTCGAGTCATAAATACTCCCAGTATTGTCATACGCGTCTGATCCTGTCAATGGAAGATACGCGGTGAACCAGGTGTTTGTGTAATATAGAATCGGGGCCACCACGGCATACACGCAGAACCACCCAGCGAAAACGTTGGCCTGGGCCCAGAAGGGAATCACGAGGGGGGATGTATTGTATGCGATCTGGCTCCAGTCGAAAGTGGTCGGAAGATATCCGAGGCCGGTGGTCATGCCAAACAAGTTGTTCAATACTTTGTTATCTGTACGATTGATCAGAGGAGCTCACTCGATGAGACATGGATCCTCATACCTGGCGCAGCCCAGCAAATGAACGCAAATGTACTCAGGCCTGTGAAGATGTATCCCGGAAACCAATACCAGCAGAAACTTCCGATAAAGATATACAAGAAGAAGCGATAGCGAGAGATTCCCCAGCCATCCGCAATAGGATTCGCGCCACTGTGTAGTGTTTGAAACAAGGCAGCGTTGGCGAGGGTCGATGGCCAGATCTAACAGAATATTAGTAAAGGTTGACAGTATGTGCTATGATACCTACCATCTGCGGTGGCTCAATAATGTATCGATAGGCTAAACCAGCAAGGCCCAGCCCAAACATCTGCATTGATAATGACAGTAGGATCTGATAGCCTACGGGTGTCTCCATCTGCAAATACACCTTTTGAGCCTGAATGATAGCACTAGCCTGTTGAGTCATTAGTATAATGCACCTTTCTGTCCTATGATTCAAGAATGACGTACCCAAGACTGGTTAAAACTAAGATTTGACATGATCGTTATCACGGCATGCTCCTTCACGTTGAAATGATGGTCCGGATTGATGGAAATGTTCCGCCCAAAGACCCGAATCGACATAATCGGCAACGCCTTGGCAAAGAAGCAGCCAACAGGATAACTGATCAGCTGCGCGACAAGCGACGTAATAGTCACGCTAGGATAACGCATGGAAAAGAACTGATTCACGCCCGTACCGACCTAAGTGTTGTTTGCGTGAGTGACCAAGGTCACGACCATATTATGTCTCGAAAACATACCAACGTAAACACAACACCCAAGAACCACATCCGAAATGTATTAATCGGCAGCGTCGGATCGTCTGTATTGGGCACATTGGCGCGAACTTCCAGGTAAGGCGAATTATCAGACTCAATCGTGTACTCGATATTCTGGCTTTCTCCGATGGCAATCTCCAAGGCATCTTCGGCCGTCATGGGCTTCTTGGTGGCATCATGCTGGAGGAAAGGATCGCCTGGACATTCCTCCACGTCTGGATTTGGCAGCCTCTGGGAATGGATTTGACTCATTGCGGCGGACAGACACAACCACCCGTCGCAGATCTTTCAAAACACAGAAATAGTGACAAGATCGAGTTATCGGAACCGTTGAATATCCGCACAGCTACAGAGGCAATCTCTCCTTTTTATAGAGCATACCACCGGCCATCTTTACCCCAATGGTATACCAATTCCGTTTAGTATGTAGAAAGAGGGGAAGATAGAGAAATTCTGTCTCCAACGATTCGCCCCTCCCCCAGATAAGTGATAAGCAACTAAAGACAGCATGTTGGTCGATCACCGGCCGATAAGCCGGAATGTGGAGCAAACCCCAGACCAAGGGAGTTGGGTAAGGTCCAAGCGACAAGCTGCGGTCCGGCGCATGCACCGGCGAAATCTTGTCCAGGATAAGCACGCTAGCCTCGGTTAGGGAATAGAAGATGGAAAGATTCGCATTGGCGTGGCTGATTGAGGAATCGTCCCAACTGGCCTGGGAAAAGGTAGTCATAGCTTTTGAAATCAGCCCATTAATGCTCTTTGAGAATTAGGTTTGTTATAATCGTGTCAAGATACTGCGGACCAATTGTCCTCATTTGCCTGGGTGTCGATTAAATGTTCAAGGTTTGGGTCAAATTATCATGTTGTATTCTCCATTGCTATTCCTCAAAGACCGAGAAAGGAAGAAAGGGGTTTCAGTGGCAAATTTCAAAAGTTTTTCCTAATCAAGGACTGAGCAGCATCATCGGGATTCTACCTATAGGGTACTAGTGAGAAATCAGATCAAACACAACCCGGTCAAATCGTTGGAACAAAGTAAGGTCCAAGCGACAAGCCTGCCTGTTCCTTGGCATATGTTAGCATGATCTACCCCAAGAAAAGAATTCTAACCTGGTATTATCTTGCATTCTGGCTAAATGCGACGGTGGTAAGTACTTTGCGAATTGGTATACTGCGCATGATCGATGGTAGGAGATAGCGTTAGTGCCATGCTAGACTTGGTGGAGACATCGTTGTATCTCGGTTTAACTCCGAAATCGGGGAACATGGAAAGCAGCACGAGGATAAAGATAAACGGAGAATTATGAAAAAGTCCAGAGCAAATGATCACGTCGGTTTGCGTGATCACGATGCGACCGTCCAGTGGGAATCGAGTAAGTAAATAATAGCACGATAAGTAGCCTAGCAGCTCCTCATTCGGCCATCGCGTGGACCTTCCTCCGCCCTCCACCCCTCGGATTCCTGCTGCGTCATATAAAGATTGTGAACTGGTTGTCTCGACACACTTCTCTTCTCATCGATCCAGGGTATGCTTGCTGCCCAACAATCTAGCTATAAAAGAATTCTGCTCCTTCGCTGGCCTTCAAATATTTCTAGACGGATTTGATTGCATTACCACCATGGCAGTCACCAAGTCGTCATCGATTTTGGTCATCGGCGCAGGAACATGGGGAGCGTCTACTGCCCTCCATTTGGCTCGGAGAGGATACACAAATGTGACTGTCCTTGACCCCTATCCTGTCCCATCCGCCATCTCGGCGGGAAACGATGTCAACAAAATCATTTCGTCCGGACAGTACAGTAACCGCAAAGATGAGATCGAGATAAATGAGATTTTAGCCGAACAGGCATTCGAGGGTTGGAAAAACGACCCACTCTTCCAGCCCTACTATCACGATACCGGACTGTTGATGTCCGCCAGTACCCCGGCAGGACTAGATCGCCTGGGTGTACGTGTAAGGCCGGATGAAGAGCCGGATGTGGTCGAGGTATCTAAGCCAGAGCAATTTCGCGAATTGGCACCTCAGGTATTGAAAGGGGATTTCCCCGGTTGGAAAGGATATCACATTCGTTCGGGTGCGGGTTGGGCGCACGCACGGAATGCTCTCGTCGCAGCAGTTCGGGAGGCGCAGCGACTGGGCGTGAAGTTCGTTGCCGGATCCCCGGAGGGAAAGGTCATCACACTGATTTTCGAGAACAACGATGTGAAGGGGGCCGTGACGGCCGATGGCAAGATCTGGCGAGCAGAGCAGACTGTTCTCTGCGCGGGCGCCAGCGCAGGACAGTTCTTAGATTTCAAGAAACAGTTGCGACCGACCGCGTGGACGCTGGTACATATCCAATTGAAGCCTGAAGAACGAGCGATGTACAAGAATATCCCGGTCATCTTCAACATTGAGAAAGGGTTCTTCTTCGAGCCCGACGAGGAGCGCGGAGAGATCAAAATCTGCGATGAGCATCCTGGATACACCAACATGACCGAATCCTCCGACGGTGATATGCAGAGCATCCCTTTTGAGAAAACTCAGGTACCTCTGGGGTCCGAGGCAAGAGTCAGGGCCCTTCTTTCAGAAACCCTGCCCCAGCTAGCCGACCGTCCGTTCAGTTTTGCTAGAATCTGCTGGTGCGCCGACACTGCCAACCGAGAGTTCTTGATCGACCGTCACCCCGATCATCCTTCTTTGATTCTCGGTTGCGGAGCTTCTGGACGAGGTATGCAATAACCAGACCTATCGAGTTTGATGTACTGACCGTTGCATTCTAGGTTTCAAATATCTTCCTTCTATTGGCAATATTATTGTCGACGCCTTGGAGGACAAGATTCCTGAAAAGGTCCATAAATTGATCAAGTGGAACCCGGAGCTTGCATCCAAAAGGGACTGGAGGGACACCCTTGGAAGATTCGGAGGTCCCAACAAGGTGATGGACTTCCACGATGTTAAGGAATGGACGAATGTCAAACAGAGAGATATTTCCAAGTTGTAAATATGACGGTATATAGACACAATAAACAATGTTCAAATGCATCGCAAGACAAAATACAAAAACCAAACGATATGATCGGGTATCAACGGTATAAGAAAGCGAAAACATAACACCAACGTATCTACCAATCTACTGTTCCCGGGGGGACGCAGAATCACCCATTTGATAAGACTCCTCTGATTCCCAGCGACGGGAGAGAAGCCCAGAGCCTTGTAATTGCTGCTCCTCGTCGCCCGGAAGCTTGGCGAAACCATCCGGGCCAACCAGGTCGTCTTTCTCGTGAGGGATGTCGCAAATCGGGGATCGCAGCGCGGGATAGTAACGACGGTATGAAAAGAAAGCAACGAAAATACCCAAAACGGATCCAGAAGTCACGTCGTAAACATCATGTCTATAATCATCAAGACGGGAAATGGCCACCATCAGAGCACAGAGTAGCGGCGTAAGCGCTATGAGACAGCGGCACAGGTCGGTCCGCGGTCGGAAGACGTGCATTTGGCCGGAGATGAAGCTGCGCAAACCAGTTAGGAGTAAAACAACACTGATACGGAAAGAACTCTTACAAGGACAAATATCCGAGCCCGGCAAAAGAAAAGCTGCTGTGACCACTTGGAAAACTTCGCCATCCCTCCTGCAGGATGTGTTGATTCTGTTGTGTGCATACAGTCCAATCAAGCAGAGTGTCCTGGGGTGTCCCCTTCTTCGGAATGCAGCGCGAGATCAGGTCCGGTCGAGGTCTTCCCACCGCATTCTTGATGATATCCGTAAGAAGAGAGGTGAGCATCACGGCGACAAAGAACCCAAGCAGGGTCACCTGGACTTTATGGCGATTCGGACGGAACATGGAAACCCAAAGCATGAGAATCAGGAAGGGAATAAGACCGGCATAGACGATTGACCAGACTAATAGTCGTAAGTAGAGCCCATTTATCCCGCCAGAGCAGCTACTCACCCACGGAGACTCGCTCCACGACCGCAAAGGGGTATCGAATAGATTTGTTGTCGAGCGAAAACAGCCGATGGAATGGGGTCACAAATAGCTGGATCTGTATGAAGTGGTTAGTACATCAACGTTTCCGCGCCGAAAAGGAGGAAGACTAACTAAGACCCAACTGGCGATCACAAAACACAGCGCAAAGTAGTCAATCACAGGGAAAGATCGCTGATAGAAGCGAGAAAAAGCCCCGGGGACTCCGGAGTGATTTGGGCGAGGAGTGGCTGACCCAGCAGCCATTCCATTGCGTGACATTTCCACAGAGAATTCAAAATCGAAAAGAAAAACAGGAGAGATCAACTCTCCATTGGGGGTGATTGAAGCAGGAATCAAGCGAGAGAGAGGATGAGTGAGGGAGAGGAGAGCGAGGCTGACGGAAGGGCAAAGGACAACCGCCGGGTGAAGAGTCGCCGCACGGGCCACGCCTTGTCCGCCCGAATCTCCGCATGACGCTCGTCTTTCTTTCTTCCACTGTCCTTCCACCCTCAGCCTGTCGTCCTTCCCTTGGCGCCTTGTTCTTTCTCCAGGAAAACCCCCCGCCTCCTGATCACCTGGATCAAAATCATCACGCGAACATGGCCGAAGGGCAAACTCGCGCTCTAAACACGGCTTTTGCCCCGCCGCCTCCTTTATGGAAACACTTCACGCCCGACAATATCAAGAAGTTCGAGGAGATTAAGAAAGAGGCCTCTAAAGGAGATGACGGGAAGCCTACGAAGAAAAAGTGGTCGCCTTCTGAATTGCGAGCGCTTGAACTCCCATCAGAGCTTCGTTACCTGGCACCGCCGGAGATACCTACCTCGGGAGAATACAGTGTTTTTGGAGAACTGCAAAGCGTGAGTCCGTGAGATATCGTCGCGGATAGAATTGTCGCTCACAACCCTATTTTAGATTTCCACAAACCTCTCCTCTTTGAAATCTCAGGGCATTGACCAACTCTACCCGGAACCCTCGTCCACCGAGACCGATCGCGAACCGGGATCACAGCCTCGGCCGTTAAACCACGCGCACTATCTCCTCCGAATCAGCAAATCCCTCCTCTTGAACTTCCTCGAATTCGTTGGTATCCTGGCGGTCGATCCGGAACAATTCCAGCCCAAGGTGGAGGATTTGCGCAACTTATTTATCAACGCCCACCACCTTCTGAATTTATACCGTCCCCATCAAGCGCGGGAATCGCTCATTCTGATGATGGAGGAACAATTGAGTCGGACGCGAGAGGAAATCCAGCAAATGGACAAGTTAAAGGCCGAAATTACCGAAACCCTAGACCAGTTGGAGAAAGAGGGTGCCAATGTTGGCGCGACGGAGACCGACGAGAATAACCAGAAAACTCCCGAATCGAACAAAGAAAGTGCGGAAGATTCAGCCTTGGTTTGGAAGCTCTTGGACGAGCAAAATTGAAGTCCTCAATTCATGCTTTACGACCTACTCAACCTCACTTCCTGGCATGCTTGTCACTGCTTCCTTTTAACCACCTCGATCTCGGGGCGCCATATTTGTGTCAGCTCGCTCTACAGGAGGGATTGAGCGACCACTCTCTCCGAACTGGTATACCTGACCACAGCGACTCAATATTTTCCCACGAGGTATTAATTTCCAAATTTTTCCTTGGGAAGTTAAGGTGATCAAGCACGGAGATCCCAGCTTAACACGGCGCCCCGGAACATCCGTTCCTCCGTATGCAGTCACGTGTCGCACTAACGCCGGGAGCTTTAAAATCCCGCCCAATTTTCTCCTGCAGAAACTTCCCCTGTTGACATCCCTTCAACCCTCGAACAACGACCGCGCTGGTCGTGCAGGACTTGATGATGTCCGAGGACCGCCAGTGTTAGTTCGAGGAGTTCTCCATTCGCCAAATTTTCCCTGATATTACTTCGTATTGGTAAGCTCAACCTTTTCCTTCCTGGTATCTCATCTCTCAAATGATGATTTGCGTTTTATCTTTGTTTCAACCCCATCTGAAGCACAAAAAGTGCCTTCGATTACAACTCTACGCATCCTTCATTCGCATTTTTCTGAAATTGAGAGCTTCTATGCTTTTTGTTTATTGCCGCGATGATTCGATTGTGGATTCGTTGCTAACCATCCTGCTGGTTTAGGGCTCAACCTTTGAAGTTAGTTACAAAAATGAGAACATATTTTCAAAACTCAATATCGTAGCCTGTAAACGTAAAATGCGATGCTCGGTAGCGCGTGGAGACAGACTCATCTTTCCATTAAAACTTCAAGGCCCATAATTGCATTTTATATTGCTAATTGGTTCATCTTCAACTCGCCGATATCCTCGCTCCCACTCTTGGTTTCTTGTTCCTCTGCTAGCTCATTCTCTTGCTCAAACCCTGTCGCGGCTTCAGGAACTCTATAGCAGGGGGCCTCTCCAATTTTGAAGCAGATGAACTTTGTTTATGCTCAAAGCCAGAATGACTTAACGTTCACCATGACTTGTGCAATTAAATCACAGCATAAGATAGATAATAACATGTAGCGTGCCTCGTTGCATTGAACAATTCATGTGGAGGCGATACTAACTAGGCATTATGATTTGTCATTTCCCTGGGGCCATTGATAAAGACCTGTCCATGTTCCGCAATAGGCAAACAACATTCTAGCTTCATTCCAACCTCATTCAGACTCATAGTGGGGACAGTACGGCCGTGATAGCTCGACAATCTCGCCATGTCCCCAAAGTTTCGCATAATAAAACGGTCCATCATCCACATTATCTCCCTCCAGGCCATCGAATGGACGTTGATCAAGTAGTAACTTCACCACGCCATCTTTTCCTTCCCTGCAAGCCTCAACTAGAGCCATCCAAATATAATCTTTCTTGACTTTGTCCGAGTCGGCATCTCGTTTGAGGAACAGATTCATCATCTCTTCATTCCCATGGGATGCTGCGAGTACTAACGGGGGAAGCTCAACGATGCTATAATCATCGGAGTACGGATCCGCTCATTTTTCAAGTAGCAACTCAGCCAGTGCAATATTATCCTCACTCACAGCATATATCAGGGGTGATTCTTCTGCACCTTTATTCGGCAAGGCGCCCTTTTCCAGAAGAAGAGACACCAACGAGTTCTGCCCGTTTTCAGCTGCAAATGAGAGTGGTGTACGCAAGTTCTCGTTATCACAATTGGGGTCAACCCCTCGCTCTAATAACATAGATGCGATCTCTTCATGTTCCCAGACAGCTGCCCATAAAAGGGGGGTCATTCCGGTTTCATCCGGGAGTTCGAGTTTGACGTTCCTCTCCATGAGAAGGCTGGCTATCTCAATGTCTCCGCTTTCTGCAGCTCATGAAATGGGTGTTCGATTGCACTTATCCACGTGGTCCATCACGAGGCTCGCAGCTGCAGCCAAAACTGACGTCCGCCGGAGAATCCAGGCGCAGTGGGCGAAGTGGTGGGAGCGACAACGGGTTGGAAAGCCTACCACGCGGCTGATTCCGAAGCCGAATAAGAAGGTCTTAAGGATGTACGAGGGCCTGAGCAAGCCCCAGACCTCTATAATCATCCAGATGCGCACTATGAGGATCGGATTGAGGCATTCCCTCTTCAAGATAAAGCAGGTCGACTCCGACCGCTGCGGGTGTGAATTAGGCTCTCAAACGCCTAAACACGTCCTTATGGAGTGCTCGCTGCACCTCGCCAGTCGGAGAATAATGATGGAACGCCTCGACTCTATCGAGGGACTGCGTGGGCGTATACAGGACTACGACGCAGTCATGAACCACCCGCAGGCGATACGCTACGTCGCCGATTTCATGCAACCAACAGGCCTCCTACAGCAGTTCCGATTCGCCACGTTTAACGACGAGGACGAGGAGGTCCCGGAACCCAGCACCCTCCTAGAGGGACTCGATCTAAACGAGGAAGACAATGGTTACACAGAACACCAAGGGCCAGTGAGTCTCAACTGGCTATACGATGCGCACATGCAGGAATACTACAAATAGAACGGAGTGGAAGGAGAGAACAGCGCCTAGGGGCGCAGTAGGCACGCGGCAGGCGTATGGCAGCCGGTTTAGTTGTGTTACTTTTTGATCTCTTTTGTCTACTGTATTGGGTTTATATGGCGTACGGGCTCGAGATTCTGCTTCATTCGGCGAAGCGCCTGCATAGCCTGTCGTTTCAATAGATAGGCTCCACCAGGTTAATAGAATTTTGATTGATTGATTGATTGATTGATCCACGTGGTCCAGGTCAACGTTGTCTTTTTGCGGCAGAAGTTTAGCCACAGATGATAGTCTCTTATGTGTCGCATTAGAAAGTGGTGTCATTTCGTTGTCGTCCAGGGCATTCACGTTTACACCTTGCTGTATGAGAAATTCGGCGCCCTCCTCCCGGTCGTTCTCGATGGTTCATAGCAGGAGCTCGCCACCTTGGTTTTTCCTCCAGTCGAAGTCCGGCTTGATGGTTCTAAACAGCTCCTGCAACTCATTGAGTCTCTCGGAAGGCGTTGGCTCGGGGCCTAAAGGCAGCCCGTAGTTGATCTCCGGGGGTGAAATGCCCTTCAAAACCTCAATAACATCCTCATGGCCCTTTTGATCGCCCACATGAATGGCGTACGGTCGTAGTCGTCATCTTCTGTGGTGGTACTGGCATTCCATCGTAGGTAAAGCTTGACCACACTTGTATGACCCTTCATCGCAGCCCACGCCATCGGAGTTCGGTGACATTTATCCACCAAATCTACCGCAGCATTCCCATTCAGCAAGATCTCGACCGTCCCTTCATGGCCCTTCTCCGCCGCCCGGGACAACGCAGTCCTCCCATCACGCCAGTCTTGAACGTCGGGGTCGGCTCCTGCTCCCAGTAAACATCCAACAGCTGCGTCCGATCCCACTTTTGAAGCTAAGATCAGCGCCGTCTGACCAGACGTATCTCGAGCGTCAACTTTTGCACCGGCCGCTAACAAACGCCTGACCACACCACCGTGTCCATTAGACGCAGCCTGCATCAGCGGCGAACGACCCTAAAGATCCAACGCGTTCACATTGGCCTTCCAGTCCAGGGCCAGCCGCACAACATCTTCGTGTCCGCACTCAGCGGCCCAAGCTAACGCCGTTCGTCCGTACTCAGATCGCGAGAGTCCACATTCTGGCACTTATCCAAGTCCTCTCCTACTTCCGCTGTCTGGCCATTCACTGCGGCGACCAGGACAGGCTCTTCCCACGGACATAAGATAACGGGCATTTTTGCGTTCAGGAGTTGGCTATGAAAGACAGATTTTCATTTTTCAACTTTAAGAAGGAAGTTTGACTGGAAAATGGTTCCGGTGTATGGATCCGTACATTATGGAACCTTAAAAGGTGGTAGCAGGGCTTGGCTGAGGAGAATTTGGGTTCATTGGATAATCGGCGTATTCTTAGGGGAACTCGATAATGGACCCTATGTTGTTGGCGTTGCTCTGGACCTTGGTAGTAGGCAATTGTGGCTCCGAAATGCTTTGAGGATTTTAAAAAAAGCATCCAATAGTCAGTCAGAAGAAGCTCATCGTTATCTAAATCTTCTACAAGCAATAGACATAACTCCGGCAAGAACAATTACTCTTTAGTCTAGTTCACCTTGATTTTATTTCATTTGATACGTGCTACAGAGGGACGAATCTAGACTGTTGAATTTCCAGAGAACACTGTTGTCTTATTATCTAATTTAATATTATCTCATTTGCCCATACGCTCCATTGATAGATGAGGGTGTCCAAGATACTCCAACTACCTGGAAATACTTCCTAGGTCAAGTTAATAACATGTCTGAGTCCAGGATGTTAACCTAACAAAAATAAATGGATGGGCCAATAATCATCACCTGTTCGCTGGTATATTTCCAATTGATTCTAATTCTCGATACTGCTCCTAGCATGTACGTCTATAGAGATCAGGATAGGCTATGCAACTGATCAGCTGGGCGTGTTTCCATGTTGTACGCTAAGTGAATATAGTCGGCATGTAGAAGCCGCAGCTCGTAAGATGGTTTGTACGGTTTCTCATGCTCCCTCCTTGCTGCAGGGTATCTAGTTCAATGGTTCTCTGTGACAGCCATCAATATCTGTTCCTGCATATGCCGACAGAGACGCCCGCATGGAGTCAGGTGCGACGATAGCCTAAGTAAACACTGTCCAGGTCTTGGTGAATCTATCGCTGACCCTGCAGAAAACAGCATCATCTGCACCTCGGTGCTATGGTATTCTGGCTCAGTATTCGAGCTTTGTATCCAATCTGGCTATGTAGGTCATGCGCACAGATAATGCATGGAGTACATGCACTTGGTTCTTATTAAAATTTCTTATCAGAGTGGTTGCATGATAGGGCAAGAAATGATTGGCTTTGAGACATAGGCGAGAAACTCGTACGAGTTGGGTCATTGAGGCTGGCCATGACAGGCATCCAGTGAATCAAAAAACCTGGACGTTCACTTGAAACAGACGGGGGTTTGCTCGCATGAACTGTGAGTCTGTGCTACGTGTGGCGATTATTCTGTGCACGGACATCCACGCACCATGAGAAACTTAGACACGAACAGTAGTTCCCAAAGGATAGCGGTTTGTTTCTAAATATCTATGCGAGATTATAATCTCATCAAATGTATTCTGATCATAAGGCTAACATTCAAGACATAGAATCTTGGCATGCTTTCAGTGGGAAAAGCTGGATCTTGATTCTTATGCTACTTGTCTACTTCCAAGCTTATAAGGTACTGGTGCTGCTCTAGTAGGCCGAATGAATTCGTCACCACTACGCTATCGCCGGGAATAAACGACGAGGATCTGCTGATGAACGGAGGAAGACGAAAATAGGCCACATAAACAAGAATCTAACTTTATTGCTCAGATAGAAAGTCAAACTTACATACCGAGCCCGTCAGGTTTGATAGACTAAATACAAGGATAAATCATGTATATATGTCCCGAGCTTCGCCAATTCCGTTTATACATCTAGGCAAATAACCAGTAACAGCATACCATATCGCCATACCATGTACACAATCTAATCTAATCTAAGCCAATCTGTCTAGTATATACCAATGAGAATGAAGGAGTAAATGTAATCAAGCAGACTGCTCATTCCACGCCTTCTCGATAGCACAATTCGCAAGTCGATACAGCTCGATCACGAAATCAGCCACCATTTTTATATTCACGATCTCGGTAAACGAATACGACCGTTTCATGATCATACGCTCCATCATGCCGGTTGAGGTTTTGAGAAGGCCCAGATCTTTGGTCGCCTGCGGGTCTGAGGGGTTTTGTAAGATGTTGCAAAATATAGCGAGGACGGCGGACATGGGATAGAAAATTAATGTCCTATAAAGATAGTGAGCTTAGTGAATGATTAAGAGGGATTATTATCAAGGAATGGTTTACCAGAAAATACCGTCGACAAGGACGTGCTCTGCTGCTTCTAGATATAACAACGTCGAACGGCTAGCTTCAATGGAGAGTGCCAGACTTGAACTAACGCCGTCCATCATCCCGCCTTGAAGGTTTCCCCAGGACATGCAACGGCTGCTAGCCTGGTGGATAATAGTCATGCAGAGGTGGTAATTCAAGCGGAGCATGACAGAATGCATGCTAACATTTGGATCGGGGGTCTCATGAGAGAAGGATAGCGTTGGCCGCCACTCTTGAGGAACGGACATACGCCAGCGTTCGAGCTCGTCGTCCAGTTCGCGGATTTCCTTCAGGAGTTCGGCATCGGTCTTTTTGAGGGATTTGAAGGAGTATAAGGCGCTGTAAGTTCGGGATTTGATGATACTTAGGCGTAGGTCGACGGGGAAAATTGGACTTTCGGGAATCTCCATGGAGTGATGGTGGTATTCCATACTGCTGTACAGCTTTTCAACGTAGCCGTACGGCAGTGTGAGGTCGCAGTTCTCGTCTGTGAATAGTTGGGGTTGACCGGTCCGAAGACACACGTCTTTCTCAATGGTGTAGCACACCCAGAATATATTCCGCAATTGGTGTTGAACGCGGGCCTTGGTATCATTCAGTTGCCCTAGGGCAGTTTGTGGGCACGGGGGCGCATGACAGCCGAGCATAAAGATCATTCGAGCCGCCAAAGAGCCATAGTAGTTGGCTGATTGTAGGTTTCCTGCCACTAATTCACAGAGTGCCTAGAGTAGGTATTTAGTATTTGCGTTGCGTAAGGGTGTACGTCATATGGTACAGATAGACTTACCATCATAGTGAGCGCCTCTAACCCCTCTCTGGAAGTAGGTTCCTGCAAGATTTGCGGTAGAAGATGCTGTACCTTCAGAATATTTTCCTCTCCGTCAACAGATGGTAACTCCTTGCCCTGGGGGTTGAAGCAAGGATTTTGAATGAAGGTCGAGAAAGCAAGAAAAGCAAACACACAGGCCCGCACACTCGCTGGCGCAGAGTGACCACTTAAGTATTCACTCCGATACGCCGCACTGATAGTGTCTATAAACAAGACGCAGTCCAGAACTGGGAATACTCGCTGCATCAAAGACCACCGATACGCATCGAACCGGTGCTCCACGACTTGGCGATCGGGAAGCTCGAAAACATTGTGAGACTGCGGGCTCATCAACAGTGCGTTGGAACTTAGCGCCCGTTGCTTCTCCCACGGCGGCTTCGACGGACTAAGCTTATCGAAGGAAATCTTCTGGCCAGTCCGCGACTCAACCCATTGCCGTCCTTCTGGTAGTAAGAACGGGATTCCAGTGATAAGACTGACCACACCGAACTCTCGTCCAGCGAAATGAAGAGGTACAGAGGAGGAGACAGACGGATTGCCCGGGGATGGGGTAGTAGTAGGCAGAGATAATTGGGGGGAACTGCCAGGAACAGAGCTCGCTGGCTGTTCACGGGGAGCTATGCAAGGTTAGTTATCTTGTCCCCAGTAGTGCGCATGGGCAACATACTATTTTCTCGCAATAAGCTGTCCGTTAATAGTTTCTCTATCCTCTCGATGCGCTCCGCCAAGCGGTCTGGTTTTTGTGGGCTAGATGACTGTGGGTCAGTATATATGTTTAATCGATTTCGATCTGACAACATGTTATCCCTTACTTGTTTGCATTGTGCTTATCTTTCCTTTTCCTCCGGACCACCCGATCAAACGTACAAGGAATATTATGGTGGCTACACCAGTTACATTGCGGTACCGCAGCGTCACATTTAATCTATATACAAATTAGCACAGACAGAGCGTAGACAGAGCAGAAGCATTCGAGTGCGCGATCGTACCTTTCGCTTGTAGCATGAATCGCAGGCTCTCGCAGTGCGCTTCTTGAACGGCCCTGCGTCATCCTCCGACCTATCGGCCGAGGTTGGAGACGGGTACATCTGGAAGCAGTCTCTCTCCACCGTAGCTCAGTTTATCATCGGGGCAACAGGCCAGCTATAGTTAAGAAATCACGATATTCAGCTCAGTGGCGGGCAGCAGCTTCTTGGGGGGGGAATGACGATTGCGAAGATGTGACCGAGGGCCGCTGACTAAAAGAGCAAAAAAGGCAAAAAACTGGGGAAGAGCGTGGCGATCGGCTGAGTAAGCGGAAACACAGCCATTTGCCTTCCGAGCACTGCGCTGCATAACTGCGATGACTCAGTTATACCCTTATGAAGCCCTGGCAAATGCAGTGGAGAATTGCTCATTTGTGAGCTCTTCTTAAAGGTGATCAATGGGCTTTGCTGTTGGAGGGCCCCTGTCTAGAAATAAGGAACAAGCATTCGATTCTTTTACCCCGATCGCCATAGTAGCAGGTGCACTCCATCTAAGCTTCTGACCAATCTATATTGTACAGGTCTACATCTTAGGGCTACGCATTCTCTAGTCTTCTGCAATCTTCTCTTAACTAACAGTTTTTACTACAGACGCACGACTCGGCCGATTTGTTATATCCTCCTCATATGCAAACCTCCCAGATAGATTCAAAGTTGGCCCTAACTTGGAAACGGTCTCCTAGTGTTCTTTCTTTGAGCTAAATCGCCTTCAGAACACTAAATAGTCTCTCTAATTTTAACAAATATATCCAAAAAATCCTCTATATCCTGTGCTCCATCCACACGATACTCCTCTCCCTGTATCAAAAACACTGGCACCCCCGAACTCACCAACTCGCGATTCCTCTGCGCCTCATCATCCACTTGCTTCCCATTCTCCTCGTCATCCAACCAAGCATCAACTTCCGCAATATCTAACCCAAGCACCCCCTGCCCAATTTCCCGCAGCACCTCGCGGTCTGAGATATCCTTTGCCAACTCATGATGCGCCTGGAAAAGCTTCTCCGCCATTGCATCCTGCAGCTGACCCTCTTGACTCTTCTTCTGATTCTCAATCTGGCTCAGTAACAACAACCGATGCGCATCTCTTGTTCCCCCGATCTTTCCATCATGATTAAGTCGAATCCCAACGGCACGTCCGATTTGCTCCATTCGGTTCATGAGACCCGTCCGCTGCTCGGGCGTCATATGCGCAAGCTTTTTATCCGCGAGAATCTTCTTTTCCACGCTATGTGGAGACGGTTCTTGCTGTAGGTAGTAAGGCCGCCAAGTAATAACGAAGTTGTCGGAGCTACCACCTGGGTAGGTCTTTTTATGTAGTTGGATGGCTTTATCGAGGCGCCGTTTGCCGATGAAACACCACTTTTGCTTATTAGCTTATCTGCAGGAGGCAGGGTAAGTTAGAAGACGACTGTCAGAGAAAACGGACCACGCAAACAATGTCAGAAACTATATCGATAGTTATGATGGTCATTTTGAGGATATGATATGATTCGAGCTTAGTTTCTTTTCCAATTGAGAGGTAACAACAGTCTCGAGCATGAAACTTGTTGTCAAATAGAATGGGAGAATGACCGATTTATTTAACCTGCACTGTACGCTTCCAGGCAGCAGCGTTGGTGACGACTACACGCCTACTGTAGGTCGATAACAGGATAGTTGGACATGGTGACTCCGCAGAGGGCGGAACTCCGCCAGCGCCAAGGATCCAGGATGCGCGTCGCTTACCAATCGCTACGATAGACAAGGCTGCTATGTTTATGCTGATCTGAACCCCAGAAGAATACTGAATTTGGAAGCTCTTAAATACATCCCTAGAATCTACCCAATAATCAGTCATGGAACTGCTAGGGATTGTCTACGATATCTATAATTTATCATCAGAATGGACTTTTTATTTAGTAGCAACCTGTTATTGACTTTAGATGAAGTTAACTAACGATTAAATTCCATGAATATTACACTCAAGAATGTAATAAAGTTTTATAATTTACTATTGTTATAGAAAGCCCTTGTCGGTAGACTTGGTCATTTCCCTAAGCAGATATCCTATCGGTTTAACTGAATGTAGGTATATGCTCGGTGGGTAAAAGTGAAGTGTCATTTCTAAACTACAATCTGCCTAGCTATTTATAGTTCCACTTGTTTACACCTATGCATTCCTGACTCCTTGGTATGCCATTTGGAATGGTAGGCCAAGTCTAGGCCAAGCAAGGTGCTTTGCGGTATGTGGATTAGGTCAGGATACTCCACCTCTCTGGCCTGGTTGACAATATTGTTCCAACAGCCCTATTTCCTAGAGAAATCTTATACCAAGGCAAAAGACTCGTAGAATATCATCAACGGCAAAGCCAGCGCTTTATATGAAGCGAACCAGCAGAATCTGCCTGTCGCCACCTCACAGGGCCCCTGGCACTCATTCACCGTGTAATCGACGCTCGAGGGTTTGGTGGAAGACGAAATTAACCCCGCGGCCGCGGTTAGATGGCCTATCGTATGTACACACTACCCAGATATAAAAATAAGCCTGAGTTTAGCATGGGTATTAGGATGATGAAAGAAAAACATACCGCTATCTTCATAGAGAGCACATGCAGTACACGGCTGCCCGCCGTCGCACTTGCTCTTTTTCCGACGACATTCGTCGCAAGCCCGACCGATTCGACGTCTTCTCATCTCTATCCTATAGTTGGAACCCGGCTCATCCATGTATAGTGGGCTAGTTTCCACTTCCTCGATGCCTCCAAAGACCAAAGACTAGACATCGTCAGACATGGGCAATCCAGGCTCGCCATCGGTGCATCACCACCTGGCATGTGCTTGCCATAAGGGAGTACCTGCCACATAACACTGACAAATTCGCTCACCAAAATCCTGGGGGCTGTACACTGAACCCATGAAACAACGTGAATTGGTCCCAAGTGGAGTGCCGGGCTGTTCGGAAGCGATTGATAATCATTCTCTTCTCGATAACTAACTAGTTACGAGAAAAAGGAGGGCCAAAATTTGTAATCACACGGCCATGTTTGGGCGGGGAGGCAGTCTTAGCCGAGGTCAAGGACCCCAATTCAAAATTGGTCAGCACACCAGCTGGCAGATTGGTCAGCAAGGTATAGTGTATGACAGTCAAGGAATCATGGTTTATTTAATCCTGAAAGTGCGCACCCTGTCCCAAAAACCACTTAGTATAATCATTTCATTTGAATCCATTATCCTAAGAAAAATCTAGTCCTCTCAAAATGCCAGGCCCCATCAAAACCGCCATCGTCCTTGTGGATCCGTACAACGACTTCCTGCATCCAGATGGCAAATTGACGCCCCTACTAAAAGATCTCCATGACAGGCAAACCGTCAAACATATCAAAGAGCTAGTAAGGGCTGCACGTTTCCACAAAATTCCCATTTTCTATGGGCTTCACCAGACATGCTCCGAGAACAGCTTCTTTGACTGGAAACACATGACGCCCAATAACGTCAAACAACAGAGACTGCAGTTTTTCAAAGAGGGATCGTTCGGGGCTGAAATATATGAAGGAATGCAACCAGATCCAGAGAATGGGGATGTTGTAGTCAGTCGGCATTGGAATAGCAGGTATGTTGCTGGAGGGAAAAAATGAACGAAAGAGGGTACGTGGACCGAATGATTGACTGGGAATCAGCTCGTTCCAGCATACCGATCTCGATTTCCAACTTCGGCAGCGCGAGATCACAAATCTTGTTTTCGCTGGCTTGACAGCGAATACCTGTCTTGAGGCTACCGCTCGAGATGCATTTGAACTGTCAGTATTCAGATATTTCCTAAGGATCGGTTCGTTATATTACTAGGGCTAACAACAGTCGTGTTTAATTCTAGTGGCTACAACATTACTCTCCTGTAAGACTGAGTCCAATCCCTTCTTTCACGGTTTTTTGAACGTAATATCCTCGCTAACCAAGACTTTTAGAAAGGACGCCACTGCGGGGTGGTCCAAGGAGCTGACAAACGCAGCGGTCGATCTGGTGTGGCCTTTGTTTTCGCAGAGAGTGCTCACTGTAAATGAGTGGATTGAAAGCCTGTGAGAGTCTCAGGAGGTAACTGGCAAGATTTAGATAATGTTTTTCGTATGGTGGGAATTAGACAATGGACATCAATAACTGTATTCCAGCTCAATCACTGTATCACCGTAGCTAGATGTACAGTAGGTACCCGTTGGAATACGTCCTAGCTTGCCAATGCGGTATTTAGTTATTCTCTTCACCCTTCTTTGTATTTCTATCTGTAAAATCTCTTTCCATCAACCCTCAAAAAGATGGCATCCACATAACTAGTGTTTGTGCGCAACTCATGGTCAATTTAGGGGTGGATGGCCCGCTCAATTTGTAATCCGGCTTCTTCATACACACACCATAGAATGATAACCTCTTCAAAATCGAGAATATATCCAAATCTCTTAAATTAGAAGGTAAATCGTTACATTTATTGGGTAATATCAATATCATACTGCCGACTCTCCGGCAATAAATCGATCACTCAGTACCGATTCTGTTGTGCCGGATTGCCCCCGTGCCGGTGATCAGCCATCGAAAAAATGATGTGCTGACAAATTTGCCTCAACCACCTCGATTCCTTCTCTCTATCTTCCTCGATGTTGCTAACCCTAACCAACTTCGCATTGTTTGGTATATATTTCAAGGTATATCTTCTTATTATTGATGTGTTTTTCTATCAATTCAACTAATACAAGGGTGTTGTTTACAGAACACATGATTATCCTCTTCGTCTGGATTCAACATCCTCCTCGTCCTATAGCCTATTGTGCCCGTGACAAACATACACATTCATCCCCTCTACAGCGAAAATGCATCAATCCAAAAAATAAAACGAATAGTAATCTCAATTCCACAAGCCCACAGCACCGACCGATAACACACTACCAGCCAATTCAACTCCTCCTCCACCAGACGGCGGCCTCGAAGCATGGACTCAAGTCCTCTGCATGCACTTCACCTTTTTCAACAGCTGGGGCGTAAACAATAGCTTCTCGATCTTCCAGCAACTGTACACCTCCACGCTTTCCGAATCCGCATCGAACATATCCTGGATCGGAAGCGTACAGACCTCGCTTTTGTTCTTCATGGGCGTATTCGCCGGCCGGGCCACAGACCCAGGCTGGATACTTCCGCATCGTCTACGCTTCAGGCGTGTTTTTACAATTACCTGGCTTCTTCATGCCCTCGCTGTGTCGAATCTACTAACAAATCTTCCTTGCGCAGGCCGTTTGCATGGGCCTTGGGAATGGACTCACCTTCAGCCCTGGGCTATCTGTCATGTCGTCGTACTTTATGCGCCATCGAGTCGTGGCGGTGGGTTTGGCGGCTGCGGGGGCGGCGACGGGAGGATTGGTTTATCCTATGTTGATCGATCGGTTGCTGTATGTTCATGATATAGGGTTTGGGTGGACGGTACGTGCCGCTGGGCTGGTGATGTTGGTGACGCAGATTCCGGGCTTGGTTTTATATCCACCGTGTACGGCACAGGAACAGCAACAACCAGATCAGGCGCAGACCAAGTCTACGATCATCGACTGGGCAGCTTTCAAGGAAAGACCCTTTGTGTTTTTTACCATCTCCATGTTCTTGAATTTCTGGGGCCTATACTTCGCCTTCTTCTACCTGGGTACCTTTGCGCGCGATCGCCTGGGCATGTCCAGCACACTGGATCTCATCCTGGTCCTGAACGGTGTGGGGGTTATCGGGCGCATCGTGCCCAGTATAATCGGCGACCGTATCACAGGACGCTTGAACATACTCATTCCGATCAGTATTGCGTCTGCAGTTCTGATCTTTGCTTGGATGGCTGTCTCCTCTGTCGCGGGGCTGTATGTGTTCACTGTTTTTTATGGTGTCGTTGGAGGTGCTGCACAATCGCTGTTCCCGGCCACCGCGACAACTATGACTCAGGATCCACGCCGCACTGGGACCCGGTTGGGGATGATTCTGAGCGTGGTAGGCTTTGCTACATTAACTGGGCCTGCGATTGAGGGGGCTTTGATCCAACAGGAAGGGGGGAGTTATATTGGTGCGCAGGCTTTTGCGGCTGACGTGATCATGCTGGGTGCGCTGCTTGCTGTGGCTTGTAGGGTAGCAAAGACAGGGCTTCGCTTGCGTGTTACGGTCTGAAGGTTTCTGTTTCTTTCTGTTGCCGGCTTCTCTAGTTCCTCTGGCTCTCTGCTCTCGCCAGTTTTGCTCATTCTGTGATCCAGGAGATATGTGATATTTAAATTGTGAGCTGGAATAGAGAATTCAATTTATCGAGCCTTACTCGTTATTAGAACTAGGAGGCTAGGAATAAAGGACATCAATCAATCGTGTCGATGTATGGATGTGTCTGGTTGTCCGAGTCGGCCAATCTAAATTTGTCAGCAGCCAAAATTGGTGAATTTTGTTTTCCTGCTGCCGCACGAGCGCAACAACATCACCCCATCTCCCCCTTCGAAGATCTTACAGAATTAAGACTTGAGTCCCCGCCCCATCCATCTACCATTCAATTTGAAAAAGAAAAACAATCCCCATCACAAACCCATGATCACTCCCACAGGATCATCAAGATCCAAACGGCGTCGGACCTCGCCACAAATCACCACCGCGGCCAGTACCCGTCGCAAGCGGGTCCGTGGCACGGCCGACCATCCAACTCATCCAGCTACGGAGAATAACAACGACACCAGCAATAATGAATCCTCAATTCATCCCGAGGTAGCCTCGACTAAAAATCCACAGCCCACATCCTCCACACAAACACCAACTCCAACCGGTAGTGGCCTCGTGGAATCCACATCCGCAATCCTAGCACGATACAAAGCTTGGCGAAGTAAAGCATCCCCATCCATCCCAGGCCACCAAAGTCTTTCCATCCAAACAACTAGTTGACTAGTTCCTTGATCAAAATAACTAATTTTCCCCTCACATCACAGAAGCAGGAGCACCGCATGATCTGCGCTGCTTCGAATGTCACCAAGAAGGAAAAACTCAGGGAGACCTAGATCCCTGCGAGACTTGTCCTCGAGTGTATCATGAGGCGTGCAAGCCAGAAGACGGCTACTTCGTGTCATCGCAGCAACCACGAGCGCAGCCGGGCCCTGTTCCCCCTCGTCAATGGTATTGTCCCGTTTGCGTGCATCGCGGATGGCACGTTACCCCACCGGTGTTAACACCGCCTCAATCGCCTGTGTTGAGGCCGTCAACCCCTGCTTCTATTCCTGCCGCAGCTGTTCCAGCGCGTGAGGAGAATGTCCGCATTGAGAATATCGAAGCGACGAGTAATACTAGGGAAAGTAGCAAAGGTCAACAAATAGATACATCTAGGGAGAAAGAAAAGTCGACCGACGCAAGCAGACGTAAGTCGCGGTTCGACACGCTCTCGCCACAAGTCGAGTCCGCGCTGTGGGTTCTCTATCGCGAGCTAGAAAGCGTGCCTCTGGCGCAGCGACGGATCGCGGACCTAGAGAATGAAATGGCGCAGCTACGGCAGGAGGTGAGGATCCGGCGGAATGAAATCGAGTTGACGCGCGCGAGTGGCTCGCAGGTGCGTGTATTGCGGGAGGAGGTGCAGAAGCTGAAGACGGATTTGGCGAGTCGAGAGGCGGCTGTGGAGGAGACTAAGGGTTTGAAGGCGCGAAATAGAGAGCTTGAGGTGGAGTTGGAGCGTTCGCGTGCTGAAGTGGAAGAAAGTGCTAGAACTCTGGCTGAGTGGAAGAAGAAGTTGTCGAATTTGATTGGGGAGTAATATGTTATGCTAGGAAAAGAAATAGTCTGACATTCGGTCTACCTGGACGATAAGATGTTTGAGATACGCTTCTCGATACGATGCTTGTTGGAACAGAATGTCTCATGTACAATAGCATTCACAAAAGCTTAATACAACGATAATCAATAATTCCAAAGAATCACCCGAAGATAATCACATACAGCATATTCCATTTAGTAAAACTAGAAGCATCGAGGATACAACAAAATAGGTACACGATTCCTGATCCAAGAAAGCAAGGCCCAAAAAGGGGCATATCTACTGAGCTAAAAGAAGCCAAGAAACATCTCACGGAAGAATTTGAAATGAAATTGCACAAATAGGGGGAAGCTTTGGGCGTAGTTGTCTGAGGTTCAATCCTATGCCTCCTAGGGCCGCGTGGCCTGGACATTCAATCCCCGTTATACGAAAAGCGCATTGTAGCATCAACCTAATAAGAACATTCTTTCAAGTACCATCTCCTTAGACCATCGAGATTCGAAGAATTTGAATATTACGCCGGCGTAGAGGGTAGGGTAAACGTCCTTTCGAGAGCCTGTTCGATACTTCTTCGGTCGAGCCGATTATTCTGCTTCCTTGCGAGCGCTGCTTTTGACGGTGACTCATCTGTTGCAGACTCCCTTGATCCTCGATTATAAGTTTTCATAATGGGCTCAGTGTCCGGAATCTGCCCTCGTGCTGACATGCGGACTGGTGTGTTTCCTGGTAGCTCGACATGTCTGGAAGCATTCAGTAGCTTCGCGGGCGCCGTTCTTACAGTTACTGTCACTGTTGACTGCTTCCTTGGTGTCTTTGCAAGTCCTTCTGAGGGTTCCTGGTTGGATTTAGCGGCCGAAGCTTCAGGTGTAGGGCCTGTCATCTCTTTGTAGACCCAAAGACAGAGAATCAGTAAGGACTGGATTTTCCGGATGCCATTTGGGTGGACAATATTTCCAATCACAGGGATACATTCCATGATAAATGATATGACAGCCAGGATGCAGATAAAGTTGAAGAGTGGCAATGACATCGGCAAAGCCTGCTCGGGTGCTTTTCTTGTTGCTTCTTCCAATTCTGGATCTTCTAGCTCTGGGTCTTCTGATTCAATCTCTGCTTCAGTCCAGGCTTTCCAGCCTGCTCGAAGGCATCCGCGACACGCCTCAAGACCAGGATCTCTTTCGCAGTTCGAATCCAGGCATTGAAAGTAGTTGTCGTAGTAGTTCTTATCCTTCAACATGTCAAGCCGTCTGACCCAGAATGGTAGAAGTTCACCGTCGCTATCATATGGTTTGCAGCGCTCGAGCCACTGTGCCCAGAACTCAAGAGTCTCACGGGCAATCTCCTTTTCTCCCCGAAAATATTCCGTATGGTCCGTTTTGCAAGAGTCACACCTAAACCGCTCATTCATGAAGTATAACTCTTTCTGTGCGATCTTTTCCAGGCGTACGTACTCACGGAGTGGAAACTGGGGGAAGGATTTGGCTGTCCAACCCTCAAGATTGCAGTCACGAACCTGGTTAGCCACACGTTGTCTTATTCTGGCTGTTTGAGAGCTTCCAATCTTAAAACGCCCTGTTTTCTCACGGTGATCTTCAAGCAGGTATGCATGTCCGACATTTTTCTTTTCGTCTGCAGAAAGCCCTCGTTTGATGCGTTCGCTCATGCTAGTAACCGTCTCCCAGGTGCTGTTCAGCATTGGGGATGGGCTGTTTTTCGTGGCCACCGGGCTCCGGCGCGGTGTTTCTGGGTTGGTGGAAGATTTGCGGCTGGAGGCGGACTTGTTTTCCTGAACTCGAGTTGGGATTTCGGTTGTTTCTTCGTTATATATTTGTCGCGAGTGATCTTGTGCATGTGAATGATGTTCAACCACCAATAGTTCCTCCTGGTCTATCTCCATCTCTTGGTGGACATAGCGCACGGTGTCAGTGTTGGCGTCTGTTTCCTGACAATCCATTTGATTCCTGTCCGACAAGAACGGACTGGTCTCAACTAAATCAACGATTTCGATCGTTCTGGAGTTGATTTGGATCGGTGGGGAGTGATTGCGAGGCTCGTCGCTGGGGGTGTCATCCGTTGATTTGTCGGAGGCGTCATCCTCGATTTCTATGGCCTGAGGAGTCAGGGGCCTCTTTGGGGCATCATCTACCAAGCCTCGTAATGTGGTTGATGTGCCGGAAGAACAAGTTTGCGCCATCTGGAAGTGATGATAAAATATCCAACAGAGCAAAAGCGAATAGTAGGAAAAAAGAAACAGTCGGAACAAAGATTCAATTATTCCACAACAGGGCAAACAAAATATACTCGATATGAATCAAAATAAAACCAATCAGGCGTATATAAGAGAGGACAAGACAAAATAAGAAAAAAAGCCTGTACAAACCAACAGGCAAATCGCAGGGCGAACAACACTTGAGCAAGAATCAAATAAAAAAAAAAAAAACAAAAAAAAAACCAGAAACCACGCGGTTTCTAGCCACCCATATATAGACCGGCTTACCCGCCAGTACTCCCCAAGTCTTCTAAGCTACCACCACCTAGACCGGGGTGATATGTCGTAGCCTGCCTCGAGGTTTCGCATTCATCCAGACCCTTGCAAGCGCGACGGGGATCACTTCAGCCCCCGCACAGCCGCGCGCAACAACATGCCGTGCAAGTGTCCAGCAGAGATGAACAGAAATTCCTGTCGAGTCATTATTGCTGGGCAATAAGTTACTTGAACTTGTGCTTTCCACAGCAGGAGCTGAATCAGCCTGCAGAATTACCGGGGACAGTTGATCGGTCGTGGTGAGATGGTTGCAGAAGAAACAGTACCATGCTCAACACAAGACCCGTCTACCCGTGTCCTGAGGTCGTAGGCCCCTCGTGCCAAGCGCAGGACAGCATGTCCCACGAGGGGAAAGGGAGGCTTAGTCGGTGGAAAAAGGTACTATGACGCCCTATTGATCGCGCCGGTGCCTGGAACTTGATGCAACGGTCTCCAGGATGGGTATGGCACACGGCGCTAATGCGGAGCGTCCAATTATCAGTCATGAGCCTGCCTGCGAGTGTGGCTGGTGGTATGTAGCGGGTCAGGAGGATGGTAAGTTGACATGGGAGGTGAGCACTACCCACGCAAGTTGACTGCGGCAATGTGACTAACTAGGGACGGACTGATTATTTATCTCCGAACCGGGGTATCTGCTATCGAGACTCGGTAGGATTGCGTATCCACTTATTCTAGATTAGATATTTGAATATGATGATAAGATGGGATGAAATGGCTTCAGCGAAGGGATAGGAAGGATGGTGTACAGGATAGAACGAAGAGAGATGAAGCATCTGGACTAGAGAAGACAGTTAACGCGTTATTCTACCATAGACATCAGGGTAAAAATGCACTAATTTAAACGGTTTCTCGTACAAGCGGGTCCTATAGCTCAGTCGGTTAGAGCGTGGTGCTAATAACGCCAAGGTCGCGAGTTCGACCCTCGTTGGGACCATCTTTTTGTTATTTTTTTTGCCCGGCCTGCTTCGGCGATCCTTGATTTACCGCCGCCGCCGTAGCCCATATAAGTGTTTTTAACACCCAGCACGTTCCAAAAGTTGTTCGTCTGTCCCATTCAATTTTTCAAATAATTCCAGCCATGCATTTACTTGTTAATCTACGCCTAAAGATCCCTGTCCACGCTCCCTACTGAATATTTTTGGATCTTTATGATACGGAGTACAAAGGCACCTGACCTAGTCCAAAGACACAATTCTAACGAACCAAAAAAAAAAAAAAGAAACGTTCAAAAAAAGGCACAGGGTAGATACTACCTGCCAGCCTACAAATGGATATTAATAACGCAAAACACTCATTACACATAAACCCTCTCTTCCCTCTAGACACCAACCAACACAGCCCAACCATACCATCAGCCAACCCAAGAAGACAGCCAGAACGACAAGACAACAGCATGATCTGCTATGCGACGCTTAGCCTAGCCCACTAACCACCTTCACATCACATCATGATCAACATGTCCCTGTCCCGTCTGTCCGATCTACACCCATTCATTGATTAGCCTCATCTCATCTCACACCATCCATCATGATACCCCAATCCCAAAATGCGAACAACTTACCATCTATCCCATCCTATACCATCCCATGCATACCATCCCAGTCAATAGCATATCGATCCATCTCATCTCACATAACCGTACAAATACAACAATCACACTCCTCGTCTCCACAATCGCACCCGAAACAAGGTTTCTGGACCGTCTTGATCGGCTTCTTGATAGACGAGCCGGAGGCCGATGACGGGAGGGTGAAGTTAACTGGAGAGGAGAAGGTGGAGGTGCCCATTATGATTTGATTTTGGTTGATTTGATTTGATTTGTTTCAGTTGATTGATCGATTTGTATGGATGGTAGACGGTAGGATTCAAGAAGAGAGACAGATGGATCGGTCGGTCGGTCGGTCGGTCAGGACGATAGGATTGGATTTGAGTTGGATGGATGAATGGACAAGGACGTAGGGCGTAGGTAATATAGGTGCCTGAACCGAGGTTGGAGCTAGAGAATGAGATGGATATTGTTAATCACACGCTTCGAGGACCACAGCAGGTACAACAGAGGACAAAACTGAAACAAAGACCAGAGAGCGGAGAGGTAATAAATAGAAACTTACAGTTGGGTGCGATCAGACCGAAAGATGGAAAAGTGAGGCATGAAGAAGTCGGTCTGGGGCAGGAGAAAGAGGAAAGGCAGACGACGTCAGAGCCAAGGAACGGCAAGTGGAGATCTCAGCCACCGTTGGATGCCTCGGGTCCGATTTATGGCCGTTTGAGAAAGATGCGAATCAAACTACACAATTTTATGAAGTCAAGGGAAAGAAAAGTCAAAGTGAAAAATATCATCAATCCAATGTGCACAGTAAAATACTATGTACAACTTTTGTTCTGTTCATAAATCATCCCATACATCCCTTTTCTATCATATCGCGCACTTCGCAAGGGAGCTGGACCTTCCATGCGCGCCGGGGTATCGTCTAAGAGTTATCCGTAATTCCTTCCAGTTTTTGAAAACATGTCCCATCTATCCGTGCATTATAATTTTAATTTTTTTTTTTTCGAGTCGTCAAGCCATTAGTTACCCGGGGGTACGCTGCAATTTACAGCTGCTCAGCCCAGGGAGCAGCGCCGGGCTGCATCTGGTTCAGCCACTTGACAAGCTCGATGAGCTCGGCACGGCGCTCGTCCTCGAGCTGGTCCTGGTCACCGCACAAGACGGACTGAAAGATGGGCAGGAACTGAGGAGTAAGCTCCCGGACGGTAGGGTCCTCCCACTTGTACAGTTGACAGATCATGCGGTACAGAGGGTCGTTCTCCTCATAGTCGTTCTTCAGGGGCAGAAGGCTGACAAGAGCGGGAAGAACCTCCTTGAGAGGGATGCTCTCGCGGTGACGCAGGATCATGCGGCTGAGACAGCCGGTGGCATTATCCTGAAGGCGGGAGACGTTCTGGTTCAAGCACGACTCGAGGCGGCTGAGGATGGTGGGGTACTCCTTGACGATCTCGGCATCCGCGTTGGAATGCTCGACGAGACGGCCAACGGCGTAGGCAGCGTTGGACTTGGTCTGGGGGTCCTCATCACCCAGGCGGTGCACCAGAAGCTTGAGGAATCCAGGGGTGTACTGGGTAGAAGCGGCACCCATACCGTTGATGCACTCAGCGAGAACACCGACGGCGGTAGCACGCTCAAGAGACTCGGAGCTGCCAGCGTAGCGGAGGATGGTCTTCTCGAACATCTTCCACAGCTCGGCGAAGCTCTGGCCAAGAGCGGCAGCCATGCCAGACACGACGTCAAGACCGGTGTCGACGACAACCCAGTCGAACTCCGAAGTCTCCTCGCCGGCCTCGAGGGTCTCTTCCTCGGGACCGAACTCAAGCTGGCAGGGGTGCTGCTTGGTGATGATATCGGTGATCATCTGGATGACGTTGTGCAGAGTGGTCTCGTTAGCAATGAGAGAGGGACCGCAGTAGCGGAGGTTCTCAGCCATGTTGCGGTTGATGTCGGCAACGGTAGCCCTAGGTGTTCATCTGGTTAGCAACCCGAAGGACCATAATCATCAAGAACACGAAAGTATCAAAATTTTCTCAGGAGTAGATTAATCGTCGTTCGCATCAACCACGTTTTTTACGTGTCTGAGTGAGCTGGGTAAAACGAATGTGTTCATCATCGAAAATTGACCCGCATTGAAGAGGCTAGAGTTGTTCAAGGGGTGCGGGGGAAAACAAAAAAGGAAAATATGAAATACATACTTGTCATCTTCCTCAGTCCACATCTTGACGGTGGCAGTCATGAGGATTTCACCGAACTTCTTAACTTCCTTGGCAGGCTCAACCTGCAAGGGAAGACCGGGCTGCCATTTGGCCATCTGGCCGTTCTCCTCGGCGTACGCGAACAGCATAGCGTAGGAGCGGTGCATGGTGCTGATGGTGCTCTTGCGCACACCCTCGTAAGGGTGGTCGGCAAGGGGCAGAACCGCCTCGACGGTCTTCTCGAAGTAGGGCAGGTAGGCAGACTTGGTGTGGGTAACCAGGTCACCGATGACCTCGACGGCAATCTCCTTCTCGAGAGACAAGGGGGTGGTGGCCGTGATGTCATCCCAGGCGTCTTCATCCTCCTCGTCGACATCAACGTCCTCGATACCACCGTCCTCACCGACCGGCTCGTCGTCGTCAGCGCTTGCGACCTTGACCTTGCGGCCGGCAATGGTAACCTCCTGACCGACAAGGTCCTTGGCGGCCTCACCCAACGAGACGTCAAGGTCATCCTCGTCCTGCTCAAGGCAGTCGAACAGGCCCTTGACAACACCGTCCAGGAAGGGACCGAAGTGCTCGACGTACACCTTGGCCATAGCACCCCAGAAGATGTAGGTGCTCTCCTTGAGACGGGAGTGTCCAAGGTGGAGAGCCTCCTCGGTAGCGCGCATGAGGGGCTCAACGTAGGGCTGGTAGCGCTCAGGTCCGGCAGCACCAGCCATCTCGCCCATGGCGTCGGTCACGCTGGCACGCAGATCCAGCTCCTCCTCGCTGTCCTTGACGGTGGCGAACTCCTGCAGCAGGTGCATCGATTCATCAAAGAAAGGTAGGAAAGAGTCACCAGCGGAGGAGGCCAGAGAGCCAAGAGCACCGGCGGCCAATCCCTTGATTCTGAAATCGGGGTGCTGGAAGAGCTTGTGCAGAATGGGAACAAGTTCACCCTGGTAGGGAGCAACATCCTTCTCGTCCAAACCGTCAACGACGGCGTCGATGGCGCTGATGCCGGCCTTCATGATGTCAACGGTCGGGCCGTCCTCCTCACCCTTGTACTCCTGCATGGCGCTGGCCAAGTTCTGGAAGAGCAAAGGCATGAGCTTCTCGTGCTCCTGGCTCAGGTCCTCGGCCAAGTCGTCGGCCAAGCGGGCCACGGCGTGCAGCGAAGCCTGGCGAACCTTGGGCTCGGGATCAGCGAGCAGCTGCAGAACCATGGGGAAGATCTCGCGCATCTGGGTGCTGATGAAGTCGGGAGCGCCCTCAACACACATTCCCAGGGCCATGATACCGGCCCGACGGTAGTCGGGGTCCTGGCTGCTGAAGTACTGGCCCAGGGAGTGGAGAAGGGGCACGACAACCTGGCTCGGGGGCAGACTCTGAGCGAGCATGTCGAGCAGACCCAGAGCGGAACGAGCAGGGGTGATGTCATCATCCTGGGAGGAAGTGTCGCCGAGCTCGGTGACGATGTGCAGAGCAGTGCGGGTGAGCTGCTCACCGATACGCATACCCTGGATCTTCATCTTACGGTACTGCACGCACTGCATCAGGAAGCTGATGGCCTGGGTACGGGTGTCCTCCTCGACCTGAGTGTTGGCAGCAATCTCGTTCATGAAGACAACGAGGTCCTTGAGATGAACGGTCATGAGAGCGGGGTCGCATCCCAGAAGGGTCTGGAAGACCTCGAAGGCCTGCATGATACGCTCCTCGTTGTTCTGGTCGATAGAATCCTTGAGCACAGCGACCATAGAAGGCAGGATCTCCTGGAAAGACCGCACGGGGCCCATGTCCTCCTCGGAATCGAGGTGCATGGCAAGCTTGCTCAGGGCAAGCAGAGTGTTGATGCGGACCTCCTCGCTTTCGGGGTCGCGGATGGTCTTGCTGAACAGATTGAACAAATCCTGGAACTTCTCCTCGAAGCCCTCGCCGAGCGTCTCAAGGATGGTGAACAGAATGTAGATGGCCACGGCACGCTCGTCCTTGTTACCACTGTTGCCGGCCTGCACCAGGAAGTTGGGCAGCTCAGCCCACTCGCCGTCGTTCAGGTCAACGCGGGCAATAGCCGAGATAACACGAGCGATCGAGTGGCGGACAAGGGGGGGAGCCTCGCCCATCGTGGAACGGAGCAGCTGCTCACGGATCTGAGGCTTCTGGCCGGCGGGAATCGACACCCAGTGCTTGTTCACCAAGCCACGGCCCTCAACAGCGGCGAGCTGTCGCAGGTTCGCGTCCTCATGGCTGGTCGTGATCTGGATGAGGAGAACGAGGGATTCAGGCTTGTTATAAAACTCGCGCTGAAGGATGCCGGTGGCTTCCTTGACGTTTCCCTGAGCAGCTGAAAAAGGTCGACGTTAGTACCAGGGGATGAGACAAAGTCGACAGGCAAGTGTAATTCTCACCCAGGAAAGTCAGGGGACTCACGATTCAAGACGATCTGAAGCTGCGTCAAAAACTTCTGCTGATCCATGATTGGAGACACTTAATCAAGATATTTCCAAAGATCAAGTAGGCAGAAAAAAATTCTGCAACGTGGGGTTATTCCCAGGCCCTCACTGAATAAACAGAGGCTCCTGTACTGGAATGAATGAGCTGTCTGCACGAAGACAGGCAGCTCAAAGGGTATCACTAAAAACAAAAGAAAGAGATAAAAACAGGAAAGAAAAAAAAAAGGAGGAATGAGAAGAGAAGAAAGGAGAAGGGGGAAGGGAGGAAGAATAAGAAGAAAAAGAAGTGGAGGGGGGAGAGATGAAAAAAAACCAAAGGAAAAAAGTTTAGGGAGAATCCGCTTTTTTTTTTTTTTTCTTTCTCCCTTTCATTTCTCTTCTAGCGCGGTCGAGGTTCACGTGTGGTCGCTGCCCAACCGCGACTCCGCGATTCTCTTCGCCCGTCCCCACCGCGCACACTGAATAATTCACCCTGGAATGTTGCATGTTGTTTCTGAGGACTTAGGGCTGTCCTATGCCTTTCCTGGTAGGTTCTCACAATATCTCTCCTCACACTAGTTAATTGTCTTTCTTTTCTTTTCTTCGTGATCAATATAATCTCGGTAAACAGGGGGTTTCGAATTAGTTGGGTATAGTCCCTGTAGTACTACTCTCCTGTTTACAGTCTAGCGGGCTTAATTGGAACTATTAATTGACCCAAACCGAAGAAATCCCTCAGCCCGACATAAAATTCACCGGACCAGGCCGTTTCCCTGGGAAAGTTTATGACGATTTACCCGCGTAGGCTAGAAGTGGCTAATTGTCTCCAAACAAACAGTAAAAACTATACAAAACGCGACTATTTGCTCTGGTGGCTACAGTTCCTGTCTGGAGTAGTGGTATACGACGTCATTCGTACACAGCAAGGGGAGCGGTAAGAAAATTCAATCTCATATTAGAAACAAATGGAAGCAATCCGCAAACTATGACGGTTGCCATGATTACCAAACGCCGTTTCGATCCATAAAACTCCGGCTGTGATTCGCGACAGTCCCCATAATATTGTGCTAGCCAAGAGAGGTGGGTCTAGTGGACTGACTCTTCCGAGGGTTGAACGCGCAGAAAAGTAGTGTCATTAGTCGATCGGTCCATAAAACGTGAAAATCACCAGATTATATCTAGGTGTACTCCGTAAACAGCGACGGTCCTCAGTGAAGATCCGTCTCTATCTTAGTATTCCTCGGAATCGTATCCGTCGTCAACCAGCAGGGAACGATAGCCCCGGGACGCAAGATTCTCTTCTAGACCTCCGTCGGATCCAGGGTCGGAATATCCTAGGATAAAAATTAGTACGCGGCTCTAGGTTCTGGATATGTTGTAGCAAAGAAGCTCAAGAAGACTTACCCTCTCCGCCAAAGTAGCTGAGCGCTACCGGTAGGAAGATGAGCGCATGGGTCGCCGCAAACAAGATCAGCGCCAACCACACTCGGAAGTAATAGATCTCGAAGATTTTACTCCGAGTAAAAGCCAGGACGCACACGCCCAACAGCTTGGTGACGGTAATACCACTGAAGACACTACCACCGACATTGACCAGAGCCGTCCACGCTCGGGCATCTTTGCCCCGGAACTTGGTGGGCGCCTTCTCCAGAATAGCCTTGGAGGGGAACATGAAGGCGCGAGCAATATGCGCGCAAAATTCCACCCCGATGCCAACACAGATGATCAAGTTCACCAGCGACACGGCGTTCAACGACACGCCGGCGATGGCCATGGATCCGATGACATCTACCACGATCATAACGACCGTCACCGTGACCACCGCTCCCGTGGCCGCGGATCCTAGAACCGTAGATGTGATGGCGAATATGATGGCAACTGCGAAACCAAGGAGTGTGCCCGTCAGTTGCACAATCGATACATATTGATCGAAGAAGATATAAGCTTTGGAGTATGGGAATACGTCGATGCCATGTTCCTTGGAAATGTCGTCTGCGATGCGACGAGCAGCTTTGTAGGAGTTGATGAAGTCTTCCTGGTTCCTGAGAGGCGTGTGCGAGGTTCTAAAATGGCTCGCATTAGTCATGGCCCGTTTGGGGTCGACGACAAGGGCATCACTGTAGGGCGCCTTTCCTCCCAAGGGACACGAGGCGTCGGTGGGGGAGTCAAGCCATTTCTCAACGTAATAGACAAACTCGGCGCCCTCTGGCATGCCATAAAGAGAGATGTTCCATGGTTGGCTTCTGTCTTCGAAACAAAGCTTGTCACCCTCCTTACAGCAGTCCTGTTGGGGGTTGAGCCAGTAGAAGAAATCATCAATCCAGCTGGCAGTCGATCCAGAGATGTAAGAGACTTCAGGCCGTTTGGATTCTTGTTCCAGAACGAAGGGGAGCGAAAACTCCTCGCAGGTGGTAAACCGCCCACAGAGCTGTTGTTGATGGCTTCGTTCGGTCACGTTGACATCTCGCGTCACAAAATAAACTGGAGGACCGCTTCCGAAATAGGCATCCAAATCATTGAAATATTGGATCAAATAGGAGTCGCTTGGAAGAGCAATGCGTTGATCTAACCCAAGCGCAACCTCGGGAATCAGAGCCAAGCCAGCCGTCAGAATTCCCAAGAACAAGATCACAATCAACACCTTGATTCTGCGACCGAAAAGTTGCGGTGCGTAGACCTGCCGGATAAACCTCTGCAATATGCCCTCTCCGTCCTGGTCGTCGAAGAGTTGATCGTCGGTCAAGCCAGAATGTGCCTTGCGCACGGTCAAGCATGGAATGCAATCCGCGCGAAGACTCTCAACCCGTCTTTGGTTCAAGGCGAGCACAGATAAAAACATGGTGATTTGTAGAAGAGCATTGATAAAGACAGCTCCCGCGGCATAGACGGCAAAGTTTTTCACAGCAGGCATTCCAACGAAGGCGCCAAGGGCGAATGCAAATGTTTCCGTGATGGCTGAGAGAAAAATACTAGGGCCGATCCGGCCCGCCGCCCGGGCAATTCGCTCATCAATCTCCTCATCCGGGTGGCTGATGTTGATGCGCTCAAATTCATGAACTATCAAGAATATATTGTCCACTCCGACAGCCAGAACCAGGAAGGGGATGACCTCCGCGATGATCAAAGTCACTTTAACCCCTGCAGCAGAGAAAAGGCCGACTGAAGCAGAAACAGACATCAAGACGATAAGGATTCCGACAATGCCCAATGTGAACTTCGACTGGACCAGGGCGTTGGCAGGGTTCACAAGCAGGGATCTCCAGGTCACAGTAACCGAGCCCAAGGCGAAAGAGGCATATATAAACATAATGATATAGCTGATGACAATAATCTTCGCATCAGTGTTGGTTGACTTATTGAGTTCTTGCTCAACGCTGATTTCAGTGTTGAAAGAGACGCGGAGACCACGTTCCTTGGCTTCTTCTTGCACCACGTCAAAAATACGCTTGAAGCTATCTTCCCAGTCAATGGCGTTTGCCTCGCCTTCGGTGCCTTGGGCGTAATTGTTCACAACCCAGGTGGAAACAATGGCTTGTGCATCCAAGACATTTCCCGATTCTTCATAGCCACCCAGCAGCATCTCAGGTCTGAGGGGCTGACTGAAATCTGGAAGGCAGCTCACGTCACCGGGAGACTCCGCGCAATGCTTCAGCCGATCCTCCCAAGTATCGGGGTCGAGGTTCGATACCGACCCACCAAAGTAACCTGTCAGAGATTGGATTACACAAGCGTCGCCCGTGGGCTTGAAGCATACATCATCCAATATAAGCTCGCGTTCCAGCGAAATCATCCGACGAACGCGAGACTCGACATCAAACCACCAGCTCAAGGTATCATAATTGAGAACGCGACCATCTCCGTCCTCGGTACTGTTGACCACGAAAGCCTGTTCGGCCCGGTAAAAAGGACCAAAATTGGTATCGAAGTATTCCTTCTCTTGGTAAGCAGCCGAGCTGGGGCTGACCCAGAGTCGTACAGGGTCCGTCTCAACGGAAAACCTCAGCCAGCCGAGGCTCAACAAGCCAACTACCAGAATGCTGGAAACAATGGTGATCGCAGGAAATCGAGCACACGCACCGCCAATGCGATTAAACAAGATGTCCAAAGCGGTGTTTACTTTGTATACACCACTTGGCTGTTCGAGGTAACCGCCGGCATGAACAATATCAGCTTCGTCTTCGTCGTCGCTTGGAGTCGGGTCTTGAAGGAGTCGAACCCGTTCGGGCTTGCGGTAGCGTCGCTCTCTGTACGTGAAGTAGCCGGAGAGGGCGACAACGAATAACAAAAACACAGAGTAGATGAGGATGACCGAGAACGAAAGACAGGGTAGAAGACCCACATAGCAATGATCGTCGGTTTCCACTGCCGGTAATTCCGGGCAGACAGCCGGACAGTCCACGCAAGAGCAGCGGAACGCCTCGTCGGCATCATTGCACGCCTTCGGTTTGATGGGCAACGCCTCCATGCCCTGGGGATCTGACGCGACCGGCTCGGTGTGGTAGTTAATCTGGAAGGGGCTGCCCAGCAGCTTCTTGTCTCCCAGAAACTTCACGAATTGGCTGTAGTTCTTCGCCCCGCCACCGATGAAATCGATAGCTTTCCCGCCTGACGCGCCATTCTTCACATTTTTGCAGCTGTCGTAGAATCCGCTTTGGTACTCTTCCGACCAGATGTTGTCCAACTCCGTCACCAGGTATTTTCCAGGACTTTTCTCCTCGGTTTGCGTGACGTTGACAAAGAGCGACTGATCCGGCGAGCAGGTGAACGTGCAAAAGGTGTTGAAGAAGTTCTCCTTGCATGCGGGACAAGATGCGATAATGCCCTCGGCGAGTTTCAGGTTCTTAGCCAGCGCGTCGACCTAGAATTCAGAAATTGTTAGCGCATCACTAACGGCACAATCACGCAGATGATTCAAGGTTGCTGTGCACTGCTCACCTGTTCACCCTCACAGCAGACCGGTCCTTCCTCCCACTTACTCCCACACAAGCTCACCAGCTTCTTCCTCACCGCCGCTTCTGGCTCCTTCGCAAGTCCATTGTCAGGACAAGGTAGCTCCCCTCCGAAGAATGACTGCTTTCCACATTGGCCACGAATAGCGCAGCGACCCTTCTCGTGAACCTTAGTCTCGCCCTGGGCAAAGGCTTGCGGCAGGAGGAGCAAGCCGAGGCCCGCGACGATGGGGATCGAGCGGAGTCCCCGCATCGTTAACAGGGGCGTCTACGATGATGAAACCGGCAAGATGGAGTGATATTGAAGACAGGGAAAATCATCCGAAGTTGAAACAGAGGGAATGAGGGAGCGCTGAAGTCGCGAAAACGAGAATGGGATGACGGTGGCGTCACGCAACAATGATGCTCGGAGCTCTCAGATAGCAGCCGTACTTGGCAGAATGCGCGTGATAATTCCGGGTCGAGACCGCAATCTCGACAGGGGATAAGTCGGGCAAAGCAAAACAATTAGGCTAAAATGCAGGGGACATTCATGGGTGGTTGGGTCATCGGCATCACTGTCTCGAACCCATGCGCAGCAATGGAGAGATAAGATGAAGGGAGGAGAAAGCAGGAAGAGGAGAAAAGGCGGAGACGGCAAATACGTAAGCGGAGAAGGTTGTTTGCCTGAGTGCCTCAAGACTCAAGAATCCGGGATGATCCTGTCCCGTCGGGCGCTAACGTCAGGCACTCGGTCCATCCCGACTAGACGTGCGCGAAACTGATGAACTACGGGTGCTCACGACGGCAGACTATGTAGCACTGATGAGGCTATTGGTTGCCCTGGGATTTGATTTGTATTAATTCTTGTGCAACTGTTGCGTTGTGCGGAGTAGAGCATCTGGATTCTGGTTGGTGACAGTTATATATTCTGGGCACCAGGTGGCAAGATCATGCATTCAGAAACTGTGAATGTTCCACGTAGATCGTCTTTATGGGTGGTAAATGTATATGGGAACTCTAGGCCAGGCTGCCAAGCGCTACTGGTTTTATCATTACTTTTGGATATAGAGAAAGTGCTTAAGTTATTGCTAGGTGCAATATGGGAGATACTGGCCTAGAAACAACAAACCTTCCGGGATTGACGTCCCACTATGTCAGTCTTGAACGCATAACATAGAAAATCTATAAGCTTAGCCTCATTCCCGTGATTTGTAGACGCTTTTCTGCCCACTTAGTTGTAGTTTGTGCACTGCAAACGAAGTGTTGATCCTTGCTTTGCTGTTGCAGCTGCTTTCCCGATACGGAAACGCGCTAACCTATGTAGGGTAGTTGCTGCCTTATTGCCTTGCTAAGTTGGCCGTCGTGCTTTTCCAACAACATTTGGCCTGTGTGATAAGTAGGAACAATGAAATGAACAAATTATATAATTCTTCCATTGAATACAAGAAATTGAGAGGCCAAGTGGATTTGTAAGATATCGCTGTGCCTATTTGAGCCTGGCGTCGCAAATGTTCACCCGAAAGGGAATAGCGTCATCACAAATACGGCGAGCCCTTCTCCAGACAATGACAGTCTCTGTGGGTATAAGATGGGAGATGTCTCTTTTTGAAGCGTTTGAAATATGCGAAATAACTTCTCCTTTTAAATCAATTCAAAAATTCAGGCCCTCTTGATTTTGAATTGAAAGGTGCACTCTCTCCCGAACCCACTATTATCAAAGCTAATGAAATCAGGGCTATCCAAAGAACGCCGGAAGAAATGCAAGAAACCAAAGACCATGTCATCACGTACAGAGGAGAGGTCGTCGAAAACCACCATCAAGTCCACGCCGCAGTCACCGATGCCACCGGCAAGCTCTTATACGCCGTCGGCGATCCCACACGCATAACCCTAGCCCGCTCAGCCGCCAAACCAGCGCAAGCGCTTGCGATCCTCGAGACCGGTGGCTTTGAGCAATGCGGTTTCAACGATGCAGATCTGGCGTTGATGTGTGCCTCGCATAATAGTGAAGACAAACATATCTCTCGGGTTCGTGCAATGCTCGCCAAGGTCCCTGCCACCGAAACGGATCTGCGTTGTGGCGGACACCCTGCGCTGTCGGAGACGGTGAGCCGGAATTGGATCAAGCGGGATTATACACCCACAGGAATTTGTAACAATTGCTCGGGAAAACATGCGGGTATGCTGGCTGGCTCTAAGGCGATTGGTGCTGATTTGGAAGGTTATCATCTCCCAGCTCATCCGATGCAGGTGCGGGTGAAGCACGTCGTTGAGGAACTGTGTGGGCTGGACGAGGATAAAGTGAAATGGAGCATTGATGGCTGCAACCTTCCCGTGCCAGCCTTTCCCCTGAAATACATGGCCAAGATATATGCTACGATTGCAACAGCGTTAGATGAGACAGAACGAAACCCCAACGCTTCCGAGAGGACCAAAGCTATGGTACGGATATTCCGGGCGATGGCGGATCATCCCGACCTAGTTGGTGGGGAAGGCAGGTTCTGTACCGTGCTTATGGAGGCATTTCAAGGTGATCTCATTGGCAAAATCGGAGCAGATGGTTGTTATGGAATAGGCATATGCGCTTCAGAGCAAACGAGACAGCTGGGGGCGGACGGTGCGATTGGAATCGCAGTCAAAATCGAAGACGGCAATATTGGAATTCTCTATTCAGCCGTGGCTGAAATACTCGAGCAGCTTCGGATCGGGACGGCAGACATGCGCAATAAGCTTGCAAGCTTTCACGAACCCCAAGTATTCAATACTGCTGGTGCGGTCACGGGCGGAACATCCAATTCATTCAGTATTCGAGCTGTGGGTTGAAAGATAGGCCAGAGATGGGAGTGTTCCAGGTCCCGCAAATCAAGTCGGCATGTCCAATGCACCTCATAGATAATTGAAATATTTTGGAAGATGAGCAATATGAAAAAAAGCTACAATCCTGTAAATGATGTGATTCATCACCTCGACGGAACATCCCAATGTCTGATAAAAGCCTTCATACACGCAGCAGCAGTTGAAGCCGCGTAAATCTGCCACCCTTTGCTTTTGTGGCTATCTGCATAGTCGCATACGCCCTTGATAATGACAACACTGGGGAAGTTACCCCACACCCCAGCCCCTTCCATCTCAAAGGCAATTGCTTTGGTCTCATCGGTAAGTCTATCTCGCAAGATCCCGGATTTCATGACCGAGTCTCCAGATGCGACTAAGCCGATGTGAACATTTGGCCGGTTTCTCTGGTTCTTTCGGGAGCGAGCGACAAACGAAGTTCCACCATCATGGCATTTGAGAACCTCGCAAGAAGAGACCATGGCTTTTTCGCACACTGAAGTGGTGCCATCCGTAGTCATGCAGCACGTATGACACAGTGAGAAATGCCGATGTTGGTGATGGTATGACGCAGGAAATAATTGATCTGTATCTGGCCCAGGGTAACAGAGGGAATCCTGATCCAGAGAATCCAGGTTCTCCCAGACATTGTTTTCAAGGGATGTCCTGTGATATACTGTTTCACATTTGGCAAGGATCGATCCGACCTCGGGGTTTGGTCGGCCAAGAAGATCCGCATTGGATATTTTGCGTACCATCTGACTAGTGTATTGCCTTCCAAAGTCGTACTGGATAACACCCTTGCTAATGACGACATCTCCCAACAGGATTTCTTCGTTATTCTCCGCATGTCGGGGCGCGCCGCCACATATTCCGACGAGAAACGCCAGTTTGACATTCGTAAAGCTCATAGTACATTTTGATGCAACCGTCGCTGCATTTGCCTTTCCCATGCGTGGTTGGTGCGCGACCACCACGTTATGATCACCTATGACACCGGCTGTATATGAATTTGGATCATTGGAAGCCTTTCCGTATGTATAGTAGCCTTCGTCCCAAACTTGATCAAATATTGAAATGACAGCATCTGCTTCCCTTGGGAGAGCACAAATGATTGCAATCTCGAACTCATCCCTGTTTTGTGGCTTCTTTGGGAATCGGCCATGGGCAGTGTGGTCGAGGAGCATTGTTTGATTGTATATACTTTCATCGCGGGCAGGTACATGCTCAGAGGCAACCGAGTGTTTCAATGAGTGAAGTGATACAGAATTGAAGGTGTCACCTCTTGAAATATCATCGTGTGTGGCAGAAAGTTCTCCGACATGATCGTCGCTTAAAGTCGATAATCTGCTTGCAGGTTTGTGGAAGCCATGCTTGAAATTCTGGACGTAAGATCCACCTGTTTCACAAGGATATTTTGGTCGAACCGCTGAAGGGGCCTGTTGGGATTTGACCTTGAGATAGGTTACGTTGTCCGAACCGAAGGGCTTCAATTGCTGAACCTCAGCCCAGCTCCAGTTGGCCCCGCTGACAAGGTCCTCCTCTAGAGGCCTGACTATATTTTGGTAATAGGTCTTTGCAAAATCGTGCGTAGAAAATAAGAGATCCGGGTTGGATCGAGTAAATGAAGCCAGTGAAGTGCGATCTGTGCAGAATCTTGCCGCGCGGACCATGCCGGTCCCCATGTGTAGGCGCAGCTGGCATTGTTGTAACAACTGTTTGGCCAAATCAAATGGCCGATGCTTTAAGGTGCCAAACCAAGGCTCTGTATAAAGATCCTCCAGGTCGTCTGCCAACTCAATTTGCATTAATACGATGCCCAATGCCAGAATGGTTGGAAAGGGGTGGACGCTATAGCCACGTCTAGATGATCTATTTGCAATTAGACCTGACTGAAACTTTGTTGACAGAAATAGTTTATCAAAAGAAGGCTCGGTTTGATCGTTGTCACGTCGACAAAAGATGGTAAAGTCTTCTATTGACATATGACTGTTCATCCATGGTCCTTCAAAGAGATGGAGGACTGTCCGCGCTAAAATGACTCCCAAAACTCGCTTGGTAGTGTAAGCGGGTCTGAAGCTGCTAAATAGATTTCGGAGGTCCTGGTCAACGTAATCATGCTCTGGGTGAAAGACTTCTAGTGGTCTAACAAGTTGTTGCTGATCCCACAATTGGCTTTCGCCATCGACTGTGAAATGTAGGCAGAATGGGTGCGAGTCTTCATGAGGCGTTAGACACGCAGGCGTATGGGTTTCGAGAGCACTGCTGTAGAAGCGTGAGCAGCAACAAGCTTTATGTTGGTTCCAGTCCCCACTTACCTGGGATCATGTACACATATACGACTTTCTTGAAGTAGATCTGGACCCCTCAGAACGACAAATAATCCATCACTAGTTAAACTGCCAGAGGTCCAATGTGGGTCGAGATAGAAATTGGCTTCATAGCATTCACCTAGCTTCCCATTGTGATCATGCTCATCCACATTACATGGCCAGTTGCTATGTAATACATCATGAAGAGCTGTTGAAAGACGACGAACACTGGTTGGTCCTGACATGGACGTGAGGTCAATACTGAAATCCGGATAGATTTTGTCATCTTCGTCTGTGCCAATGTCCAATCCGTCAGTTGCAAAAATAGCATCTACCGCTTCATTCCATTTTCCGATTATGGCAAGGAGTCTTTGAAGAACCTGTATGTCATTGTTGAGGAAGCCTGCCAAGTCGACCTTCTGCAAAGTGGAGCTGTGGCTGAGGTCACAAAACATCACCAATATTGGAAATGGAGACCCTATGCATTTGTTGTCTAGCTCTACCGACTTCTCTTCAGTCTTTTGAGAGCTCATCCACGAGAGAAAAGAGAAAACCGTAGACTTGTCCTTCCCTTGACCACACACTTCCCGCTGGTATGCATCCTGCACAGAACTTTCTTTTAAACTATCGCTAATCGAGCCGGCCACGGCGTTGAGAAGTTCTGCTAGTTGCCGTCGGTGAAGGAGGGCGCGGTGGATCTCGTTTGACTTGATTTCAAGGATAAGATAAGTAAAGCCCCTCTTGAGCCCTCTATAAAGTCGGGCTTGCGAAGGTGGAAGGTGGTTGATAATTTCGCTTAGCGACAACGCGGCGTCACTGACTAAATTTATCAGCTCAGAGGGCGCTTCCGGGGAGGAGTTACCCATATGTGATGATTGAGCTCGAATCGATTCCGATAATCTGAATGCCATGACATAAAGCAGTTCTTTTTCATGGCCTTGAAGCACGGATAGGGCCACAGGAGGCTCTTGATCGTAGGGTAACAATGAAGTGCGAGGGGGATTCAGACAGGCGCTTACCTGAAAAGACAACATCCTGGTCCCTGGTCACGGGGAAGTGAATAACGTGACATGCAGAGATCAGGCTGAAAGCGCATCGCCTGCCCCGCTTCTTCTGTTCCTTTGCTCGCCGCTGGCCCTGCTCACTCGTTACGCCATTATGGAGATATCAACAAAATCAAGGCTCTGCGAGAACCTATTCCACCGATGGATCAATCAGTTTTCCAGTGGCTCAGCCGCGTCACAAGACGCAGAAAATCAGTTGTTCAGATTCAATCTGTGGACTGCGAATAGTTTAGTTCACAGTCCAGGGCGTGCTTCCATGGACTGGAGACTGCGAAATACCCCAACGCTACATTCTACCCTATTGGAAATGTTAGAAAATCTAGAAGATAGCCTGAATGATGAGGTGGGTCAAGACCCTCTTCTTGAGGTCGAGGATACAATAGACCAGCTCTTCCGCTTTTCACGAGCCGTTCGTCGATCGGGCATTCTGCGCAGATTTGTGAGAGTTGCGAGATACACTCAATACGATGACCACGGCGTGAACATAACCGAAGAATTTCGCAAAGGAGTTGAACGAATTATTGAGTTACGCCTACGGGATTCCAGAGCGGGCGAGGAGTTGAAACGGCGGCTCATGGAAACGATTTGTCTTCGTCAGCAGCATTTTGCCTACCTCAAAGATCGTCAAATCCAAAGCGTGTCGCAGCTCCAGTCGCAGCCCCTGTCCCCGACAAGAAGCACGCTTGCAGCGTCGTTTAGCGTAAGACACTCATTAAAATCAGGTGACCAACCAGCGCAACAAAGAAAACCGAAGCCTGCACCACGGGAGGGACCATCCGTCTTCTCCGCAACAACATTGCAGTCAGACAGACTTCCTAACACCTATGCTCGCAGTGAGAATGTCAACAACGACGATGACAACAAAAACAATATTGTGCCCGAGGCAGTATATTTACCAGATCCCCCTCTCTCGTCACCATCCCAGAGAGAGTGTATGTGTCCGTTTTGCTTTCTTGTTTACCCGAGACAGGTATTTTCAGGGGCAAAGTGGAAGTAAGCTGCCCCCAAACATCAACTGTTAAGGACAAGTATAAGATTAGTTAATCTGATATCATCCTAGGTCTCATATTCTCCAAGATCTCATGCCCTATGTGTGTGTCTTAGAGGAATGTGTGGGTCCAGTTATGCTTTTTGAGTCCACCACAGATTGGGTGTCTCATATGAAGACCCAACATGGCTCTGATAGTTGGACCTGCATGGACCCTATTCACCAGAAAACCATGATATTTCAGACAAGAGAACAGTTCAAGGGTCACATGCGAGAAAGCCACTTGGAACAGTTCAAAATCGAGGAGTTTGATGATATGGCAGCGTTGTGTTTTCAGCATCAGCCAAGAAATGATATATTGCGGGAGTGTCCATTTTGCTCATTAACGATAGATCAGGGTGATGTCGCACAAAATGAGCTTCTAAGACATGTTGCAGAGCACCTTATAGCACTATCACAAATATCTCTTATCGATGTGGACGATAATGTGGCTCGTTCAGTCGTCGAGCCACATTCGTCAAGAGAGGATGGCAATAGCTCTGCAGGCTCGGAGTTTATTGCGGAGCGTATGGAACTCATTGGCGAGGCGGAAGCTGAATTCATGGACGAAGATTTACAGCAGCTCTCCTGCCCTCCAAGTACAGAAAGCCTGCATTGGGAGTTTGTATTGAAACAACTTCCACAAGCCGATTCCCAAAGATTGGAAGACCCTATAATCCAGTCATTCATTGAGCACAACCAACAAAATGCACCATTCCTTCAGGCGCAGTATCGATCAAACGGGCCGCGCCATCTAACCTCGGCCTCAACTCAATTGAGACAATCTTTGATTCAAGCGGAGCTTAGAGTGTTTTTCCAGGGGACTGAGCAGAATTTTGTACCGGTTTCGTCGCGCAGGGAACTTATCACAATGATGACCGTATTGACAATATTACAAGAGCTTGGAATCACAGACAAAGCTTCATCGACCGCTCTTGCGCGTGGAATCCTCGAGAGCTCTGACATTATTTTCGCTTTCCTGGTCCATCAAAATGCAGAGGCTTCTATTTTGAGCTTCATTCAAGAGGGAATAAGAGATGATGACTTGCCATTTATTATGTCTCACGATAAGTCAACATTGGAGACGAAGGATGGCAGACCAATCGGCTCCGTTGAAGACTGGGATAGTGACTCCATTAGAAGGTTAGAGTCTGATCAGTATCGCTACCAGGCACCGATATTCCATTATCAGCAACATTGTGAATTGAGCGATAATTGTGTATTTCCCATAACGGACCTGGGCGCCGAAGAAGATTTCCCAAACGTGTTTAGAGCACAAATTCATGCCGAACATCATGATTTCTATCTAGAGCCTTCATCTGGGGTACGTTGACACTAATTGTGCTCTATAAGAGTCTGTCTGCCCTTGACTTCGAATGCTGATCATTCTTAATATTTTTCTTCAAAAGAAAAACTGGGAATTTCTAGAAATCCAGAGGCTCATTGGTCAGCATAATGAAAACTGGTTCTGGAAGATCCGGAACTTCCATGAGGGTGTTGGAATGCTTGACGAAGGTGCACACTTTCAAACACTTTTATGCACTTTCAGATACCAAGGAGACTTCTTTCTCATCTTTCCGTGGGCTGATGGCAACATCCAGGACTTATGGAACACTTATATAAATCAGAAACCTACCGAAGCTTTAATTTCATGGTCGTTGACGCAAATGGGTAATATTGCTCACAGTCTTGCGAAAGTGCACCAGCGGACGCAGTTCGAGTTTCACGGAGGCATGGGGCCAAATAGGATTAAATTCTTTTCGAACCGCCAAGCTCAAGATGCGTCGGTGGACACTTGCCCCATTACAGCTACAATTTTGGCAGTAGCGTACCCTGGCAAGGACAACAATATTTATCACGACAGTGGATTTGTCAATGTTAGAGACAGGGAAGGGCTATTGACCTACGGTGCCCCTGACGCCCTTAGAGGTCAGGGTATGTCTTCAGCAGCAGACGTCTGGTCCCTGGGATGTACGTATCTTGAATTCGTGTCATGGCTTTTGCTGGGATATGACGGAATAATGAAGTTTTCTGATTGGCGAGGGTTAGAGGACGACACGCCTGAGATGCAGACCGATTATTTCTACGCACTTGATCTGCAAGGGATTCGACCATCCATTTTCAAGTGGACGGAAAAACTCAAAAGCCATTCAGAATGTCCCAAACCTCTTATCGCGATCATCGATTTCGTCATGACTGAGATGATATTGTTGAAACCTGATGATCGTAGCTCTGCTGAGAGAGTATTTCAGTGGTTCAGAGAGCTCCACAGGGAAACTTGTGAGGAGGGCTCGCAGGTACTTTCAACTGCGGCACAATCATTTTTAGCCACTTCGCGTGAACGATATTTGATCAAAAAGGTACTTCGTCGATGGAACGGGGTTATTCGGATGAGACAAAAGGCTAGGGGATAATAGAATGATGCCTGCGGACCCGCAATGCAGAGTGCAATATTAAGCTTCAATGTGCTTATGTTCCAAGAATATCTATTGGAATCGTGAGTGTGATGATGTAGAAAGAATATCAAGGCACCACAGCTACCTTCGCTGTAGTCGGCGCCAGTAATACAAAGAGAAGGGGAAAAAACTATACTATTGGATCTTCCATGCAAGCAGCTTGCTTGTAAATCTACTAATTTCTTTGGGCAGAGGCTTTCAGGACTTCCGTAGCAGACTATATTAACAGAACTAAACTAAAAGTTCGCTTAATTCGTAACAAAGAACTTTACTTGGCATTCTCAGCCTTGCTGTTGGTCTTCCCCACTTCCCACCTCTATATAACCCTTCCTTTTCACGCTGACGATTGTCGATCATTTCTCATCGTGGCTTTTTTCTCTTTCGATTACCTTATCGACAGTATCTCTGTCTAGTTGCTGTTCCACATTGCTTATTTGATGCCAATCAACTTCTGTTAAACCACGGCAATTGAAACTAACATCCCCTCCACTGCGGACTATGTCATAATTGGAGGCGGCACTGCAGGCTTGACACTTGCCGCGAGGCTGCCAGAAAAGTCCAACAAATTCATTGTGGTTCTAGAGGTTGGAAAAAACCTCCTCGATGATCCTCGGGTTAACATTCCGGCCCTCTGGACCACGTTGATGGGGTCCGAGGCGGATTGGCAGCTGCAGACTGTACCTCAGGTACGCAACGTGTGTTATCATTGCTGTGAAGTCACTAACATTTCTTGTATCAGGCCAACCTGGGAGGTCGTGTGATCAAGGAACCCCAGGGGAAGCTCCTGGGTGGTTCTTCTGGAATCAATGGCCAGGCGTTTATTGCGCCGTCCCAAGCGGGAATCGACGCCTGGTCAAAGTTAAGCGCGAGAGATTGGTCATGGGAGAACCTTCATCCGTACTACAAGAAGTCCTATACCATTCAACTGCCCGACGATGCAAGCAGCGAGCACATTGGCATCGACTGGCTGGATCAATTCTGTAAAGGAACCTCGGGGCCTGTCAAGGTCTCTTTTCCTGCCGTCATTCAGGACCCGCTGTGCAAGGCTTGGGTGGATACCTTCAAGGCGACAGGGTATGGCATCACAGCCGACCCATTCTCGGGAAAATCCACCGGTGGCTACAGCAACCTTGCTGCCGTGGATAGCGAGACAAAAACACGGAGCTACGCCGCAAGTGCGTACGGTCGCCCGGCTATGGTGCGGGCTAATGTGCGTATCGACACGGAAGCACTTGTCCAGAGGATCATATTCAAAGAATCAAGCGAACCGAATATGACAGCCAGTGGGGTTGAAGTGGTTGTCCAAGGTCAGACTCGTGTTATCAACGCCAACGCGGAGGTGATTGTATGCGCGGGAGCTCTCAACACTCCAAAATTGCTCGAACTCTCAGGGATTGGGAATGAGGAGATCCTCCGCCAGCACAATATCCCAATAATTGTGAATAATCCCAACGTGGGAGAGAACCTACAGGACCATTTGATGAGCGGCATCAGCTTTGAGGTGGTCGAAGGAGTTGTGACTGGAGACACACTCATGCGTCAAGAACAGAACGCCGTGCAGGTGGCTATGAAGCTCTATGTGGAGCACAAAGCAGGGCTAATGACCATTGGAGGGGTGCAGTCCAGTTACTTCATGCCTCTGATTGATCTCCAGGGCCCGGACAGCAAGATCTCCATGAAGAAGTATTTGGACAACTTCCTATCGGATTGCAGCTATCCTGACCAGGCCATCCGCGAAATTCTCGAACAGCCGGGAGCGCTCACCTGTTCCATGTTCATGTTCCTGGCACAGGCCAACCTGCACGAAGTGAGTGGAAAGATTTTCGTGGGACAGGAACTGCAATCTGGCAACTATCTTAGCATGGAGTTATCCAGAGCATGCCTTTTTCGCGAGGCTGTGTTCATATTGCGTCTGCGGATCCCAGCGACAAGCCGATTGTGGGCCCACGCTATTTCACGCACCCGGCCGATCTCGAAATTATGGCGCAAGATGTAGAGAAATTGCATAAAGCAGAACCTCTTGCCAATTTCCTGAAAGGAAATGGCAGACGCAACCATCCCGATGCATTTCTGACCGACCTTGACTCAGCAAAGAAGAAGTATCTCTACAGGACACTGCAACAACATCATATCATTCCAGCGGCACGGCAGCAATGCTTCCTTGCGACAAAGGCGGAGTGGTTGATGGCCAATTGTGGGTATACGGTACGGCCAATTTGCGTGCACTTAAAATTCCTGCTCTGTGTTCTACCTAGACTGAACCTCCGTATTTTCAAGATGACTGGGTTTTCTCTGAACTGTGTTCGTATTTCTGTAATATTTTATTAGTAAGTACCCTGGGGACTTTGACCTAGGGTGTATAATGAGATTGTTACCTAGTGTAGTGCTCATGCACGAATCTCAGGCTCGCATAATGGTGATTGATTCGGAGCCTGATCTTCTTGCAGGGTTGTGATCATTCTTCATACCCGTCGTCCGGAGACAGATATAAAGTCAACGCCATTGTGTGATAACTGCGGCAAAAAAATGAGCTTTTTATCAACCAAAAGAGCTTTGAGGATAGTTTACATACAGTGCCAAGCACATGGCACCATGGAGATAAGTATAGCACCCACCCTTGATCATCAATGCAGTCGAGAAAGCGCTTAAAAAAAACTAAGGACATGGATAAAACCTGCAAACGGAAGTACGGAGACTCTCCGAGGGCGGCACCAGTAATGAGCAGTACAGGGAAGGTGAGAAAGGCTTTGAAGATGGCTGCTTCAACAGTGAGATAAATAACAAGTTGCGTTTGATTTACTATAGCGATTCGTAATGTTTTGAGATAGTTTGACAAGCCGGGAATAAGGTGCAAGACGATAGATCCGATGAAGTTTCGGGAAAAGGTTGCCGTTTTGACCAGCGGCAGGTGCCGGCCTATGAGGGGACGGCAGGTAATTAGGAGGTGGACCAGCTGGCTAAAGAGGCAGCAATAAGGGGTCCAGGCGGACAGGGGACAGAGATGAACTAGCTGCTGGCGGCGGCCAAGCGAAGAATCCGACATGGGGTCCAAGAGGCATGGTTGAAGGCGTGGCGGAGCGACCGAACGAGTCGCCCTACGAAGCTTCTGAATGAGGCCCCGAGCAAGGGGCACTCCGATATTGGAGAGGTCTACGAAAGGCAACGAGCTCGGTAATGATCCGGATCCGTACAGGCCGGATCGCACTGAATCGCTACCTGAACCTGATCAAGACCCGCGATACTGCGTACTGCGGATGCAATCTAGGCACGCAGACCCCCCAGCATGTCCTCATGGAATGCCCCCTACTTTACGATCAGCGACAAAGGATGTGGAGAGAGTTGGAAAGGCGAGGACTGCGGAGGACGGCAGATTTTTGGGAGATTGTAGGAGATACGCGAGCCGCACCGGCGGTAGCTTCATTCATGATCCAAACACAACTCCTGGGCCAGTTTCATGCTGTAGATACTGAAGCCACAGGAATCACCAAGGAGTAGGATCACCGGGATCCTGAGGACACGTAGAGTACTATATCCGGAGGAGATGAAGGACGCACGAACAAGCAGTACGTGTCCAGGCCCCGTGCTGCCGAGTCTCGAACGACCGATCGATCAATTCGACTTCGCAGAGGCGGAGATGTAACGAAAATGCGGAGGAGGAGCGGGGGCCCGACAGGAAGCGACGAGTTGAGGCAGGGATGCAGCAGAGCGGTAGCCAAACATTGGATCATAAGGCAAGTGAAGGGTTGGTGCCTGGTCGACTAGGCAGCGGCATGGTGATGGTGACCACCGTGGAGGTGTTGGTTGCGGTGGTTGAAGTGTTGGAGATGATGAAAGGGTGCAGTGGACGAGGTCAGCGAGGACTGACGTTGAAGCGCTGATTTCTATACTATACTACTCCTCTTCAGGCCGCGGCATTTTCGCTTCTCGCTGTGCGAGCAACCCTGCATAGCGGCCATTAGATAGGCTTCGCTAGGACAGGTCAATGAATTCCACTACTACTACTACTACTACTACCACCACCACCAGCCTATATTTTCACCGCCAAATGGAGCGAACGCATCCAACAATTATCTGGATGAGCCATGGTGCGATCCAACCAGCAAGAATATACCCTGCACACCCAAGTCATCCGAGTACCCGCAACTGGGTCTGTGGATCATTGACCACACTCTCCATGCTCTAAGTGGTGCCTTAAGAATGCTCCCCTTGCGACGCTACGCAATTCAATCTAGTATGAAATGGGTGCTGGAGCACCAGGACGAAGAGGGAGATTGGGCTGGAATTTACCCGGCAAAAGCGCACAGTCTCTTGGCTTTGAAGCTGGAGGGCTACAGCGTCGAGTCAAGCCCTATGGATTATGGACTGGAGGCTCTCGAACGGTTCTGCTGGCGGGATGCAGAAGGAGAGCGTATGCAGGCAAGCGTCTCTCCCGTTTGGGATACAGTTCTTATGACGGTTGGTCTTTGCGATGTCGGGCTGTCCTCTGGTACGCCATATACCCAGAGATCTATGGCCTGGGTCAAAAGCAACCAATTACTCGACAAACGCGGCGACTGGCATGTATACCGACCCCAGCTAGCTCCTGGTGGCTTTTGCTTCCAATACTTCAATCGGTACTATCCCGACCTCGATGACACGGCTGCCACCCTTTTAGCAATGATGAAGCAAGACAGCTTTGCTGCCACTACCGCGCCTGTATCGCGGGCCGCGGACTTTTTGCTCGGTCTTCAGAACAGCGATGGTGGGTGGGGCGCTTATGAGGTCGATAACAATAGTCTTTGGTTGAACCAGACTCCGTTCAGTGATATGGACTGCCTCTGTGATCCCGCAACCGCCGACATTACCGGTCGAGTTCTCAAGGCGTGGGGACTCATGCTTGAACAGACTGCGCACGGTAACAAATCTTTCCCCGAATCTTGCTCAGCGCATCCGCCACTCTGCGGATCGTGCCATTACCTTTCTTGCTGCAAACTAAGAGCTCTTCGGAGGCTGGTTTGGACGGTGGGGCGTCAACAACATTTACGGGACTAGTAATGCCCTTTGCGGCCTCGGCCAATGGGCTGCAAGCGACAAGAATATCCAACGCATGGTTCCACCGGAAATTCAATGTTTGAAGGCAATTCAGAACGCGGACGGTGGTTGGGGAGAGCCCGTCTTGTCTTACAAGGACATTAGCTACGCAGGTCGGGGTCCATCAACAGCTTCTCAGACGGCTTGGGCTCTAATGGGCCTTCTTCCGTTCCTTCCATCCCCCGATGAGGTTGTTGTTCGGGGGATTCGGTACCTCCTGCGTACGCAGTCCAAGATCTCAGCAAATGGAGGAGCGAGCTGGTCTGAGACGTTTTACACAGGAATGGGATTCAAACTGGTTTTACATGAAATATGATGTTTACCCGCACTTTTTCCCGATGATGGCCCTTGGACGATGGGCTCGAGCTTATAGTGTCACTAATGAATCCTGTACCTAATTAGTGAGTTGATAATTTCAGACTGACAGCAAGCACAGAATATAGAATTGTTTATTTTTTAAAACGTTGATACCGAAGTGGGAGTTAAACTGGCCCTCAATATAGATGACTACCAAACAATGACCGGCTTGGTCGTCTTCCCAGCCAGCATATCCCTAATGGCCACTTCATACTCCTCGGCGGGATAAAAGCGCACCATCTTCTCCAGCGGCAAAGCCCCCGTCTTCACCCACTTGGCCATCCTCGGTACAAACTCCTGCGAAACCACATCCCCCTCAACCACCCCCATGAACACCTTCCCACTCACCATCATCTCATGAATCGGCAACTCAACTACGCTTCCCTCCGGCGCAACCCCCAACTGTACAATTCTCCCCTTATTTCCCGCCATCCGCACCGCCTCGCCCACCAACGCAACGGCCCCCGTCGTCTCAAGGACTACATCCGCCCCCTTCCCACCGTTCAACCCGCGGACTGCCGCTGTAATCGCCTCGCTCCCCTCCCCGGGATTGATCTTGATAACATGTGTGGCCCCACAGTCGAGCGCCGCCTTGAGCCGCGTCTCATTCCGCGCAATCCCAATAACCCGCTTACAGCCCGCGATCCGCGCCCCCATCACAGCGCTCAGTCCCACACCCCCCAGCCCCAGCACAGCAACGGTATCCTCAGGCTCAGCAGCAGCGGCGCGTATCACCGCCCCAGCCCCGGTCTGCACGCCGCAGCCGAGCGGCGCGAGCATCCGCAGATCGTCTTTGGTCTCGACGAGCCCGGCCATATTGACCACGCTCTCTTCCCGCACGATCGTGAAGCTGGCGAAGCTGGACTGCCCAAAGAACTGACCGTAGATGGTTGGCCCAGTGTCCTCAGTTGCCGAGAAAACACGGTTCCGCGACCTCGCTTCGAAGTTAATCGGATCGTAGCTCTCGCAGTGCGCCGGGTGGCCGCGTCGACAGCAGGCACAGCTCTGACAGGAGGCGAAGGATAGTAGGACAGGGTCGTTGATGCGCGCGACGGTGACTCCTGCTCCGACCTGGCGGACATATCCGGCACCTGGAGATCACAAGAGATATCCTTGTCAGCCATGCCTAGTTAGCTCGGCAGATGTAGTTGGAGGGGGAGAAGGAAAGGGAGTGGAAGGATACCTTCATGTCCCATCACCCGTGGGTAATGAACCCCGTATCCGCTCTGCATGCCAGCAAAATGCAGGTCTGTCTGGCAGATTCCCGACGCGATGATCTCGACCAGGAGCTCGCCCTGCTGCAGTGGACGGAGGGTGACGGGTTCGAGTTTCCAGCCACCAGCGCTGTAGGGGCCGTAGGACACGATTGCGCGGGCAGTGGTTGGTGTGATTGTGATGTTTGTCATTGTTAACTACTTGTAGGTAGGTCCTTTCGAGCAGGTTTAGTACTGAGAAAGCCGGGGGAGGTGGCCAGGTTAAGCATTTCGCGTGGCACAAGGGATGATGATTTTTCCCTTCTTGTATCTAATCCGTGTCTCGGATCTAGGGCGCTCGGAATTAGGGGTATTCTTCATGATTGTTCAAGCAGGCATTTCTATTGCCGTGTGGTGGCCGGCAGTGGTGGTCGGCATGCCGAGGGGGACTCTACTTCCGTATTTCCGTCTCCCAGACCCCGGGATCCCGAGTAGCCACTTGGAAGTATCACTAAGGCAGACTAAATTTATCAAAATATAAACACAACAAATAATAGTCATTAGAGATCATCACGAAAGGTAGTTTAATAATAAATTAGAGGCCTCTAACTATCTTGCATTGCTTCTCCATACCAACAACTATATTTCTACATATATTCAAGAATGTTCAAAAAAAAACCCGAAAGTGAAATCATCATTTATATCATTCGTTAACGTCAAGACCAGTTTGAAATAGTTTTCGTCACTAGGGACATACAATAAACGATCTTATCAAGATAGGCACAAGGTATACCGAAAGTTGATTCTCAGAAAGCTTCACAACAGTCATTCAAGAAAGCCCTCACTAAAGTAGTCACTCAATCTCCAACCTCCTTCTCAATTTCACCGTGGATAACTGTGCCATTCATCAAAACCATAAAATACACAGTGTCACCAGTGGCTCCCTCATGTCGCCCTCTGGCCTAATAATCTCACGCAATCAAACATAGCACTGCGTTGGCTGCTTCGTGGCCACCCGTGTTGAATCATACCCCGAAAGTTTCGGGCGACAGGGCAAAAGCTCAAAATTCCACAACACATATCAGAGCGACCTTGATAGTCAGACAAGCTAACCTCTTCGCAGGGCAGCCGCGGGGGCCCAGCCCGAAGGAATTGCGGTCCTGCTGCCGGGTTAAATTTATCGCCCGATTCCTATCGCTGTGGAGAAACCCTGTCGTTATCTGATGAGTGCTATGCGCGCAACTCGGCATCATTCTGCGTGCGGCCTAAATCCCTTCTGAGATCCGATTGGTTATCGAAGGCAGGAGACATCATGCTAGACCCTGTATTTAAGCAGATCACGGTTTTGTAGAGCCGGATAATATTCGTTCCCGACACCTTTCGGAATTGGTAGGACCTGCGCCTTTTTACTTCTTCCTCTTCTTTTCTTCCTGGCCCGAAAAGCATCATAAGATAGAAGCTGATAACAGGTGCGAAACGTAACATTAGGCCACCGTATTTGTCTCAGACGGGCGTTGGCAATGAGCGACAATGCTGATCGCACACATTATTCGACAATATTGAATGAGCTTTCCGACTGGTGAGACGGGGGATCGTGTGTTCAAAAATACGTTCGGACCACGCCAAGCTGACTGCCTAGCTAGTTAGAGGAAATCTTGGACCAACCGGAGGAAGAGTGTTTACCAACTTAGCTTGACTCTAGCCTCCAAACTCGCTTTCTGATTGAACCGATCGTTTACGTCAGATCCCGGATATCCCCAAACTGGCAGATCAGTGGGTTCTTGTAATAACTTCTTTGATCTTGACTACTTGGCCTTTCTCAGCTGAAGGGAGAGGCGCATGTGTTGTACCAGCTCGCATCCTGAGCCGGGTTGCTTTGTACTCTCGTTCCTCCCCAACGGATCTGGAATATGATACATAAACCACCAACTGCTCGAATCCCACTTCTACCCTGGACTGTATATACGGAGAATCGACACTGTGCCACGTCCAGCTAGGCTCGCAATGCTCGTCTCAGTTGCAGTTCTCCCCCTGGCATTTTGGATAGCAGCTCGCGGCCAGCAATCTCCGCCCTGCCGCTGCTTCCCCGATGACCCCTGCTGGCCCTCCTCAGATGAGTGGCAGGCGTTCAACCAATCCATCGACGGCAATCTTATTGTAATAGATCCGATGGGCAGTGTTTGTATACAAATGGTCCGTTTGGCTCCTCTTACAGCAGCCAAGCATGCGCCGATCTGCTCGCCCGATGGCCCATACCGGCAATGCACTACGAGACCCCGTTCTTTCCGATGGCTGCATGGTGGCCAACGGCTCCTGCTCTCCATTTACCCCCAAGGACAGCCGTCCGGGTGTATCCCGAGGAGCCAACCGCCGCGGCGACGCTATCGTTCACCCCCTCCACGACGGACGGACACTTCTGGACGGTATTTCGCACGTACCTCGTTGAAACACTGCCCCTGTTGGACGCTGGTGGTACAGCGCTATGGTTGGTCATCCAGGCGTCTCTTACAGGGGGTTCTATCATGTTCAATGCTGGGCCGGTGACTCTCCCAGGGGCCGGGAAAGAGGAGCTTCACGCCCACCTGGCTTCGACATTGCAAATGCTTCAGAAGTACAACATGGCCTATGGTAAGCTAGCTTAATATTCCTTGCGTACGAGAGACATCATCTCATCAAGCCATAGACTACTCAGTCAACGCCTTCCCAACATATCATGCTTCTGTGGCAGGAACCGCAGTCAATTTAACCGATATGCACGTCGGCGGCCGTCTAATCCCCCGGTCAACTCTCGAGTTCAACCCCGATGGCTTCATTTCCGCCATTCGGCGCATCCTTGAATATGACGCTGCTTTCTCAGGCTTCTCCATGAACCAGCATCGTGCCCACGAAAGACTTTCCGCCAATAACGCCGCCAATCCAGCCTGGCAGAAGGCCGCAGTCTCTGCGGTGCTTAGAATGTAAGGGTCCTTCGCCTACTGTTGTTTCCTTTCTTGGTCTTTTATATTTTAGTTTTCCATGCAAGCCAGCTTACATACCGTCAAACAGTCCATTCAGCCACACCAATCGCCAAGCCAACCTGGACGGTCAAAAGCTCATGACCAAGGCGCTGATGCCCCTTCTCGAGGCTCCGACTCCCCCGGGCGAAGTCTCTGGCGCGTACCTCAACGAAGCGGACTTTAACCAGCCAGACTGGCAATCAGTCTTTTACGGCGCCAACTACGACCGCCTCCGGGAGATCGAGGATAAGTATGACCCGGACCAGGACTTGTACGCGCGCACTGCAGTGGGGAGCGAGAGGTGGGGGAGCATGAGGACGGTCACTTATGCCCGGCTGTTTGAGAGAAAGAAAGCATATGGTTATACACCGACATAGCCGGCGATAAATAGAAACTTAGAACGTGATGTTAATACTCTTTTATATTCCCCTACTCTGGCGAGATAAGTACATACGACCACAGGGTGTGGAGAACAGGGCTTCCCGTCCGCTCAGCCGTACTTAAGCCACACGCCGGCAGGCTAGTAGTTGGGTGGGTGACCACCAGCGAATCCCTGCTGTTGTATGTTTTTGTTTTCTTTTTTTTCTGCTCACCACATATTGTCTTTTTCATTCTTTTTGGTTGGTTGATTGAAGACGCCTCTCGTGAAGTTACACCGTAATAATGTAGCGGCGGGTGACAACCGGGGTATATGACCCACGCATTCACGCCCTAAGCCTCGTAGCCCCAATAATTTAACACAGCGAAGCAGTATGCAATCTCATATCATCTCAAACTGTTTCTATTGTGCACACCAACAATCTCCCCCAGCTTTCCTTCATTTGCTGACGTATGTAACTGAGGACTGGTTGGTGCCTGATTCTCTCAGCTATACATGCTGTGCGATAACTTGGATAAAATTGATGAATACATGCAACTCACCAGCTTGCTAGCCTTTCTGCTTGACATGTTCTTCAATCTTCACCATCAAATCATCCAGCCTCTGGGAGGAAACAGTAGGAACTCCGTCGCTGATCAGACCGTTTCTCCAGCCCAATCCACTTCGATCCGCCCAAGCCGCATCCAAGCCCGCATTCTTCGACCCCGTGATATCAAACGGATTTCCACTTACCCTCGAATCAGACCGTTTACGGCTGTCGCGACTAGGCGTAGACGTGCAAGGATGGAAGTAGACCTTGAAGCACCCTTAACAATAGGAGAAGCAACCGACACGACTAATTCTCACTTCCAGTATAGGCCTGGAAACATCTGGATGACCCTGGCAATCTAGTCCGACGGTTTGTACGTCAGGACATCCGCCGTGCACATGTCGATTCCAGAAACACGAGGCATGTCCGAATTCAGAGTTGGCTGTGGGCTCAAGGGTAACGAGAAGAGCTACGTGAATTCATAGGGGGGCCTAGAAGTATCTTCAAATGTCTTTGATGAGGCCGACCTCCAATTTGAGCAGGATACTGATATTGACCAGCTTCTGGGTTATTGTTGCCTGATCAAGGACGAGGAGCTTGTGACTCATCACTGGGAAATGAGTGTTTTTGAAAGGGGGTTTGTGAAGAAGTCATTTGAAAAGCACTCAAAGACTGAAAGATACTGGCTTAGCACACAATATATATGGCAGGTTGTTATATTGACCAGTTTTCTTTCTTTTTCTTTTTCTTTTTTTTTATCGGAGTAGAAGCGGTAGCCAGTCAGTGAATAATCTCGTGCTTTTCAAATTCGTATTGCTTATTAGAATTTCAATCCTGACGGAGTCAGTCCAGAAGCTAAATTTTGAGCTGTTGAGTAGGGTAAATCATATGCTTAAATATCTCATCTAAATTACCGGTATGCCTTGTTGAGTTAGTTCGATGCGTTTTAATATATATATCCAACAATCCCTGTGTCTTTCGAAAGTCTCTATTTTCAATTAGTTATTAAATATTAAAGCTAAGACTTTTCAGCCCCATTGAGATAAGCCTCTACAGCACTGACTTTAGAATTTCCACTGAGCAGGTACCGCAATAGTCCAGTGAGAGCTATCATAGCCTCAAACCAGTCCTCCTTCACTGATAAGTTGAAGCTTCGTGTAAAGTGTATTTCGATGGCCTCATCCTCTGTGCAGCCATTTAGGTGTACCCGCGAAATCAAGTCCCTTTTGAAAGATGCTCGGGAGATATAAACACCTCGCCCAAAAAATTCCAACCACAAAGACCTCCTGATCTTGGAGTTTCACACTGGTATTTTTGGCAAGCTGTCCCAACATTATGCTAAGAATTTCGGCTATAAAGTCGCCCCAAGTCTGCCCTTCATACCACTGAGAGCACCCATTAGGTTAGCTATTACCGTGATAGAAGATGAGTAGAGTACATACGCCGACAAAGGAGATAATTGGCAAGCGTCTTTCCTGTGGACCAACCACAACTGCGCCATCTGGCCTACTGGCATACCGCTGCCCACCAATAACATATCTTTGCTCAAACTTCGATACAGGAAAGCTATATTAGTTAGAATTGTAACGTTATGGGCAGCATAGTGGCGAATAAGAGGCTTACTAAAGTCGAGGAACTTGCTGTATAGTATCTTTCAGGTTTCAATAAATTCTCTCCACTAATACTCTTAACAACATACCTTGTGACTTCATGAAGAGATCGTGATGCTCTCTTTCAGTGACTTTCCAATTTTTCCTAGGTAGCTTGATCGTCTCGCTCACCTTAAGAGCACTGGTCAAACTGTTTTCATCGGGATCAGTGAGTTCGGCGTAGTAAGAATTGAGAAGCCAGAAAAAGTCTTTGAAGTCACTCCTTTCATCCGGCCAGGACTCGGTATAGTTCCAATCGACAACCTGGACGTGCTGAAAAATCCAGGGCGTAAATCGCTTTATCTCAGCATCTTTGATAGATCGAGGTTAATAGCGACACGCGAATATCTCCCTTGCTTGGAAGAGCAGATTCTTTCCTACCTTGAATCCGCTCTGCCCCTTGGATTAACCCATCGAGGTCAGCAATCCGAGAATGCAGTGTCACGAGCATTATTTCAGGTGGTCAATTTGGGAGGTGATGGTAACGGCCTTCAAGCGAACGACTCGAGAACAGTGGCTGTTGGCATGTTGCTTGTTGCGCTTCCCGTAGGTATTTACCCAACTAATCGCACGAAGCTCACCGCCCGACACTGCAGATCCGGGAATGGAAAACTCTCGTAGTATGGACAAGATCAATTCTCTTGGACATACTTTATCTATGAGAGGTAATTCCATGTTGCTACATATCGGTGCTCACTTCTTATATTTCAATTTTGGCAGAGCAAAAGTGCAACCCTAAGAGATCTGATGGGACAATTTAAGGCGAGTTTGCTAGACGAAATGCTATTCTCAGCCGCTGTGATGGAATACATAAGGAAGATCCAAACATAATGACACAGAGAACGCAAATATCTATATAAGGATGTACGAGTCATAGAACATCAATCGAGGGCCATAAAATTCGGACTGCAGCCCCCATAACAGTACAGACGCCCAATAACATAACCAAGGAGAAAACGGGTGGCTATTCCTGCCACAGAATAGAAGGACTGCTCATCCAAACCTTGCGCAGTTGTTGATGTCGACCTGTAGAAAATACGTCATATGAAGTTAAACTGTTCGTGTTAATCCTCGAAGCTGCTATATTCTCCACAAGTCTAGAGCTATTTTTAGCACCGCCTGTTGGTAGAGGACGTGTAAGCGGCCCACTTTCAGGCATGGTTCCTTACTCAGTGTAGATACGTCACCCTATTATCAAGCAACTGTGAGTCCGCACGATTATCGGTCTTCGGCCATTTTTAAATCGCGAGTATAGTCCATCTTCTCTGGGTATTCCGAGAGCAGATTACCAATTATGGTAACTAACTAATTAGCTCTAAGATTTGTCAGCTCGAATACGGCACTAGTCCATATCGGGGAATTTCTGGGCAGCACCTGATAGGCCGGACTCTAAAACCTCACAATGCAATTATTAATTGTTGGTTATCCACCCTCTGATTGATGTTAGATGTTGGATTATAAATTCGTTTTACCATGTGCTGTGCAGGATATTGATGAATGGCGAGAAGCCTTCTACAGTCCGAGCTATGTTTGCGTCCAGGCTATATATTTCTCGCTGTTCATCAAGTCCGTCTTTGGAGATTCGCAATATCCAAGCCGGTTCGTCCATTTCTTTCATTAAACAGATACAATCCTTTGCAACTTCCCAAAAGCCATACATTTCCAATATCTCGACAATGACAGTCCCACCCATCCCGGTCCCATCAACACCAGTTAAGAGTTCTACCTACCTCGAGGCAATAAAGCACCGTCGCACTGTGTATGGCGTTACCGACACCATTGCGGTCTCTGACGATCGCATCATCGATATTGTTAACGAAGTCATCCAAACAATGCCTTCGTCATGGAATATGCAAAGCACTCGCATTCTCGTCACACTCGGGAAGGAGCACAAGAGGTTCTGGGACGCCGTTATCGCTGCTGCAAAGCCATTTGTCCTAGAGAATCAGGGTGAAGAGGGTTGGAAGCGCAACGAGAATCGTTTCAAGTCATTCCGGGATGCCTACGGTACAGTATGTGTTTTCCAAGAGATGCTCATATAGGATATTCTTCTGATTACATTCGGTAGATCTCCATCTTTGAAGATCACACCGCTATCGAGAAACTGCATGACCGGTTCTCTAAGTTCCCCATAACCGTCTTCGAGAATTTCGCAGAGCACTCCAATGCCATGCACCAGATTACATTGTGGACTGCTCTTGAACTTGAAGGCCTTGGCGCTAGTCTTCAGCACTCACACTTCGTGCCTGGCGTCGAGGATGCCATTAGATCTGAATTCGACCTTCCATCCACATGGTCCGTGAAGGCAGAGATTGTATTTGGCGGCTTGTCAGGCGAAAGGCCGATTGCACCTGAGAAAGAACCTATTTCCACTACGGTGAAGGTCTTCAAATGAATCCGACGGCGCCCATGGTGAGCTTCGGCTGCGTTTTGCTGCAACTTAGGGGCAGCACTCGGCAGAAGCCTTGGGAAAAGATGCAGTCCCTGAAATGTCAGACGTCATAGATAAAATCTAGTCTCAGTAGCATTTGCGGACGCAAACTGAAGGCGGAGAGATAGCTTGTATTAATAAAATGGAGGATCTAAATTTGTAATCAACCAATTTGTCGGAGGACAGGAAGTAGATTAAGTCCTTGCCGAAATCCCTCTTTCATCCCTTATATTTAGCACTGAGAGCTAGTAGGACGAAGGAACATAAACTTTCTACTTATCTAGAGAATAAGCTTATAGCTTTGTCTTCTAGACAGACACTAAGGGTGGGGGCGGCCATCAGCTAATCGCCTCGCCCCTCGAGCTCAGTCGATGGCGTCAACATTCGCTTCTACATCCATCCTGTAGACTGCTCCTACCTCCCCCCAGATTCCTGAAATGCTATCAAAACGAATAAAGATCGCTTTACATTGCGTAACTCACCCACAGCCTCCATGTTTCACCGATTCTCCGCAAAACCTGCGAAGGCGCGCGGCTCTATCAAAGGTTCCGGGTCAGATCGCTCCATTAATACGAATTATGACAAGAATCAGGACTCGAATAAAAATCCTATACCTGAAGACAAATACTTTCCATTCATCAAGCGGCAAAAAGCGGCTAGAGCCTGTGACCGTTGCCGTCTGCGCCGGGTCGAGTGTGACGAGCAAAAGCCTTGCGCGCAGTGTGTGGGCATCAACCAGCTACAGGTGCTGGATATTCAACAAAGAACGCGTTAGTAGATTCCATAATCGCCTTGGATATACAACATAGCCATAGCACTGGTCTTTCGGGGCGCATAGTAGGGCTTCAGCAGCCGTTCTCTCGGCAAGCTGACTGGCCTGGATGCGAATACTTCGAGCGTTGCCGTGAATGCATGAGAATGAACACAGATGTGACCTTGGAAGTCCTACGATGTTATGCTTTCATGATATTATACTTTATGAATGGCAATGTTTTCCGGGAGGCCTATAACCTATTGGGTATTGCTATCCGTAAGGCCTACGTGATCAACCTCCACCGATCACCCCCGACCCACTTATCCGAGATTGAGCAGACTGCTCGCATGCAACTGTGGTGGATGCTTTTTTTACTAGATGTCTAATGTTCACTGCAGCTCGAGATGCCTACTGCTAGCCAGAGGAGTCTGACAAAATGTCCATTCCAAACTCCGGACGGCCTTACACGTTATCCAGCTTTCATGAGGAGTGCGTGAGTCCTTACATGTACAGAATCTGCTTGGCCAAGCTTGCTGTCATTGTGGCAGACATTTCCGCTTGCTTCTCAACCGCGGACTTGGATCAAGATGACAGTAATAGCCCGGCAAATCTTGAACACCAAGCCTCCAAACTCTCGTCTACCCTCATAAACCTCGAGGTCTGGCGCAGTCAACTACCCTCAGAAATGCGACTCAGTCAAAGTAGGAACGGCTCCGCCAACACCGAAATGCTTGACATCGATAGCGACATGTCCTTACCTACCTGGCTTCGGAGGCAAATGCGCTTTTGAAGCTCCATTGCCACAATGCACATACTGAGATTCGGCGCCCTTTCATCCGTCTTCGCTATAGTCACTCCAACAATCTCAGCAGTATGAACACCGCACCTGAACCCTGTCGACTCAAAACAGAACTGCACATTACCAAGGCGCTCCACCATGCAACCATGATCGTCGACAGAGTTTTCACAGTCTGCTCTACGTCCGAAATCCTCTACGGATGGTCAGAAGTCCTGCAGCCGCTCTGGAATGCGGCAGTGACAATTATAGCCTACGCCTAGGCGAACCTATTAAGCTCTGAGGTGCCACGTGCGATTGGCTCTCTCATGCGTGCCCAGGCTGTTCTCGAATCCTTCTCTACCACCTGGCCGAGTCTTCGTTCTGTAAAGTGCATCGTTCAGTCACTTGTTAGCAGCCTACAGAGTATGACAGCTCAGGATCAATGAAAAGCTTCCAACAATAGCCAAAAAGACCTGGACAGGGGATGATATTAAGTCGTTGCGGTCTGTAAATTTTTATCTAGAGCATATATTTGTCTACCGTGTGATATTTCACTGGGCAGGGAGCGAGCGTGTGTATGGGATATGATTCAGTCACAAATATTGTTGGCCGTCTCTCTAGGCGTAATTGCTAGTAATGTACACTTGGGAATATCGAATGATGAAGGTCTGATTCTTTCAATCTAGCTACAAACGGTGGTTTAAATACATGAAGAATAATAAGCAATCTAGCCTAAAAAGGCAGCTAGAAAAGGCATAACTTTTGAACCATAGAAATAACAGAAAACTCTGCATAATCCTCGGGGATCAGTAGTTACCAATACCGATATCCGGAATAGGAAGGTCTCCTATGTAACTAGCGGTTACATACAGTTGACAAATATCTAGTTACAGCAACTAGCCAGGGTAGTCTCTTATAATTTATTATATCTAATTCGGATAATCCAGCCAGTTACCGACCATACCAGACCGTCTCAATCACCCATGTATCTATATCTCTCTCTCTCCATCGATCCTTGCCATCTTCCCCACCCGCGCGCCCTGTAGTCATCAGGAAATCCCAAACATCATGAGGGCCTACCGACCAGCTTCATATCGCTCATTCGCCTGCCTGATAAACTCGTCCCGATATTCATTCGCCAGGTCCCGGCTATTGCGATACGCGGTCAGACCTTGTTGGTAGGATTCCGGACTCCCGATCAAGGAGTAATGCCCGACCCGGGTCATTACATAATCCGTCTGACGGTCTGCACCGGGGTTAATATTATTCGGAGTTTGCGTCGGATGAGTCGCGTAGATACCTAGCGTTCCGTCTTGAAAGGGAGAAGCGATCGCGTAGGCATGGTTATCGTAAGTGGAATCATGGGCAGGGCCAGGAGCAGGCGCAGAACCGGAGCAATTGTCGTTATCCTGTAGTCGGTTACTGCTGTTGCTGCTGCTGCGGCGCCCCTCTTGCGCATATTCATATTGCTGGAGGGAATGCATCGCTCGGGCGCCTAGAGCGCTATCATACAAGGCCTGACGTTTCAGCACGGGCGGCAAGCCACAGTGGCCCTTTGTCTCGACGAAAAAATTAGGCGTGATAGGACGGTTACCCTGCCGGGTGGGGATAATCTGGTTACTGAGCTGTTCCCGGACACGATAATGCAGCTGGTAAGGCGGCGCGCCGTAGTAGATATCAGGCTTGGCATTGGCGAGGGTACCGGTCGTGAGCGGCGCCAGGTTCGTGAAGGGGTGATTGCCGCCATCGTGAAAAAATGACGATTGTTGTTGCGGACCGTCGAGAATCGGGAGGATTTTCTTGATCACGAGCTGCTCGTCGGAGGTGCTGTCGTTAAGGAAGGTAAATTTGTCAAATTCCTTCTGCAGGGAATCTTCGGACAATGCGAGGGACGGGCGAGGGGCTCGTAACCGTCTTTGAATCTCGGCGATATTCTCCGGTTTACATGGCTTGGTCCCATCTGGGTAGGTAGAATTGGGCATGAAAATACCGTGGTCGTTCAGATGGTTTTCAAAGTGTGAGTCGTAAACTGTCGTATTTCCGGTCTTTGGAATAGGGCGCTTCGAGCGGGAGTCAGTAGGATCCATTGAATACTGACTGAAGTCAGCTGGTGCAGGATACTAGAAGTAAAGCTATCTAGTTAGTATACTATGCGTCCATTTCATAGAGAAACATCTAGCGATAACCTACGTTTCTGATGCTCGATAGATCTGGCCCTCTACAGCGGGAAAGTTTTTTGACCTCTTGTAAACAAGTAGCTGAGCAGTTGCTCAAGAAATCAGGAACGAAAATGTAAGGACGAGAAGGCAAGCTACTCTGGTTTGAGGATAGGAGGTAATATCGTCGGTCAGCTTCTCGTAACGCACTCTTGGTCAACCACAGCTTCGTGAGTCTTTCCCAAAACAAGGGAGAAGGATAGAACGTGCGACAGTTTTGTTGTCGAAACTGATACTTGGAGGACGGCATATAGAGATTCTTTAAAGGTAGAGTAACGGAAGAGAAGACTATAAAATTAAGAATCAAGAATCTCAATGCGCGATCTAGATGCCATGCAACAGCCAGGATAGCTTGAATAGTCGTACGCAGGAGCTTCGCGCCATGAGGTCAGGGAGGAGCTGAAATCCGGCAGAGACATATTATGCTGAGATTATTCGACCGAGGGCAATATTTTGTGGCGGGGCAAATCGGTAAACTCTGCAAACGCGAGGTGGTGTTCTCAGGATTTTCTTAAGTCTACCATTTAACTATCAGAAGACCATATCTGAATATAACCAATTTTCCGGTTTCTGAGCAACGAAAGGATATTTTACCAGCCGTTTTTTTTCTATTAGAGCCCCGCTACGTGAATGTATATTTCGGTTATGATATGGACAAAGCAGGATGAGACAGAAAATACATTTGGGTAAGACAAGCCACGTATATGTAGACTCCAACAGTGTCACGGACTGTGACCAGCCTCCGATGACCTTCCTTCGTGAAACCCTATGACCATCTCAAAGGCGGGGAGAGAGCTGCCAATCAGCCCACACACATTTGTTATCAAGCGGATCGTAATTATGGAAGGCAGGGAGTGTCATTACATCCCTATTTGGCCGTCGTCAATAACTAGACAGCCGTTGCTACACCCACGCCTAGACTTTTGACTTCGGCCATGGTTCTAAGCACTCGGCTTGTTTTCGCATACAACCTAGATTAGTTCAAGAGATTTTCGTATAGTGCTCGTCGCAATCCACATATTATAAGATAGCCATATTGTTTATTATAAAGCGTCTATGATTGCAAGGGACTGTCACTCTATGATACACCCTTATCACCTACTGCCCTTGTTCGCGGTGACTATGGACGGCTTGAAAATTACTGTCGTTACTGTCGAAACCACTCGTTTAATCATACCTTCTTCCTTACGAGAAACGTGGGTCAATAATGTGCTAGGTAAATATTTCTCTCATATTCGTATTTAGTTTCATTAACCTCCTACAGTCGGTTCTTCGCAACAAGCGGGTGTCTGCGCCCCCAGCGTTCAACACCAGAATTTTTCAACAGATCCAGCGTTGGAAAACAACGATCGACATAAGAACTGGCGTAAGTAGCTGATCAAATCAACAGATCATGGTAATTAGGCTAATCTGTTGATAGGTCTCCTTAACACAGCAATTTATGGTGAGGGTCCTACCTGACTCAGGAGTGGCCAATATACGTGTACATTAAAGCTATACATATCCAAAGTACAGTTGGGCTTATAGTATGGAGTAAAAATAGGTTCCCACTGCAATCGGACCATTAACAGCTTATTTCGCAGTTGGCTAAAAATACAAAGTTATGTTGGACTCGTAGCCTACTGCTTCTTCGAGAATGAGATTTAAGGGGCCGAAGAAAAACAATGCAGCTTTAATTACCCTAAGTACCTGATCAAGGCTAAGGGTTTGTCTTGTACAGTCTAAGTTCGATTACTGGCAGCGATCAGCAGTTAAACGCGAAAAATACGTAATCTGCATAGTATTATAGATTGGGTCCTACAATATATTATTCTCAGTCCCAGGTCTCAACATACCCAGGGTTGTCCTAAATACTCACCGCATATGCACTGAATAATCTTTCAAAATTACCGTCGAATGCTTGCTATACTATTTCTCCTTAGCGATATCTTGCCCATGTGGCCAGAGATCCAGAAAACCTGCAGAAGATATTCCTACGCAACCAGAATCAATGGCATATCAATCCCAGCCTCCGAGCCCAGTCAATCCACTCCAAAGTCTCGAAAAAGCCGACTGGAAAGATTCTGATATGCAAGGAGTGGTTCCAAACAAGCATATCAGCCAAAAAGTGAGGTTTTCAAAAGTAAAGACTGAGTGGTCTCAAAATATTGAAAACTGCAAGAGTGTGTATTTATCTTATCTCTTTAAAATTTGTACCAGCTCACCTTATCTTGCTCCAAGTAATTCCTTGAGCGATCAAATAATCATGCTCCCTGGCCCGGCCACGGGCCTATATCCTGATGATTTCATCATCAGGATCTATAAATCTAGACCTGGTCCAAATGGTAAACAATATAGAATCCATGTCCGCGGCGGTGATACGGATGAAGCTTTCTTTCGGGCTGGTGAGGAAGTAGAAAGACGTCGTGATTTTCAGTACCTCTGTAGTTCAAGAGGTTGCGCTGTGTAATTTAGATTCGTTCGTTTTGGAAAATTTCGTTCTACCAATTCGTCTAAAATTGCGGAAACAAGATATCTGCGCCAGACTGCGCTCTTTTGATGTTGGATTTACCACTGCATTGGCTAGTCTTACCTGCCGTGGAACCCAAAGTGAAGGGTGAATGAGACGAGCCTTCTGCCACATAACCAGGACTCAGGATGGTGACAAAACGAAGCTAAATGGACTTAGATCCTACTTGTCCTAGATGTCCACCAGTATATAGTCCGACTACCTTTCCCCTTCTCTCAACTTGCTATCATCTATTCACTATCAGGTCCTGCCAAACCTTCAATTGTCAGAGTAACTTTGTCGCCTTACCTGATTGCTGCGGGAGTATTTTGCTCGCACAACCGAATGACGTGAGAAGTCCACATATTTTTCGCTAATTTTGCTAATATGACCGCTCTGCAGGATGTATTTCCACAGTCGTCGTTAATTCAGTTGCGGCTACCAGGAGTCCAACCCCCGTATTATTCCATGTACTCTTCAAGGTTGCTCGGTATTGATTCCGATGGATTTATATAAAGTGGATTTCTCTTGCAAGCAAGCATTCTGCTCTGTCTGTAAAACTCCAACAAGATAACATTATCCTAGTGGGGATATGGAATCAGGTATGTTCCGATCTATCCATATTCCAGTAAGCTTATACGATAGTAATGGGTAGACAGCAGACGGCTGCAATTTCATTCAGAATCCAGCAGAGAATCAGTGTGAAGATGTGATTATCTTGATTCTAGTTGTGTGTCAGGAGGGTATGGGACATCCTTGATTGTATTATTTTACTTTCGTTCAGATTGGACGAGACTATTTGCATAGTCCATTCGACATAAAAAATAACATCCTCCCATTCTTTCGCAAAGGCAGAACTTACGGGCAGACCAAGCGAAATCCGTCTCGAACCCAATCAAGCTCTGATCACTCTTGGTAAACTTTGGGTGCAGCCCGTCCACAGTGGTGGTGGTGTCATTATTTGGAAAGGTTTCTCGGAAATGCCGGTTGGGATAGATACCTTTGATGACAATTTTCTGCCATTTATGAAACTACACGAGCTACATTGATACTGATAGGATCTAGATACAATCATAGAAAATGAACACAGGACCGATTTAACTCCTAACGACTACCCTGTTCTCTGTTTACAATTCTTTTTCGTTCCTCCTTCGCTAAGTATAATGAATCTTGAACGCGTAATGCTGGGTTAATTGGAATAAACGAAATACCGGGTACTCACCGACGTGGTAATTGTAGAGGGTCTGATAAAAATCTAATAGCTGTGACCATCTCGAAGCCTGTACCATACCAGAGACTAGTGGCTGGCTGGCAAATACCGCTGGCACCCGTCTTATCTCGTTGGAATAGAGGTGATCGAGCTTTACAAAAGAAGGCAAGAGGGCGAAAGAAACACCGGGATTTCCCGTATCATCCTCTATCTGGAGTACCTTCTCCCCACGTTTCAGCCCATCTTCTGTCTGATTCTTCAAGGGAAGCCCGATTGCATTGATAAAGGCACGCCCATTTCCCTCCCTCTTGGACCTAGAACGTTGTCGACCACCCCCCTTCACTATTTCCATATCATCCGGGAAGTGTTGGCGTCGGCATAAGGCCAGGTATCTGCAGGCGAGCAAACGCTCACGGTCTCCGGTCCGCAGTAAGAGAACGGCCGTTCGCGGATCTTTCCCAAGGTCATGCGCTGACCTGAGGATAACGCCGGTCTGGTCCTTGAGCAAGAATTCTCGAACCAGCTCTAGGTTACTCTGCGCTGTGTTTGTTATCGTTTCCGCGCTAAGCGAATCGCTTTTGGTGACTGCAGTGACCTTTTTGGTGAGATCTTGAAACTGGAGAATATGTCGTCGTATTTGATTATCGGAAAGTGAAAGGAGAAGCCTTATAGCATACGTAATCTCATCATCTGACACTAAATAGGGGTCTATGGCGAGCTTGATAGACTGATCTATTGAAATCATCAGACAAAGGAAAGTAGGCAAGGACAGAATATCAAAAGATTGTTGATGGCGACAGATAAGAGATTTGGTGCGGAAGCATTGTGAGTCATATATCCCGCTTCCCTATACTCTATGATTGGTTCTCTGGTTATTTGGGTAGATACCCAAATAACTAACTATCCGCGTTTGGAGCCAACGGCACATGCATCAAGTTTGTTTGTTTCGTTATATGAAACTGTCTATCCCTCTCGATCCTGTTTATCCTCAAATGTCTCCTCACACCTTCGCTGAAATACAACATTTTCCTCTTGCACTTAAACCTACTATCACCGTTGTGGTACAACTGGAAATTAGAGATTCATCGTGCTTCATTTCCCAAAAATTAGCTTACTGCGGTCATGGATACTCCCTCTGCAGTGCTCTCTGAATCCTTCTTCTTGTGTAATGACTGTTATATCGACTTACGCCTGATAATCTTCGAAGGCCACAATTGCTCTATCATCCAATTTCAGGAACAACTCACCTGTGTCTTTTGCAGAAGGAAGGAGGTTCTTGGGCTGACTGTATGCTTATGCCAGCTAATTTCGGTGAAAAGCTGACTTCTAATAGTATTAAAGCTCCCTAAAGCACTCAGAGATCGTACAGTGAAGGCGCGCAACATGAATGAGGACCTGGAGAAACTTTACCAGGAGATCCAACAGCAGAATCCATTGGTAAATACCCGCACTAAGCTTCCAATCAGCGACTAACTGGGCTATAGAGCTCAAACCGTTCTTAAGATTCCTGGAGCGGCCAAGAATTGACAAGGCTGGAATGCTGGTGGTAGAGAATGATATAGGATATAATGCCATTACCCGCTATAGCTTTTCAGTATTGCCATTTTTAATAGCATTAGGGCTGCGCAAGGCTTAAGAGTGTGGGTCAATTGGGACCAGAGGATGATAGCATTTGGAAGCAACACCCAAAAAATAGTTATAAAGAGGTCCCCGATCGAATTAGTGTTTTTCAAAGACTAAAAATCAGGACATGATGGATGCCTATCCAATAGCTGAAGATGCTGAGTATATCACGGCTACCATTCTCTGTTTTACTGTTGTCTTACCCATAAACAGAAGCTTTGGACCCTTGGATGACTATTTTTTGCGAAACTGATTATCTACATGGGCGCCTTTATCCGACTGCTTTTAGATCACATCACCCCTGGCCTGTAGATACAGTACGTATATCTGTTATTATATGAAGATTAGCTGACCTCTTAATTGAAAGACAGAGCAAGAACGACAAGGTGAGAAGCCCTTTCATTAATCTAGATCTGAATGGTAAATCATCTTAGGAGACCGATGGTTTTTGTTGTGTCATGAATTGTTCAAGGAACGGTTAAGCCCGACCCTTGTCGGTAGGCCTCAAATTGCGCTCGATATTCGAACTGGTACTGGCCGCTGGGCTATTGAGTTTGGTATGTATCTACTGAAACATCTTAAAATTTAGTAAATTGCGGATTTTACAATTTAGCTGATAGGAATCTATGGTCAGTGGTAAGCCATTCTTTTCTCCGCCCCTTTTGTGGTAGGGTGTTAACAGTGTAGGTATTTGGAATCGATTTGATTCCTATGCAGGACGAGTGGTATGTACCATGTTCAATTACTGGGATAAATTGAATGAACAGAATCTAGGGTACTGCCAAACTGTGAGTTTATACTGGATGATATTACAGAGCCAGACTGGTGCACCCCCTTCTCACAAGTCGACCTCGTTCATGTCGGTGGACTCGGAGGCAATCCTCAGCTCTTGGCTAGTATCTTGAATGGAGCCTACAGGTACAGCTAACCTAGTAAATTTAATTCGTGAGCTAACCAACCTGTTAGATGCTGCTCACCTAATGGTGTGTTGAAAAATGGGATAGCACAGTTCAACTCCAGGATCCTACAGGCAGTAGTGATTTCCACATTTTTTACGGAGAAATGGAGAATGCCTATAGGGAAGGTTGTCGCTCACTTGACCTCCCGCTCTGCTATAAGGGCGAGATGGAACACCGGGATTTCGTTAGTGTGGTAGAGCACGTATACGATTTACGGCTCCATCTCGACCACTCTTCGAGTCCAGCAAGGAAAGTCATCGCGGCATGGGCAGAGGGATTTGAGGCCTATAGCCTGGATTTGATGGTCAAAAACCTTGGGAAGCGCGAGGAGGAGGTTTTAGTCGGTTACATCAACACTTTTTCATCTTCGTTCACAGGTAGCTAAATTCGTCGTTTTGTATCGCATCCACCTTCTTCGCACGATAGCCCGTTTTGCATATGCTCATAATCTGATTGATAAAGGCGATCATTCACAGTGCCAGGAAACTCAATGCGACGAAGCCCCGGGCGATCAGTTTGGATCCTTTGAGTATTCTCCCAAATGGGGTCATGTTCCATCCGTTGACGCTGTACAGCCACTTCTCGAGCGGCGCTCAGGAGTTGTGTTGGTGGAGGGGCGAGGACTCCTTTGCGCTCAAATTGGCCCACTTTTGCCTTTCCATGGTAATAATGTAGATGTCCTGAATGTATGCCTCCCGGCTCACTGACCACAACATGTCCTAGACGAATCATGCCATGCTCCGTCTTCACCGGCACACCACCTCCAATACCAACTAACAAAAAGCGCTCAAACGAGACAGTGGGCAACCTGCTTTCAAAATGACGATAGAAGTGAAGAGAAGATATGAAAATCTGAGTGCAAAGTGATTTATCTCGAGTTCATTGTTCTTCGAGGGAATCCTGGCTGGAGGGGTAGTCTCTAGGCGCCAGCATTTGTGGGTTCCAGGGTGTGATCGGTTAATGCGAGGAAGATTAGCTGCAGTAGGTAACTCCTTCCTGCTATTGGCGACGACGATATAATTACAGCCGTACAGGTACCTGCAACGTGGAGCCTAGCAAACGCAATGTCAAGCCCCAAGACGATCTCATAATGGAGTATAATAAGCGTGTATTAATCTTGGCGTGTTCATGCACTTCTTCATAAACCCCGCGTTCGTACGCGCCGTTCTTTCATCTCCTGCTGATTCAAGCATCATTTTTGACGGTGCATCGCTGATGGATACGCATTGCACTATGAAAATTACGCGGGATCTAGAAGGTTGCATTCCAAATGACTATCAATCGCAACAGCTTTACCCCAACAGATTTGAAAATCCGGTCAGCAGCTCTTCTTTAAACAATATCGAGACGTATAGGTGTCAAGGTCTATCGTCGAGTACATTGTTGATTTTCTGAAGGGGAGTTTGTTATCCAATTAGTAAATGGATCGGTCAGTATGTCCTTGTTTCTGGAATTGAATACTATAAACTCTGACGTCTATATTTTCGGAGCCAACGCTAACACACCGATGAGCATCATAGGGAGTCCAAGTAAATAGTGGATAATATCAACTCTTTTACTTTATTCTTGCAGTTCCAGGTGCACCTTTTCTAAATCGATCATCAATAGCCTCCCGGGATTTGAAGCTGTCTATATAAACTTTGGACGAGGAGAGCGCTATAAGGATCACATACTGTAGGTCTTCCTCTGGAAATCTCTCATGAACCTTGAATGGGAACTCAGCGCACAACCCGAGATCATCTAATCTAACAGCCACAAGCTTCCACCTTACATAGACATCCCCATATCCTTGTCCTGATCCATTCCCTTGTTCATCTCATTCATATCCTGGACATCACGCTTCATGGCCTTGTCCATACCCATGTCCATGATCATTCCATCAGCCATGTCCTTCGCATCCATCGCCTTATTCATAGTTCCAGGCATATGGCTCTCGCGCTTCATATCCATGGCTTCGTTCATGTTATGCATATTTTCCATATGGCTCATTCCATCCATGCCATCATTGTTGTTCATATCGTTCATATTGGCCATTCTGTCCATGGAAGGGGCCATATTTTCGTTCTCCATCTTGTTCATGGCCATGTCCATGTTCATGTTCATGGTTGCGTCGTCTCCACGGACCTATGTTTTCTCATATTAATAGGTAGTCCCTATATAGCTAAACACTTGAATGATAAGATATAGGGTGAAGACACGTACCTGCTTTGTAGGCGCACATGCCGCGAGGGCCACGAACAGCACAGAGCAAAGGACAGAGGATTTCATGTTGAAGAAAAGTTCACAAGACAAGATCGAAAGTGCTGTTGAAGAGATTGGACGGTGTATATAGTAGCAAGTAAATCGAATGTAAACAGCTTTTATGTCTCCGAATTGACTCTGGAGGCTTGGTACGCGTCGCCATTTATATGCCCAGCTCCCTAGAAGCCAAGAAAAGGGGTTAATCGAGTCTACGCAACGGAGAGCTCATCATGAATGTACCGGATTCCTTGTCGCATCGGCATCTGTCACCATCTTGAAGGGATATCACTCATCGTGATGGAATGTGGATCGGGGATAATGTGGATTTGCTCAACACGGGTGTTAAAATAACTTCTTGTACAGAGTAGTCTTGCTCCTTTTTATTGATCTTATTTCGATGAAATACCACCTTCTAGTGCATTATTATCTATAGGAATTAGCAACCCATCCCAGGATGTGTGTAGAAGCGAAGACACAATAATACGGAGTATATCTCTCAGGATTGACCCCAATGCAAAAGGGGTCGAATCATAAAGAGATGGAATGCAAACGATGCAGATGCTTCCTTGTGAATACCTTGGTTTACATTTCCACGATGCTCTAGTAGCCCTGTTAGATAAAGACCGACAATAACCGAATCTTGATTAGTTCTGTAGCCAATGCAACTGGCTGTATGTGACGCCATTCAGCCACATACCAAGCAAGAATATCTAGAATAGTTGCGTTCCAGCCACCCTCTGGAGCGCTAATCACCGAGGTAATGCGAATACATTAAATAGTCAAGGAAAGGTCGTAAGACTAAGTGGAGTTGGGAGTGATTCTGACTGACTCGCCGTAATATGTTAGCTACGTAGTACCATTCATCGCGGTAACGTTGAATAGCAAGGACGTTGGAATATTAGGAATACTAGAGCTTGCGATTTCTACATGCATGGGTTCTTATTGGGGAGAAAGGATGGATTACCATAAAGACCACAAGCTGACTTCGCGTACAGATTGAGTGAACGAGGCAATGCCATTGCCGACGTCTTTTTGCAAAGCTATCTATCGGATTTTTGCCATCTTATACCCGTCATTAGAAAATGTACTCTTTGTCTATAGCTTTGTACCTCGTATACTTACGACATGGCGTAGATTTACCCCTCAAACTACTTATTTTGGTCGGTCTTGTTACAACCAAACCCACACAGATTCACTCGCGGGTCATTCAATTCCTAAAGTCCGGTCAGATCAGGCAGCAATTTCAATTTCCTCCGACTGTTTTCACTGAGATTGAAACAAAGACCGGATGATTCCAGGGAAGATTCACTCCAGATTCAACGGTGATTGGAAGGAGACGATGCATTGACAGCATTAAATCCGAGTGCCGCCCTATCCCCGCATCTCACTTCCTCCCCTCTCTTTACTCGGACTATTTGAGCATCTCAACTCTGCCGCTAGTTCTCTACAAATAGCTCTCGCAAGCCCCTGATTCCTTTATCCTCATCAATCTCAAACACCTCCCTCCATCCAGACATCTCCACCATGTCCCAGCAGAAAATCTTCATCACCGGCGCGACAGGCTTCATCGGCCGCGTGGTCGCCGAGTTCGCGATCAAAGACGGATACAACGTCCGCGGACTCTCTCGCAGCGAGGAAGGCGACGTCCTCCTAAACTCTCTTGGCGCTACTCCCGTCCGCGGCGACCTGACGAGCCTCGACGTTCTCACCCAGGAGAGCGCCTCCGCCGACATAATCTTCCACCTCGCCTTCGACCACGACTTCACCAAGCCGTATGACCAGATCCTTGCCCTCGACACAGCCGCCGTGAACGCACTCGCCGCTCCACTCGTCGGAACCAACAAGCCACTCATCACGACCGGCGGCACCGCAATGGTCGCACCGGACCCGAACGGTAACGAGACCGACGAAACAAGCCCTCCGCCCCCGAATCCCCTCATCCCGCGGCATCTCGCCGAAGAGAACGCGCTCTCCTGGGCCCAGAAAGGCGTGCGCTCGATCTCCATTCGTCTACCCCAGTACGTCTACGGCCGCGGCACGGCCAACGGATTCGCCGCGCTGCTCATCAAACTAGCCATTCAGTCCAATGAATCGGTCTATCTCGGCGACGGCGAGTACTGCGCATCAAGCGTGCACGTAGACGACGCGGCGCGACTATACTTCGCCGCGGCGGCTCGAGCCAAACCCGGCGATATCTTCAACGGCACGGCGAAAACCGATACGACGTACAAGGCGATCGCGACTGCGGTGGGCGAGGCGGCGAAGGTGCCAGTGAGATCGATTACAGCAGAAGAGGCCACGGGACGGTGGGGACCGTTCCTGGCTGCGTTTTATAGCATTGCGAATCGAGCGTCGAACAGGAAGGCTGTGGAGCAGTTGGGTTGGAAGCCTGAAGGGCCGGGTTTGTTGGAGGAGATTACCCAGGGGAGCTATTTGGCGGTTGTGGAGGAGTTTCGAAAGGCTCAGGCGGCTGGAAAGCTGTGAGATACTTGCCTTGGTCTTGGGGTTTTGTGATGTCAAAGCCATTCTTTCTCGTTAGTTGGTGTGGTGGATTCGTTGGATAGGGGGTGATTTAGTGCACGGCTAATGGCATCGGATCTTTTAATAGCGTGCAGCATTGGGGTTTTTAATTCAGATCGTGAATCGCACTTGCTTTCCTCAATGTTCTTCATATGTTCTCATAAATCACAACATCGTCCCCGTCAAAATGCACAACCAAACAAAACAACACAGTAAAAACCCCGCCACCAAAGTCTCCCACCAACCTACACCCAACCCTCCCTTCTTAAACAAATCCCCAATTCTTATAATCCCATATTTCCCCTCACCGTAAACGCATCATCTACCCCAGCGCCAAGTCCAGACAACTGCCAATCCTCCACTCCGCTCCCACGAAGGATTGTGGAGAACTGGAGATCCATGTGGGTCTGCCTCCGTTAGCACGTCGAGTGGCTGTCGGATGTAGGACTGTCGTCATCGGAACGGGCCCCAGGGGGCGCTTCCGATGGCTGGGACGGAGTAGTTTGCCGGCCTGGGATGTAGTGGCAAATAGTAATAGGCTAAATTGTGATTACGGTGTACCTTTGGGGGTGCGTAGCTGGGGAGATAGATTTAGTGTTGGTTTGTTTAGCATTGTTGAGGGAGGAGAGTATATGCAAGGCTTTGGGGATGTTTTATCTGCATGCATATTTAAGACGTTTATGTTGGGTTTATTCATGGTTGGCTGTTGATATGTCGGAGTAGGATGTTTTATGACTTGGTTGCATGGAGGATCAACATTCATTGTGTCCTCAGTATAGAAGAATGCAACTTGCAAATGTAGACAAGCCTCGCATGATCCCCACGACAATGCTCGTTCTCTGGCTCCCTTTCATAGCACAAGTAGGTAGCTATAGTAACTCATCCAATCTGATTGATATATACAAATATGTCCAACTCAATCGCAAACATTCTATATACAAACATATGACCCAAACCCATCATTCCCTAAAGCGACCCCTTCACACGCCCAGGCAACCTCCCTCCAAGCTCATCCACCGCATTCTTACACATCTGTCGAATATCCACGTTCGCAATGACCCCATTGCGATAATTGATCGCCTCCTCGATCTTCTTAAAATTCCGTCCCACCCCCTCAGCCCGCCATTCATAGCAGTCCCCAATGAACCGACTACTCTGGACCAGCCACTGCGTGCGTTCGCGTCGAGTGCTATCAAAAGTGGCCAGCACGGCCTCGAGATCCCGCACCGACGTCACCCGATCATCTTCCAGCATCGCCGCCAGAATAGCCGTGTCTTCGATGCAGAAGCCAGCTCCGGCTCCGTGGTGCGGTGACGTGGCATGTGCTGCGTCTCCGGAGATGCACACCCGGCCCTGGTAGAAGGTCGGCACGGGGTGTTCGCCGAGATCGAAGATTGCCCACTAGCATCAAGTCAGCTTACTTTCCTCAGACAGGTTGAGGGTTAGGAGAGGAGAATGTAACATACCACGCTGAGTTTCGGATCAGTCAACTTCAACAGATTAATCACGTTGGGTCCGTAGCCTTCGAAATCCCGCAGAACTTCCTCCCGGGTCCCGTCGCGCGTGAGTCGGGGATAATCGGCCCAGGGCTCGGGACTCGTGTGGAAGGCGACGATGTTGAGCGTTTTGCCTTGGTTGACGGGGAAAGTCAGCATGTGGCCGCCGGGGCCCATCTACTCATCTGATTAGCAAGAGATAAATCCGAAATGGAAATAGAACAGTCATGACTTACGTGCATGCACGCATTAGAAGCAAGTTCCTCGCCGATCGCCTCAATCGCCTTATCCATCGGGACCAGCCCGCGATAGGCATACTTATGCGTATAAGTCGGATTGGCAGCCGGATGCCCCTCGCCGACCATGATCTGCCTTACACGGGACTTAATACCATCGCACCCGATAATTAAATCTGTTTCATGCTCCTCGCCATCCGCAAACTGCATGACCAGTTTCCCATCGCTCTTCCGCTCGACGATATTCTCCAATCGCTTGTTAAACCGCGCAATGTCCTCAGGAATCAACTTGATCAACTCATCGAGGAAATGAGCCCGATGAACGCCCGTCTGCCCGATGGAGTTGGATATCGTAAACGCGATGTCCTGGCGACTGGCGTTGTTTGCGTCCCGGGACTCGCCTTGGCTCCATCCGTCGAGGTAATCGAACCATACTTTCTGCTTGGTTGGCCATAGGTTGCGCGTGCATACTTTCTCGAACGCGGCGTGGATGCCGGGATGGCAGGTCTTCATCGCATCGACGGCATTGGGACTGAAGGAGACACCCGCGCCGATTTCCGCGAAGGCAGAGGCTTGCTCGTAAATGGTCACAGGGATGCCGCGATGATGGAGCGTGATGGCCAGCGTGAGACCGGCAATGCCGCCGCCGACGACGGCGACTTGGAAATTCTTCTTCTCGGATGACATTGGTGACGCGAACGATAGAATGGATGCACCGACAGTCAAGAATTGACAGTGAATATTAACTATCAGAAGATAAAGGTAGCAAATAACCCGGCACACCCGGTCCTTTTCAATCACACACTCGGCACACGGCTCCTCCTCATCGTTTCCTTCCAATCAACCACCCCGAATCGGTGGCGTAGACGTTCGGATCCAGGTCAGCATAGACGGTTCCGGGGGAAGGTCCATCGGAAGAGCAGCAGCCCCGTCTCCCCGTGGGGCGTCGGACAAGGCAAAGCAGGTTTTCTTGGCCGGTCAATGGAGGAAACGGATACTTCTGAGTTCTGGGATCTGGATTCTGGAGCTCGGTGTGAACGGATCAGACTGGAGGGATTACAGAGTCGTGTTGCTGCCAAGCTTTTAGTCGGACCGGTAGTCCCCATTCTTTTTCTATCGTCATCGGGATCCGAATGAGGGGAATTCGATGGTGGTGGTAGTAGCTGGTGTCTAGTTGGGGGGTTTCCCGGTTCCGATGGCGGGGTGCGTGGCGCTACATACTATACATAGGAAATTAGGAAGTCATAAAGTAGGCTATACAAGACACTGAGAAGAGCGATACTGATAGCCAAGCCTGAGTTCACGGCCTGCCTTCTTGCAGGTTCTCAGGGTGAGAGAGTCTCTTGCAATACCCAAACCTTACTGTACCCGGACATGCATGGCTATATCGGCACTCGGCAAGCTCACCCGTTGAAACCCTCCAGCACCATAACCAACCCCATGACATTGATCATTAATATACTTTATCCCACACACGACTGACCACTGACCACACCACTCTCAGCAAGGGACCTCAACAGTCAACGTCCATACGCCTGCCTAAAGCTGAAAAGAATATCAATAGGTAATACTCCGTCCTGTAACGCGAGTGGGGGAAATACTTGACTAAGCAGCCGATCCCATTGGGTACCGTGGATGACCCCCCTGCCGAAGCCTCCACCAATGACAATGCTTTGGATTGATGCAGTGCCCCCGATTCGGCAACCAACTGCGCCGGGGTTCCGTCCGGATTGAGCGATACCTTGCCTTACCGAGTATATTTACTTGGTCGCTGGGAATGTTGGTTATATGACAGAGTACCTAGCTAGGTAGGTATCATGCAACGATTTCTCAAACCTGAATTTTACTAGGAGTAGTCTAGGTTACCTACATTGCGAGAACTGTAAAGAGCCCTCGGACTACCCGGTAAACCGGATAGCATTCATCCCATCACTTCTCCACGGTGCACTCATCCCACCTTCAGGTAGTAATATTGACATAAAGAGGTCATGCCCCGTCTTATCGTACATTTACAATCAATTCTATATTCTAACATATCTACGGTGTACAAAATATGCCAACTGCTGGTAGGTAGCCCGCCAACCTACTAATAATAAAACACCAGACCCCACATGGAAGGCTGGGATGAAAAAAACTCAAAAGTCGAACGGCTGACTCGACGACTCTTGCGTAAGTAAATGGCAAGCATAATTTTCTAGAACACAAAGCATTTGCATAGTTAGACTAAGATAGTTACCTAAAGTAGGACCTCCGTATCGCACACCCTGGAGTATGTAACGGTCCCGTTTCAAATACAAGTACGCACAAACATCATAGGGTGTGGCGTGCTTTTTCGTTGCTGCTGCTGCTGCTACTACTGCTGAGGTTCTTTCTTGGCTGAGCTATATACCTTTGTCTTTTTCTTAGGAGTAATTTGCAACCACACCACGTTACAACGTAAGCTGACTGTTCTTCGAATTCGGATTGGAATGAATGAATCAGTCACTTAGCTCGACAGGGTACGGACTACGGAGTAGAGTAGGTAGAGTAACTAGAGTAAAATCAAGTACACTGTAGGGTCTCTTAAATTTTAACGCCATCTAACCCCCCTAGTCAATGAAGTTGAACACATGAGGCACAGGATTCGACCGTCAAAGCGCCGTCTCCCCCAGCCTCTCCCAGTCTCCCTCTCAGGTACCGTTTGACCGGAACTCTAAAACTCGCAGAGACGGGAATAAACGGCATCCATCCTCGCGTGTCGACAAATTGGGCATCGACCCCTCCACTTCGTGCACTGCGAGAGTGTGATTCTAGTCTAGGGTTGTATCTTGCTACTACTTACTCAGTAAGGTGTAGGTAGGCACTGTGAAGGTAGGTAATTAATCGTGGCAGGGATAATGGAAAGAAAGTAGGTAATTTTCCCCTCCTTTCCAACGTATCCGTACTCCGTATACAGTAGTGAGGTACTGTGCAGATTTCCCCTCTCCCCGCTCTCTGTTTTCCATTCCTCGGTCTGTCTGTCTTCTGACAATCAAATCCAAAGATAGAACACCCAAAACCGAAGTATGGAAAAGTTGCCCCTTTTCCAGTTCTAGACCCAGTAAATCGACCCGTTGCCACCTTCTAGAAACCAGAAAAGAAGAACACAGAAAAAAAAAATCTACTCAAATTTAGGCGTTGCCTCTTCCAGTTCCAACACCTCACCTACAGCACAATAGGTACACGCATACAAGGGCTGTACGGGACTCCTTGTTTCGAGGGCAGGCCCCACTGGAACTGGAGTGGCGTCGAGCTAAGCGGAATTTTCGCCACTAACCTTAGCCTGATTTGTTCTAAGCAATGAGCGAAGAGAGACAAAAAAAAAAAAAAAAAAAAAAAAAAAAGCTCAAAGCTGGGAGCTCCAACAGGAAAGCTCAACTTCGGGAGCTGGGGAGAGCTGGAGGAGTTGAGGAGGGGGCCCGACAAAGGAGCCTGCGCACATGGTCAGGTGGTGGTCATGTTCAGGTGTTTAAATGGTGGGTAAGGTTTCACTACCAAGATTCATGGAATATTAAATAATATATAAAAATCATCGACTCTTGTGGTAGTGGTAGGTCTTGTTGGATGCCTCTTTTTTTTTTTTCTATAGTGGTTACCCCGTACTGTGTGCGAGGCGTTAACAAAAAAAAAAAAAATTGCTCCCCCCTCCCTCGAGCCCCGTAGGCCTCCATCAGCCCGTCTTCGGAGTACCTGAACTGCAAAGCTGTCGCAGACTCGCAAACCTCCCAAAGAGGGGAAGGAAGTTCTACCGAGATTCCCGAAGTGCTGGTCCTGATTACCATACGGTATGTACGGTGTCAGGGTACCAGCTGGAGGTAGGTCCGATAAGATAATTAATTGATAAATCTCTCGCTCGTGAGCCTTTCAAGAAAAAAAAAAAAAAAGTGGTCAGCGGACTATTTATCAACACTAGCCAGCTATCAATTAGGATGTCTTAAGACCCGTTTATACCCTCCATGTCGCGTTGGCCGATGCCGATGAGGGTTTAAATTCTCCAACATGAGCCTTTTTTTTTTTCTTATAATTAATTACAGCGTACTGAGTACAAGACCGGTGAGGTGCCCGCATGAGGGACACCCCTCATTTCTTTACCGTACGGTCATGTCATCCCCACTCGAGGCCGATGAGGTCGAGAAATGTCAGAGACCAGTCATGCTTACTATGTGCACTCAGCTTCTACCCTGACGAAGGATGAAGACTGGAATAGTACAGGTCGAGTCTTAAACCTGTCCCAAGTCTACCCAGGAGTAATCTTCACTTTCACGGAGGTTTCTATGAATAGGCACCGGTTGAAATTCAGATCAAATACCTAAGGTAGTAAAGTAATGGCCGTCCCACGTTTCGGGTTATCGATAGGCGTCTTTAATCTTTATCGGCAGAACCGATGGCATGCCGGCTTACCTGGTAGGGAGAATTCGGGCGATACCTTCAAGGGATATGCTTATTCTCACACACAGCTGCTACAGTAGCTCTGAGGTATGTATGTATGTACCATGCAGCCTGCAGGGCTCCGTGAAACTGGTGGGTAGGAAAGCGAAAAGAAGCAGGGAAGAAAAAAAGAAAAGAAAGGAGAGAATTAATTACCTTACCGCATGGCCACATTCCTAGACTCGAGGAGCTGCAGTCACCAGCAAGTAGCAAGTAACCTCTTTGGTAGGTTATCGATGAAACCTTGGTTCGCTCCCACTGTACGGAGGTGGTATCCTTACCAGTGACACCGGATGCCAATAATACACACTACGCCAGTTGGGCCGAGGAGTTGGGGAGCTCTTTTTTGGGGGAGATTCTCCAGGACAAAGACCCCATTTATCAACTGACTCGGCATAGCTGTTCTGCTCTCGAAGATTATCGGTAGTGACCTGCCTTCCTGCATGATAAAAAAAAAGAAAGCATAAAGTGTAGAAGAAAAAGGAAAAGAAAAATAAAAAAAGAAGAGAAAAAAAGGCCACGCGGTCGGGGTTCTCCGGAGCTGAACAGTGACCAGCGCAGGCTTTTAGGTTGTCAGAATCTCTGACTGCGTTCCATACAACTGCAGTACGACTCCATTCCCCGTGCATTTCCACCCTCCATTTTCCCCCTCCACCTATTTTTTATTTCTCAAAATTGACCTTCTTTGACTCCTCTTTTTTATTTTTTTTTTGCTCTCTCTTTTTTCATTTTTTTCATTTTTTTTTTAAATTGAATGAACAAGCTCCCTCTCTCGGGCTGTCATTCTCGTTTCCCAGTCACTAAGCCGAGCTGCGTTAGCTTTCCTGGGCCGCCCAATCCATTCAATCGCAGAGCTCCCCCCGACCCTTTTTTCTCCTCCTCCCCCCTACCTCGGACCTTGACTCTTGAATCTTTATCCTCTCTGGTCTTGCCTATGGCCTGCGAGCTAGTTTCTACTACTTCCTAGCTGGTTACAGTAGTGGCTGCATTCTTCTGCTCCCTATTACTCATTCTTAAATACTATCGCTAGCCTATCTACCTATCTGCATTCTTATTTCCTTTTTTTTTACTTTTTTTTTCTTACTACTCAACCTACTCCATACCTGCTCTTAACTCAATCTTATCCTCTTTCTCCCTTCCCACCCCCTCTTTCTCCCTCTTTATCGCCGTTCCCCCTCCATTCAGCTAGCAGACTGTTGTCCCATTTCTATCTACTGATTCCCTCCTCGGAGCATGAATCG